AGACGGGACTTGAAGGAGGCAAGTGTATCAGCATTTTGAGACCTCCTTCCGACACGAAAGGCACTGTACCAAACCCAAGGAATTGTATTATTCTGTTGAAAGTCGGTACCTTTTAAGTACTGGAGTCCTGTAGCTCAGTGGTTAGAGCACTCGCTTTGCAAGCGAGAGACCTGAGTTCAATTCCAGGCAGAGGGCAAAACCTTGGGCAAGTTTCCTTACTCCACACAGAACCTAATAATAATCCCTCCAAAAAAAAAACAATAATAAAATTGGTCATTTTCAATCTACGACTGTTTGTGGGACATTGCTGTGCGCAATTGGCTGCCGCGTTCGCCCACAAATATACAGTCAATTCACTTTACAGTGTGTTCTGTGAAGCGCTTTGGGACGTCCTCCCGACGTGAAAAGCGCTATATCAAATGCAAGGATTATTATTATTATTACTGAAATAATCGTGACTTGAATGTGTGTCGCACTTTTCGTGCTAAATGTACTGAAATACTTTTGCTGAACAGCGCTCATTTCTGATTTGGAGCAAAAATGAGAGATAAACTATAAAGCAAGAATAATCCGCACACACTTGTGTTTTCCTCTCTCCATGGAATAAATGATAAACAGAAGTGTTTATCACGCTTCTCTACTGTTTGCGGCAGGTTTCCGTTGGCTTTCCAGTCAGAAATTAACAGTGACAGCGGCTCTGCAATTCAGGGTTGACATGAAATCAACTTTGGAAGAAATTCACTTTGTGATCTTGGATTTTAATTGTGAGGGTTCAGGGGTTTTGCTCAGTGTTTGTGTGTGTGTGTGTGCTATTTGCAAGCGGTGTTGGGCTTTAGAAGCCTTGTAGCAACATGACAATGGAGTTGGGGGTAGACTGGTCGCTCAACTCGATAAACATTTGACTCGCAACTAAAAGTCCATCAGTTCAGTTCCGTGGGTTGCCTGTCAATCAAAGTGATGGCGAGTGCTGTGCGGTTGTAACGTTTGCTGACTCAGGGGAGAATAAAGTGATGTTATCCCACTCCTCACACTCGAATCACCTCTCCTGCAACTTGTCTAAAACATTACTGACAAGGTTGTTGGAGGCGTCTCTATCAGTCTCTCACTCCTTACCTAGCTCTCTCGGCTCCTCTCCTTTGACCCTGAAGGTTCACTCACTACACTGGGAAACAAATGCAATCATAAACAAAAAACTAAGTTGAAACCATTTTACAATCTTTGTTACGGTTCTCACTGCCGTGTTGGGCAGAGAGTTGGACACTCTAGATGAGTGATGAGAATATATAATATAATAATAATAATAATAATAATAATAATCCTTGCATTTGATGTAGCGCTTTCCATGTCTTCAAGACGTCTCAAAGTGCTTTACAGAATGTACTGTAAAGTGAATTGACTGTAAACTTGTGGGCGAGATGCGGCAGCCAATTGCGCACAGTCTGTGCTTCCCACAAATCGTTGGGGATTAAGTGACCAAATTATTATTATTGACGCAACATTAATTCAAATATTATAAGCAACTAAACATAAGTCTATATATTGGTTGGGCAACATAATAGAAAAAAATAAGAAGGAAACGTCAAAAATGAATCATGATTTAACATCAGGCAGCATTTGTGGGGAAAGGATTTCAACCTGTACGTCAAGCCCACAACTGACAAGATTGACACAAACTCGTATGAATTATAAAACAGCAGTTTCTAAATCAACGTGGTCATTGTGAACTAATTGGCTGCCAGGTTTCGCCCACAAAAAATACAATCAATTCACTTTAAAGTGAGTAAACACAGAAGTCGCTGGGAACACAAAGAAGGTCAGGCAGCATCCATGGAGAGAGGAAAATGAATTAACGTTTGAGGTCTATGAGCTTTCGTCAGGACGTTTCAAGTTAACTCACTTTCCTCTCGCCATAGGTGCTGCCTGACCTGCTGCGTGTTCCCAGCGACTTCTGTGTTTAATCCAGGTTTACAGAATCTGCAGTATTTTACCTTTTGTTTCACTTTACAGTGCATTCCGCGAAGCGCTTTGAGACGTCTCGAAGATGCGATAAGGTGCTATATCAACCGTAAGGAATATTATTATTAACTTTCTGACTCCGAGGCGAGAGTTCTACCAACTCAGCCAAGCTGACACCTTAACCAATAAAAGGTATTCAAGATATATTGGTCCAGGATTTGTGCAATGCAGTTAAACATTTCTGCAGGACATGAACCCAGTATTTTATTTACAATTAGTTACTGATTAAACAAAGCGAAATTTCAAACTACTTCGCTTTTGCACATTTGTTGCAATCCCATGGGCATGTACAATATGTTGAAACTGAGCGCAGACAGATCGATTGGAGGACAATAATTGTCTTTGAATAAGCTGCCTGTCGTCAGTAGTTGCCTGCTGTATGCTAACGTTCATTGCTCTTTGATTATTACCCATTAATGTTTTTAAAATGTAAAGACTCTCTAGGCTTGGGCGCTCTAGATGCCTTTATACAACACAAGTATTTTTTGCGGGTTGTTTTTTGAAGGAATTATTACCCCCCAGAAAAGCGATCCTTCAATCGACTAACAACTGGGTTCCTACTTACCGCTGGGTAAACAGAGGCGTGTGGACTAAGGAAACTTGCCTAACTTTTGCCCTATCCAGGAATCGAACCCAGGTTCTCTCGCTTGCGAGGCAAGTGCTCCAACCATGAGCTACAGGACTTTTAGTGCCTCTGACTCCGATAGGCAAATATTTCAGGGCAGATCAAAGCTGTTTGTAACTCACAAAATAGGTCACAATTGGAAACCACGTTATTCAGTCACATTACTCAGGTTAATTGGCTTTAATTGGCTTCCAACACTTTGGATTTCAGGGTAAAAATAAAGCAAAACCCTTTCAACCTCAATGTGGTAAATTTAGCACCAATTCTTAAAGTATCTTCGAAGTCGCATGTGAGCTGCTACTATTGCTGTCATGTCCAGGGTGTAATTCTTGGGGATCCAAGTGATGTGCCTTGTTATATCTGACTCTATTTTGTAAACCTTTTTTTCTTATTGATACCAGAATCCATTGTTAGCGAACACCTTCGAAGAGACATTCCTCCCGGGTTCACGTTTAACTATATATTAACGCAGCGTTTTCGAGTGTCCAGAATTCGGCAAAGTTGTAAATAGAATTTAAATTCTAAAGCTGTTTTTTTTTCTCTGCTCCGGGGGAATGTTACCCTCTTGTTCCAGTCTGCTTGACATCATTAATGTGTTACGCATCTAAACTACAGGGCTGTATTTGCAAAACGGCTGTTTCATGGCACAACCCATGAAAAAGGGGCGACTTTGTCACACTGCGACAGAAGACTGCTACAGAATTTCACAGGACCAGGAATCACAGCACAGGAGAAGGCCATTTGGCTCCTCGAGTTAATCTTGAATTGGGTCCTCCACCAGAGCTGATCACTGTAATCTCAATTCTCTGCCCTTTCCCTGGACCCCTTAACATTGTTCCTCTCGAATTGACACGTGAAATCGATTGGGAATAATACCCAGGAGCGCTGAAAATAAGGAACGGATAGAGATTGTTCATTTTGTCACACAGTGAAGGGAGCCGTGACCATTACCACAGGTTAACTGATGCTTTGCTGCAAATCTGTTGGAGATGACAGAGGGACACAGATTTTTGCATCACTGCAATCAGAGACGTGACAATATTGAGACTCACTATTTTATGTTTTAGAAAATTGTGCCCTCCATTCACTGCATACTATATAAATGCATGTTGTTGTTGTTGTTATATCTAGTGCCTTTCACATCGGGCAGCACACTGCTGGTGGGCACTCCCAAGCGACGCAATTTAGACCAGATCATGTGTTGTTTATTTCATCTCAGTCCACAGGTAAATCACATTAGGAAGACACAATGAAAGGATTAGCCTAAATTTGGCCCCCATTAGCACTTTGTTTACATTTAAAGGGGCACTCTCTTCCTGAAATTATGGATTTCACGAATCTTTTTCATTCATAGGGTTCACATTTTATTTCCGCCATTAATTGTTTTTGCTCAACTGCAACAGAATTGGCAAACCGGGTTCAATAAAAAAAAATTCTGTGCCAAAAGACTTTTTTTGTACAAAAGCAAACTTAAGAAGGCGGTGGGGGGGCGAAACATTAGTCAAGTCGCCTTACTCCACACGTCTCTGTTCAGGAGTAAGTAGGAACCTCGATGGGCGGCTCGCTTTTCTGAGGTTAATAATCCCTTCCAAAAAAAAAATTTTAATAAATAATTTGGTCACTCAATCCACCACTGTTTGTGGGACACACCTGTTCAATATCTATTTGCTTGGGTCAATTCCCACATGTATGCGGATGACCCCTAACTCTATCTCTCTGCCTTTCACCGTCGATTCCAGGACCACTGCTGTCCTCACAGACTGCCTATTGGACATCAAGTCCTGGCTGAGAGCTAACGTCCTGCAGTTCAATGTCAACAAGACCGAATCCCTCCGGCTTAGCTCCCGTCAGTGCCTCCATACCTTGTGCGCCGACAGCATCTCTACATCTCAAGGAGCCAAGACAGAACCTCGATGTCCTGTTCAACCCTCAACTGTCCTTCATAGCCCACATCCGTGCTATAACCCCACCTCCGCAACATCGCCCGGTTCTGCTACTGTCTCACATCGCAGGCAGCTGAGACCCTCATACACGCATGCATAACATCCAGGCTTGACCATGCAAACTCTTCTGTGACCCCATCACCCCCATCCTCGCCCGACTCCACCGACTTCCCATCACACAGAGGATACAGTTGAAGAACCTGGTCCTCACCGTCAAAGCCCTCCATAGCCTTGCTCCACCCCCCGCAGCCACCTACCTCTGCGATCTATATCAAATGCACGGATTATTATTACATAAGTTGACCCTTTAGTGTGTCCAGGGGCGTTGGGTTCAGTGTGGGGCTCTAAGACCCAGGGTAGTGCTCTGCTGACTGTCCAGGTGAGATGTGTTATTGGCCAAAAGGTTAGTATGTTTGGAACCTCCTCTTGTTTGCACAAACTCACTCTCTCCCCAAAAGGACTCGAAAAAGCAAATTGCAAAGTCTGTGTTTGCACTGCTGGTGTGCGAGCAGCTGAAGGCATGTGGTTGGGGCATAGTGTGAAGGTGCTGGCACACCTGAGCAGGGCTGTGGGGAGCAGTCACACAGCGCAAGTCATGAAGCGGAGTCAACACCAACTGGCCAAGGTGTATGTGAGCCGTCGGGTCCCACAGGAGGGAGTGAATTTGCTGCAGGACTCTGGCATGTAAGTAAAGGGCAAAGCAACTCAGGTGGACATCCATCCACACACACGCACGGGAGACGGCTCATAACGGCAGCCACATCACTCTTATTGTACTGCAATACTGACTTGATGTCCCTCACCCAGAGCCGCCCTGCCCTGCTCCCCAGTGCTATAGTAGGCATCCTGTGAAAGCTCCTTTCTGCTGGATTGTTTCATCGAACTTCATTCTCCAGTCACCAGAAGCGAAGAGAACTATGGTTGAACAGCTAGTGCCTGCTGTGAGAAAAGGTCCTAAGGGTTAACCCCTCCCCCCAAAAAAACCTATACTCTTGTAGGAGGCACCGAGATACAATGATGTAGGTTTTGAGTTATAATGGGGCAATTTCAGGACAACACCGGGATGGTAGCCAATGACTGGATCGATGGTAGAATGGGTGTTCTGGAAGATAGGATTGGACGGGTCAAAAAGATATTTCTTTCCTCCAAACCCATCTTGTGATCAGGGGTCTAAGGACTGGAATTTCTTAAGGCGTAATATAAGAATTCCTACTAACAACAACAACAAGGTTACATTTGTATAGCGCCTTTCACGTCGAGAGGACGTCCTAACCTCATATAATATAAGCATTGGCTCGATTCTTACATTCTGTTGCCCAGCGTGTGCCCTTGAAGCCGTTTCAGCTCCAAGGAGTCCAGATTCTTTTATTCAATTCCTGGTAATCGGTTTAAGTCCAGCGCCTTGGAACGTCCTCCCGACGTGAAAGGCGCTCTATCAATGAAATGTTGCTGTTGTTGTTGTTAAGTGACGTTGGCCCAGGCAGATCAAATGAAGGAAATCGGGGAAGGCGAGAATTTGATTCATCTCCTTGTCTCTACCTCTGGTCCTTTCCATCTCTTTCCAATCCCTAAATTATCAGAACCTTAATCTCTTTCATCGCAGATTTGTATTCAATTCTATTGTGTGTTCAATAACGAATTTTCAGATTTATAGTTAAAAGTTGATGGAAACTGAGCCGATGGGACCAAGTATAGGGAAAAACACAATTGTAATGGGGTTGAGCATGCAAAAGAAACATCTCAAAACATTTTACAAAATGAACGTAGTTAGAAATGAATTGAATGTTAGAAAGGAGCAGCATTTTACAAGCAGATGAGATAAATAGTGAATTAATGTGGATGAGGAGGGAATTTAAGACTGGAGATTCGGGAGAAAAAAAAATCCATGTTTCTTTGAAATAAATGTGATAGAGGGAAGATAATAATAATCCTTGCATTTGATATATTGCCTTATCATGTCGATGAGACCTCTCAAATCGCTTCACAAAATATATTGTAAAGCGAATTGACTGTTTATTTTGTGGGCAAAAGATGACTATTCCCTTGAAAAACACCGAAGTAGAGGGTGGGCGCAACCTAAATCAATGATGCAATTACAAAAAGGAAGGCGGTTGAAAGGTAAACCTGTATTTAATATAGAACAGTGTTGTACAGGCAAACATGGCAGTCAGTCAATGCCAACAACGCCCCACAAACATTAATAATGCGAGGAGTCAAACGGGACCTTTTGTTTAACGACTCATCCGAAAGACGGCACCTCCGAAAATTTAGCGCAAAACCAAACACTGCGTTGGAGTGTCAGCTTAGACTGCGTGATTCCAAGTCCCAAAGCGGGGCTTGAACCCACAGCCTTGTGACTGCGAGGCGAGAGTGCTGTCACTGAGCCAGGCTGACACATGGAGGGAGATCGGTTTGATTTGCGAACGTCCGAGAGGAGCTCTTGCCACGTTTGCGCTGCTGAGAAAGCACATCAAAAGTCGAGTATTTTGCTCAGAGTATTTCAGACTTGGAGTTAGTTTTATCTTATCAAAGACAGACGCGGTTAATAGTACAATGGAATGGTCTGTCCCAACATAGAAGAAAAGAACCTTATCACGTCCAAATGTCTCAGAGTACTTTAGAGTTGCTGTCAAATGCAGTCACTTTTTTTTTTACACGGCAGATGTGAGCCAGAGAAGAATTTAAGGGAAATAAACAACAAGGAGAATCTCGTCTGATCTGAGCTGAGGCTAAATGTTTCATTGGGTTCTTTTTGTAAAGTGTGTAATATTTTGCTCCTCTCATCTAGTTATGCTCATTCGGAACTTGTTAGTACAGTTTCTGCAGAAAACTCCGATGTCTGATCCCCGTTGGAAAAATCTGATTTCTCCTAAACTTTTAGCAACAACGGGTTTAAGATTACGATTTATTTTGTGATAGGAGTGAAGATCCAGGGTTCTCGAGAAGGGTGGGATATTAAAAGAGCCCTCATTTATCTGTTGTAACTCATAGTAACTATCTATTCATCTTTGGCATAGTGACTCTATGTAATTTCATGTAATCCCAATAATGTTTGACCATCTTGGCTGATACCACCTTAGAAAACACCAGTGGTGGAGACCTATCTCTCATTGTCTCTCAGGTTTCCGACTGCAGGTTAAAAACTTCTTCATCTACCATGCCGGGGCGCAAAGCTTCAGCTCTGTTTTATACCGGTTACGAACTCTTTGACGTGGCTCTCATCTCCAGAGAAAAGTGCTTACGTGAACAATATATCTTTTTAGTGGAAGCCAAAACCCTCATACACACATTCATTACATCAAGGCTCAACTATGCAAACTCCCTGCTTGTCAGACCTCCCCAACTCCTCCCTCCATAGGCTGCAGATCATCCAGAACTCTGCAGCCCGTGTCCTCTCCCGTACCAGGCTCCGCGACCCTATCACCCCCATCCTCGCCCGACTCCACTGGCTTCCCATCACACAGAGGATACAGTTCAAGATTCCGGTTCTCACCTTTAAAGCCTTCCACGGTCTTGTTTTCCCCCCCCACCCCCCAACCTCTGTGACCTCCTAACCCCCTACCATCCTGTCCGCTCCCTCCGCTCAGCGGGCTCAGGCCTGCTTCACGTCCCCTGCCTTGCCAGTCCCACCATTGACGGGTGGACCTTCTGCCACTCTGCCCCCACCCTCTGGAACTCCATCCCACAGTCCCTCCGCCTCGCCCCCTTTCCTTGCCTCCTTCAAGACCCATCTCAAGACCCTCCTTTTCGACTGTGCTTTGGATCACACTGCTTCCCATCACAAGTCTATCAATGCCCTCCTGAAGTCTTATATAGTCAGTTTCCCAAGAAAATAATAATAATGATAACAATCCTTACATTTGATACAGCGCCTTATCAATTTGTTGAGACGTCTCAAAGCGCTTCACAGGATATACTGTAAAGTGAATTGACTGTATATTTTGTGGGTGAAATGCAGGAGCCAATTGCGTACAGCAGTGTCCCACAAGCGGCCGTGGATTGAGTTTATTATTGACCATATTATTTATTTTATTAATTTTTTGAAGGTGTTATTATTACCCCTGGAAAAGCGATCCGCCAATCAAATAGCAATCTGGATCCTATTTACTGCGAGGTAAACAGAGGTGTGTTGAGTAAGGAAACTTGCCTAAGATTTCCCCCCTGCCCAGGTCCTCTCGCTTGCGAGGTGAGTGCTCTAACCAATAAGCTACAGGACTCCAATTTAATATCTAGTATTGGATACAAATCCTCTGATTTATGCCCCTGTCAGCCCGGTTCAGTTGGTAACGCTCTTGCCGCTGAGACAGAAGGTGGTGTGTGTTGATGTGATACGATGTGATATCAAATGTAAGGATTATCATTAGAAAGTAGAGATCTCAGTGCAGACCCCTGCGGCACACCACTCGACACATCCTACCAGTCTGAGAAACATTTATTGATTCCCACTCTCTGGTGTCTCTGACCTGTGCTGTACATGTCCACGGTAAAGAGATCTGCGCTCTTCTCTGTGCTGCATTTACAGTCTTGTGTAAAAAGATTGATCTGTATTGTGCTCGCGCCTTGACCGAGCACGTTGTATCTGACCTGTGAGAGTTACTCGCGCTGTGCACAAGGTCTGTGTTAGAAATTTTAGAACTATAACATTCACAGAACAGAAGAAGGCCATTCGGCCCTTTTAAGTCGGTACTGGTTCTTTTAAGAAAATTGTTCAGTCCCATTTACCTGCCCTTTATTATAATAATAGCCCTTGTTTTTGATATAGCGCCTTAACACGTCTTCGAGACGTCTCAAAGCGCTTCACAGAATATCCTGTAAAGTGAATTGACTGTATATTTTGTAGGCGAAACACAGCAGCCAATTGCGCACAGCAATGACCCGTAAACAGTCGTGGATTGAGTGACCAAATTTTTTTTATATGATGGGATTATTGCCCCCGGAAAAGCGATCCGCCAATCGACTAACAGCCGGGTTCCTACTGACTGATGGCTAAACAGAGGCGTGTGGAGTAAGGATACTTGCCCAACATTTCGGCCCCTGCCCGGGAATCGAACCCAGGTCCTCTCGCTTGTGAGGCGAGTCCTCTAACCACTGATCTACAGGACTCCTTTCCCCACGCCCCAGTTGTTTACTCCTGTTTAGGTATTTATCTAGTTCCCATTTGAAAGCTAATAAGGATTCAGCCTGAACCACTCCTCCTGGCAAGGCATTCCGTATCCTATCTGTGTACGTGTGTGCAAACTGGCGATGGGCCTGAAATTTATTTAAATACAATGAAAAAAATTCCCCCCCACTCCCCCTGCTCAGGAACCACGGAAAAGTTACTCTCCTCACAAGCAGCTTTCATCCCTCCACCGCTCCCCTTCCCAGTCCAGTCATCGCGTCCCCTGAGAGCCCAGTGTTTGCCTGAGTTTTGCCACTCTCCCTGTAAGGGCATTAGGATCGTTCACAGACACAAACTCGTTTGGTTCCGTTGTACGTAAACCATTACTCAGTTGGAATGTAACCTTTCTTCCACCTGCCCAACATTTCGTCCCCATCTTCCATCGTTTTGAGACTTTTGAACCTTTTAGCTCCAGTTCTGCGGTTGCAAACAATGTCAAAAATCCCGCTTCCATCACCTGTCTCTCAGCGTTTGTTTGGGGGTGAGGGGGGGGCGGGGGGTGGGGGGTAAAGGAAAAAGTGTGTCTCCCGTTATATTTACCCTCAGAGGACACATTGAACTCGGACTCCCGGGAATCATCCTCGTCACTCTTCCTTGAACCCTCTCCAAGGTCCGTTTGTGGGTTGATGCCGTTCCCCAGATACAAGTGTCGGACAAGGATTGGGGCTCATACAGTGGGCTCTAACCCCGTGGCCTTCGTTACAGGCTCACTTTATAGGCATCCCACTACATGGTTGCGGCTCACATTACCCGGTGCCTTGTGTGAAGGGACTTTAACCTGTTTCGCTGAAGCAAGCGCTGTGTGCTGCTGTCGAAAATGTAACCGATCTCGTTTTCATAGGAGGAAAAGTTCAGGGGACAAATAGAAAATTGTTTTTAAAGGGGGAAAAAAAAAGTGCCCCTGCTCAATCCTGCTGTACATGTGTTTACCCACAAAATACACAGTCACACCACTTTACAGTATATCCTGTGATGTGTTTGGGATGTCCTCTGGTTGTTAAAGACTCTTATCGATATTATTATTATTATTAATAGTAGTAGTACATTATTGGCCTGTGCCTCGTAACCGAAACAGCTGAAACCCTCGTCCACACCTTTGTCACTTTTCCCGGCTGGACTATTCCAACGCCCTCCTCGCTGGTCTCCCCAGCTCCACCGTACACAATATCCAATTCATTCAAAACTCTGCCGCCCGGATACTCGCCCGCACGAAACTCCGGACCCCCATCACGCCAGTCCTTGCCGGGCTCCACTGGCTCCCAATCACCGAACGGATCGATTTCAAGATCCTCTCAATGGTTTCCAATTGCCTTCACGTCCTCGCACCTCCCGACCTCTCCGACCTGCTCACCCCCGCCCCCCCCCACCACTCCACCACCCGCTGGCTCTGGCCTCCTGTTTGCCCCGCGTGCCCACCGATCCGCCATCGGTGGCCGTGCCTTCAACCGCGCCCCCAAAACTCTGGAACTCTCTCCCTCCCCACCTTCAAATCCCCCCTAAAGACCTTTCCTTTTTGATCGCACTCTGGGTCACCTCACCCCCTCCCTCTCTCCCCCTGGCTCGTTTGTCAGACTCCCCCCACTGTGAAGCGCTCCGGGACACCGCTCGGTACGAAGGCCGGTATATAAGTATATCAAAAGGTTTCGTCGTTGTTGTTGTCGTGTGTTCCCGCATTGAACGCATGCAACGATTTCAATTCGGTGAAGTCGGGCGTCTCGAAGCTGAGAGCTCTTCGGATTGGAGTGACTTAAAAAAAAAGACGGCTCAGTGTAAAAAGCACAGACAACTCCCAACCCCGCGTGTCGTCTGAGCCAGACATTGCCCATCGAGCATCTTCCATTGCCATTCGAACGTGTGGAATTTTTTTTTTTGGGGGTGGGGTGGGGGGGGGGGGTTGGGGGTCTTAGGCATCGGAAGTGAGCGTGGCTCTTGTGCAGCCTCTGCTGGCCTGTTCGTGCGAGTATCGGGAGCCAGGAAACATCCTGACGGATTTCAAGCCAGTTGCAATCTCATCGCTTTCCCGCGAGGGAGGGGTTGGTGGATCTTTTGGAATGGGCTGGGGGGTGGGGGTTGGGGGGGAGTGGTTGTTCAACGTGAGCTCTTACAGCACGACGTGCAGAGAGAGACTTCGTGTCATTATTTAATCAGGGCATTAAATCCATATTCCTGGAGCACGTGGAGCGGAGCTCGAATGTATCAGCGCGATGGTAATCGGACAGCGTGGGGTTGGGGAGGGAAGATGCGTCCGTACAGACACAAGAGACGTTCAAGACCACCTGAAGATACAGACCATGTCCCAGTTCACAAAATGCGACACTGTATCTCGAAGACGTGGGATAGATTTATTTAAATGAACGTATTTTTTTCTCTCTCTCTCTCTCTCTCTCTCATCAAGACCTGAGTTCAGTTCCAGGCAGAGGGCGAAACCTTGGGCAAGTTTCCTTACTCCACACAGAGCCTAATAATAATCCCTCCAAAAAAACAAAAACAATAATTAAATTGGTCATTTTCAATCTACGACTGTTTGTGGGACATTGCTGTGCGCAATTGGCTGCCACGTTCGCCCACAAATATACAGTCAATTCACTTTACAGTGTGTTCTGTGAAGTGCTTTGGGACGTCCTCCCGACGTGAAAAGCGCTATATCAAATGCAAGGATTATTATTATTATCATCAGAAAATCATCATTTTCTCTTGGACTTTGTAATGGTATCACGACTTCTTGGCCCGGCCTGTGTATCTTTTAGCGATATTTCGTTTTTGCCGCAATTGACATCAGTTGTCCGGAACGGTTGATTCCGGTGTGTATTTCAGCTGTGAGGTGACGCAGTGGGATTTTGATGAAACCGTCCCCAGGTCTGAGCTGCTGAAGCAAGTTGCTGGAGCCCATGGCCTGTTCTGCTTATTGACCGAAAAAATCGACAAAGAACTTTTGGACGCTGCAGGTATGAGAATGAAGCGAATCTGCGTGACACGAGCCCCGTAACGCATTAATGCGCACAAATCTTTATTCCGCTTGACTTTCAGGCCATATTAGCTGTTTTCCAGGATTTTCTACGAACTGCTTTAATGATACTCCAGTCAAAAGGGTTTTCTTGTTGGGTTTTTTTTTATTACGCACACCCAAGGAAATTCACAGGCAAAGCCTGAGGATTAAGTAGTGCCCAGTGTGTCACTATTTCAAAAAAAAAAGTGATTCAATCACGAATAGGCTTCCAGCCTTTTGACTGATTAAAGGGTTCAGTATCAGTTGCCACTAAGGTTTTTTTTAAATGTAATATTTTCATTACATTGCGCGCTTTCAGCCACTACGCCCCGAAACTCTGGAAAACTCTTCCTCTATCCCTGCGCCTCGCCCCTTCCTTCCCCATCTTCAGGTCGCGCCTGAAGAACTTCCTTTTCGACCGTGCCTCCGCTCGCCTCCCCCTGGCTTGGTGTCGTGCTCCACCACTGTAAAGCGCTCTGGGACGCGATTATAAATGCAAGTTGCTGTAGTCCTTGTGTTTTTGGTTGGAATTTTGTGATGTCTGGAACAGTTCAGTTCGCTGTTGCTTTGCAACGGATCTTAAGGTGTATATTTGCCCTGAGATAAAGTATTCGGAGTGTCCTTCCCGGATGGGATGGTACCATTTAAGCTCTGGATATCCATTACTCTGTTTGCTCTTGGAGAAATAGGGGCGACACGTCAGGGTTGTAATGCTATTCCAATCGTAATTTAACTACCGAAGTAGAACCACTGATGCAGTACATTCATTCTGTACAACACAAATGCTGCACTTTACATGAGGATGATCAGAATCCTTGCCCTTGTTGTAGTGCCTAGAACATCAAAGCCTCTAAGTGCTTCGCCGTTAACTGCTGTCAAGGGCAATGTGTATTTGTAGGTAACTACAGCAATGAATTTGCACACTGCAAGGTTCACAAATCGGCATGGCGTGAATAATCAATTTATCTGGCGGATTGTTTAACAGAACAGCCTGGGGAGACTTCCTTCTCATTTTGAGTAGTACCCCATCTACTTGAAAACAGGCAGGTGAGATTTCCGTACAATATACGGTTCTGGTTTCTGTGGTAGAAGGTGAGGGGGTTCCCAAGCTCTAGAAGAGGAAAACAGCAGGGATGAACCCCAGTGTTAGAGGAAAAGGCGAAAAGGATTAGACAGGTTAGAGCACTTCAGGAGAGGACCTTTATAGATGTGTATAAAATTATAAATGGGATTCAGAGAGTAAACCTTTACTTTACTTTAGGATGCACTAAGGCAGTAGAGTTTACAGGTTTAAATAGGTTTGGAGTTACAAAGGGCAATTTCAGGACAGACGCAACAAAATATTTTCTTTCTTCCATCTGCTTCCTCGACCCCATCCCTACCCATCTCCTTGCCTCTCAGCTCCACCTCCTTGCTCGTCTACTCACAGCAATCATCAACCTCTCCTTGTCCACTGGCACTGTTCTCACCCCCTTAAAAACAGCCGTCATCACCCCCCATCCTTAATAAATAAAAAAAAACATTCCCTGGACCCATCTCTGCTCTCCAATTACCGCCCCATCTCCAACTTCCCTTTCCTTTCCAAAGCCCTGGAACAAGTCGTTCATTCCCAGCTTCGCTCCTTCCTCTTCCGCCACTCTCTCTACGAACTCCTCCAATTGGGTTTCCGTGCCGCCCACAGCACAGAAACAGCCCTGGACAAAGTGTGACAGATGACATATTGTCCACCTGTGACCAGGGCTCCCTATGTCTCCTCATCCTCCTTGACCTCTCTGCTGCCTTTGACACTTGTTGACCATTCTATCCTTCTCCACCATCTCACCTCAACCTTGGTGGTCCTGTCCTCGACTGCTTCACTGTGGAAATGAGGGAGGTGTTGCCTTTCTCCGAACATGGCCACATAAGAAAGGTTTCAGCACTAAGCGGCAAGTGGAGTATTTACCTCTTAAATAGGGTGTTGTCGGTGTACTGTGCTGTCAGCCAAAGAGAGGTTAGTTACTGTATTGGAAAGTAAAAATGTTTTTCTCTTAAAACGTTTCTTTGAAACTAGAAATTGGAACTCTTGCCATGAATGAATTCACCTCCAAACCATTTCTTGTTCACAGGCCCCAATCTGAAAGTGATCAGCACTATGTCTGTGGGACATGATCACCTTTCTCTGGATGAAATCAAAAAAAGGTAATTGCTCATCTGAACTTTCACTTGATATAATAATACTTGCATTTGATATAGCGCCTGAATTTATGTCTGAAAGTACAGAGAGGTATTTCATCGACGCAGGAAATTAAGTAGAAATCAGATAAACAGAATAATGGAAACGTTATCACAACTTTTTTTTACACAACAGGTTTTGACTGTATGGTATTGTTGCGCTTTCAGCCACTGCGCCCCCAAACTCTGGAACGCTCTCCCTCAATCCCTCCGCCTTGCCCCCTCTCTCCCCTGTTTCAAGTCCCGCCTGAGAACCTTCCTCTTCGACTGTGCTTACGGTCACCTTCACCCCCCCCCCCCCCCACCACCCCGGTTCGGAGTCAGGCTCCACCGCTGTTAAGCTCTCTGAGACGCTACCCTGCCTGGAAGGGTAACTACATAAGTGCATGTTGCTGCTGTTGTTGTTAAAATGTTATTTCAAGCAAACTTAAGAACGAGATTCCTTGATCAAATTGCGGAGGCTTTAATCCTTATTTAGGCTGGAGGTAACCTGGAACGTTGATGTGTAATAATTCTCACCGTGTTGTTGAAGGGGAATCCGGGTGGGCTACACCCCAGATGTCCTGACTGATGCCACCGCTGAGCTCACCGTGGCTTTACTCCTGGCCACATCCCGCAGACTGATGGAGGCGGTGGCTGAAGCCAAAAAGTGAGTTTGTTTTCATCAACTTGGGTGTCCGGTTAGAACTGGCGATCGGGGTCTGTTACGCGGATTCTGTTAACCACGTGTAAACGCTTAATCTTAATAAATTTCGGTTCGATTGACTCGGGGCTGACCTGTCCTTTTACTAAAGTGGCTCGATTCCCATTCCCTTCACATCCAGGTGATCACACCCCCACCCTCAAAAAAAAAAAAAAAAAAAAAACCTTCTTCCCTCAACCCCTCAAAAGTAACACGTTATCTGAAGTTGCTTTGAGATTTTTTTTGCGTGCCGTTTCGTCATTGTTGCAAGGTTTTATCGCTGGGATTTATCATAGACTTGTTAACAAAAGATGATTTAGACCTAAGGCTTTCAGTAAAGAGGTCCCTGTCTATTGGAAGCCATGACACAAGGGGAATTATACATTTTTCCAATTTATTTAGATTAATGTGAAACCAGTATTTATTGGATAATTGTTTGTCAGCCTGTTTCAGCTGCTGGGGGTCAGTCTGCAGGTCAGGAGGGTGGGAATTCAAGGCCCATGTCAAGGCTTTTGAGCTCATGGTACAGGTTGACTTCCCAGTGTTTTGTCAGAGTTGGTTATAATGTTAAACAGAGGAACGGTCTTCCCGTTCAGGTGGATGTTAAAAATCCCATGACCCTATTCGAAAAGAGACTGGTGTGTTTCCCGGTGTCCTGGCCGACATTGCCCCAGATAAAACTGGCCGCTCGCCTCACTTGTCGGTCTGTCCTGTTCACCCCAAAGTAACTACTGCGTTTCAATAATCCTTGCACATTTTGTTTTTTGATACGGCGCCTTATCACACCTTCGAGACGCTAACTCTCGAAGCGCTTCACAGGTGTAAAGTGAATTGACCGTATATTACGCGGGCGAAACACGGCGGCCAATTGCGCACAGCAGCGTCCCGCAAACAGTGCCGTAAAGCACTTTGCATCTGATCACACCAGCGCGTTCCAAAGATCGTTAGATCTGAAACAAGAATTTTTTAAATTTAAAAACAAGGAATTCTATTACTACTGTCACATCTTTTCAATCTTGCCCGGCTGTGATGTAACTCGTGCCTCTGGTCTGACCTGTTTCAGTGGTGGCTGGGGAACTTGGAAGCCCCTGTGGATGTGCGGCTACGGACTGAGCAACAGTACGGTGGGAATTGTGGGACTGGGAAGAATAGGTAAGACCCTGGGAATCGCCAAGCTCGGGGCGTGTCCCGCTGACGTGAAAAGCGCTATCCAAACCTTGTGGTTTCGGAATCTTTTAAAACCATCGACCTGGCGAATTATTTATCCGGTCCGCAGTTTTCTTAAAGGATCCTTAAACTAATTGTGATTGGACTGCGATCCTTTTCAGCTCTTTTCCAACGTCGGGAGGTTTTTCCTTGTGTGGTTTCCGTCATTTTTTTTTTTTGAAAGGAATCTTTAATTCCTGCATTTTTATATTTTTTTTCATCCGTTTTCTTATTGGGGGGGTAATGATAGTCCTTGCATTTTATATTTTTATAGGCGCCTTATGGCGTCTTCGAGACGTCTCAAAGGGATTCACAGAATATACTGTCAAACAAATCAACTGCATATTTTGTGGGAGAAACTCAGCAGCCCATTGCGCACAGCAGCGTCCCACGAACAGCCGTAGATTGAGTGACCACATTTTTGGGGGGAAGGGATTATTAATAATAATAATAATAATCCTTGCATTTGATATAGCGCTTTTCACGTCGGGAGGACGTCCCAAAGCGCTTCACAGAACACACTGTAAAGTGAATTGACTGTATATTTGTGGGCGAACACGGCAGCCAATTGCGCACAGCAATGTCCCACAAACAGTCGTGGATTGAAAATGACCAATTTATTATTGTTTTTGGTTTTGGAGGGATTATTATTAGGCTCTGTGTGGAGTAAGGAAACTTGCCCAAGGTTTCGCCCTCTGCCTGGAAATTATCCCAGTAAAGTGACGTTCAATATTGATTTTCTCTCTCCTACAGGTATAGCCGTTGGACAGTGCTTGAAGCCATTTGGTGTGAAGAAGTTTCTGTACACAGATTTTGAGCCTAAGCCGGATATTGCTGCACAGATACAGGCCGAGTACGGTAAGAACGGACAACAACCGCACATTAACTCCATTAGTATTTGTACATCTAACAGCGGAAAAAGAGCTTTGGCCATCGGACGCCATGTCGCTATCCTTTCCATGTATGTGTTCGTCAAAGGTGTTAAATTAACTGTAGTGGTCAGACACGCACCCAGTCTGCAGGCTATAGTGCGTTAGTGCGTTCATGATTTGTCACACACACACACACACAAAAGCACGCACATAGTTCCATCAGGGACAGTGCTTGTGTTTTATGCTTCTCCTGGTACTAATGTTAATTGTTCTATCCCTTTCACTGCGTCCCCATTGCTATTCTGCCTGAAGTCCCACTAACAGTGGAACAGTGGGTGGAAAATGCAGGACAGAAGTTGCAGTGAAGCGAAACCCAGCAGCCAACTGGGCACAGCAGCGTCTCACAAACGGTCACGGATCGAGTGACCAAATTATTCTGATCTTGTTTTTCCTTTAACTTATTTTTGTTTTGAAGAAATTATTACCCCCGGAAAAGTGATCCACACCAATCGACTTGCAACCGGGTTCCTACTTACTGCCAGGTAAACAGAGGCGTGTGGAGTAAGGAAACTCGGACCAATGTTTCTCCCCGGTCGGGAATCAAACCCGGGTCCTCTCGCTTGCGAGGCGAGTGCTCTAACCACTGAGCTCCACGATATGATGCCTTATGATCTCAATTAAACATATCGGGATTATCCGCCTTTTATCTTTCGGGTACCAGTTTTCCATCACACTCAATTGGATCGGATTCATGGTAAACATCAGTTGTTTGAGGTGGTATAAGTCGAGCCTTTCTGTCTTCTGTTTGTTGCAGTGCCTTTGGACAAACTGGCTGAGGAATCTGACTTTGTAACCTTACATTGTGCCTTGACCCCTGAAACGCAGGGCTTGTACAACAAAGATTTGTTTTCCAAGATGAAAAAGACGGCTGTGTTAATAAACACGAGCAGGTGGGACACTGATAAAATAACAAACAGCCAGAAAGTGAACCCCCAACAACAACAACAAATTACATTTGTGCAGCCCCTTTCAGGTCAGAGGGGACGTTCCAAGGCGCTGGACAGTCAGGGATCTGCACCCGAGCTGGGGTTTGGGATCAGGAGGGGTGGAGGGCGGGGAGGGTAGGGGTAGGAGGGTGACCGAAGGCACGGTCAAAGAGGAGGGTCTTGAAAGAGGTAAGAGAGGGGCGCGAGGCGGAGGGATTGTGGGATGGTGTTCCAGAGGGTGGGAGGAGAGAGGCTGAAGGCCTGCCCGCCAATGGTGGGGCGCGCGAGGCGGGGGACGTAAAGCAGGCCGGAGCCCGCTGAGTGGAGAGCGCGGACAGGTTGGTAGGGAGTTAGGAGGTCACAGAGGTAGAGAGGAGTGAGATTGTAGAGGGCTTTTGAAGGTGAGGACCAGGATCTTGAACTGCATCCTCTGAGTGACGGGGAGCCGGTGGGGCCAGGTGAGGATGGGGGTGATGAGGTTGCGGAGAGAAGACTCCAGACCAGTCTTGAAAGTACTGCAACGTCAACCATCCTTCAGATGGACATGGAACTACAGGCCTAAACCCACCCACAGTCCCATTCAAAAAGGAAAGGGAGCTTCTCCTACTATCCTTGGCCAACTATCCTTGATAGAACTTGTTTGCTTTCTGGCTGTTTGTCCCAACATTGTTGCATGCAAATTGGTTGCAGTGTTTACCTATGAATACAGTCACTACATGTACTCATGATTGCTGTCAATGAGTGTGCCATCTCTGACCCTCTGATCAGTGTTTGTTTCGTTCTCCAGAGGAGCTGTGGTGAATCAGGAGGACCTGTATCAGGCTCTGACCACTGGGCAGATCGCAGCAGCAGGAATGGATGTCACTGTTCCTGAGCCACTGCCCACTGACCACCCTCTCTTCACTCTGAAAAACTGCGGTAAGTCAGAAGTAGTCGATCGTATTCCTCAAAATGTTGACATCTTGCCAAATTAGACATTCTACCTTCCAATATTCTGTCCCTTACGAAGACACGGACTCCTCCCGAGGTCCATGGGTGTCAGTCATTCTGGGGTCGCTCAACCGAGAGATCATTCATCGTGTGAGTTCAACAACAACTTGCATTTATATAACACCCTTCACCCCGGACAGGGTCTCGAATTCAGACAATGAGTTACATAGGCTGTTTGACGTTAGTTGTTGTCGGTGATGAGGAGAGGGTGGATCTAGGAAAGCCCATTATAGCTGAACTCGATCCAGTCCATACCGTTGTCTTACACCCAGATGGACCTTCCAGCATGAATCCCCCACCCCCAGAAACCAGGCAGGACTGTGAATTCCGGTTGATTTCCCAATCAACCGAGACCTATTGCTCTGCCCCACCCGAGCTGCGTTGCCGCAGGACACAGCTGGATTGCTCCCACCGTGGACTGGAGGCTCGGGTTTCTCAGTTGGGTGATGGTTCTCCAAAGTCAGCTACTGGAAGAAAACCCCCCTTTTTTTTTACACACTAATCTTGTGGCTGCATCACACAACAGGAGATTTGGAATAAACGACTCCATGATATAGGAACCTTTCGGCCCTCTTTTGTGTCTGTTCCACCAGTTTAGTAGATTGCAGCTGATCTTCTAATCGCACTTCCCGGTCGTTTCTCCATACTCCTTGAGGCGCTTTCCAATTGCTCATCGATCTCCTTTCAACCGTCCCGTAAACTGGAGTGTTGTACAGGGAATCGCCCACTTGTAACCTCATCCCCCCCAATGAGGTCCGGAACCAGATCTCCGATGATTCCTCCATCAGAATAACACGCACATTGTACAGGGTTTCTCGGCAGAAACGGTTACGTCAACGAACACTTCCTTAAAGGTTTCTTTGATCGAGTTCTTTCTTCAAACCCCCCCCCCCCCCCCCCCCAACCATGACCCGCGAGTTTTTTTGATCGATTGATTGATTGATTAATTTTTAAAGCACCTTTTTGGCACTTGTGTAAAAGTGGCTTCAGCGGAGATGATTTTTTTTAAAACAAACAATATATATATATATATATGTACATAGAGAGAGATAATAATGGATATTGCCTTGTGTTTCCAGTTATTCTGCCCCATATTGCCAGCGCCACCATCGCGACTCGGACGACCATGTCCGTATTGGCTGCCAATAATCTCCTGTCGGGCCTGAGAGGTGCACCGATGCCAAAGGAACTGACGCTGTGAAGCGAGTCGCGAAGCGCAGGAAGACGCCCGTAACTCGGGCGCGACGGTGCGATGGGCTGCGGACGCGCTGTTCAGCGTTACACCCAATAAAAGATGATCATTAATCCTCATTAAATAAACCCCAAAGTCTGGGCTTCACCTAAAACACAATCCCCGAAATCCACGTTTCTTTTTTTTTGACGCAATCGTTACTTTTTATATATATATATATAATCCCTTCAAATCATATTATTAGTGATCATCGTAATAATTCGGTCACTTCGATCCACAACTGTTTGTGGGGGCGGTGGGGGTGTGGGGACGGTGTGGGTGGGGGGTTGGTGGGTGTGGTGGGGGGTGGTCTGGGGGCTGGGAGGATGGTCTGAGTGGGGAGTGGGGGGGTTGGGGGGGCGGTGGGGGGGGGGACGTTGGGGGGTTGGGGTGTCGGTGCGGGTGTGGACTGGGTGAGGTGGGGGGACATTGGGGGCGGTGGGGGTTTGGGGGTGAGGTGGGTGTGGGGCTGGGGATAGGGGCGGTGGGGGTTGGGGTGTCGGTGCGGGTGGGGGGCGGTCTGAGTGGAGTGGGTGGTGGGGGTTTGGTGGGGGGTTGAGGTGGGAGGACGTTGGGGTGTGGGTGGGTGGTGGGGGGGCGGTGGGGGGGGTGGGGAGGACCGTTGGGGGGGTGGGGTTGCAGGTGTCGGTTGGGCTGGAGGGGCAGTGCCGGTGGGGGGCAGTGGGTGGCGGTGGGGGTGTGGCTGGAGGGGCAGTGCCGGTGGTGGGCAGTGCCGGTGGGGTGGTGGGCAGTGCCGGTGGGGGTGGTGGGCAGTGCCGGTGGGGGTGGTGGGCAGTGCCGGTGGGGGTGGTGGGCAGTGCCGGTGGGGGTGGTGGGCAGTGCCGGTGTCTGGCAGTAGGTGGCGGTGTGGCCGGAGGGCAGTGGGTGCCGGTGGGGGTGGAGGGCAGTGCCGGTGTGGCTGGAGGGCAGTGGGTGCCGGTGTGGCCGGAGGGCAGTGCCGGTGGGGGTGGAGGGCAGTGCCGGTGTCTGGCAGTAGGTGGCGGTGTGGGTGGAGGGCAGTGTCGGTGTGGCTGGAGGGGCAGTGCCGGTGGAGGGCAGTGCCGGTGGGGTTCAGGCGGATGGCGATGGCTCAGGAGCTGCTGAAGGTGTTTGTGAGCCGGAGGATCCCTCTCGAGGGTTTCAGGGCCTTGGCCGAGGCCGGGATGTGAGTGAGGGGGTGGGGGGGGCAGCTCAGACCCGCAACCCCGAGGCCTGGGGCCCGGGGGGGAGACTGTGTGTGTGTCTCTGTGTGTCTGTGTGTCTCTCTGTGAGTGTGTGTCTGTGTGTGTCTCTCTCTGTGTCTGTGTGTGTCTCTCTCTCTGTGTCTGTGTGTGTGTGTCTGTGTCTGTGTGTGTGTCTCTCTGTGTGTGTCTCTGTGTGTGTGTGTGTGTCTCTCTCTGTGTCTGTGTGTGTGTGTCTCTCTGTGTGTGTCTCTGTGTGTGTGTGTGTGTGTCTCTCTCTGTGTCTGTGTGTGTGTGTCTCTGTGTGTGTGTCTCTGTGTGTGTGTGTGTGTGTCTCTCTCTGTGTCTGTGTGTGTGTGTCTGTGTGTGTGTCTCTGTGTGTGTGTGTGTGTCTCTCTCTGTGTGTTTGTGTCTCTCTGTGTCTGTGTGTGTGTGTCTCTCTCTGTGTCTGTGTGTGTCTCTCTGTGTCTGTGTGTGTGTGTCTCTGTGTGTGTGTGTCTGTGTGTGTGTCTCTGTGTGTGTGTCTCTGTGTGTGTGTGTGTGTGTCTCTCTCTGTGTGTGTGTGTCTCTCTGTGTCTGTGTGTGTGTGTCTCTCTCTGTGTCTGTGTGTGTCTCTCTGTGTCTGTGTGTGTGTGTGTGTGTCTCTCTCTCTGTATGTGTGTCTCTCTCTCTCTGTGTCTCTCTCTGTGTCTCCTTTACAAAGTCAAGTGAAAAGGTTTCCTTTTCTAATCCTTTCCATGTTTTATGTTTTTGCAACATGTGCCTTCCTGATTCCCTTCTCTGGGCGCGAGTCTCCCTAAACGGTTTAATCTGAATTCTCTGCGGTCACAGCAGGATTATTTTTTTTATAAAATAAAACACCCCAAAATATATTTATTTATTTGTTTGTTTGTGTGTTGACTTAGAATATACATTTCCACTTCTCTCAAAGAAGAAAAGATCCTATGACGGAAAGAAGGAAACGCAACACCTCAGTGTCCGGTTAATAAGGACTCCGGGTCTGGCGGAGGCAGGGACCAAGGTCACTGCGGGATTATCAGTGTTACCGATGGTCCAGTAATAATCATCATCATAATAATAATCCTCGCATCCGATACAGCGCCTTTATCACGTCTTCGAGACGTCTCGAAGCGCTCCACGGGATAGACTGCAAAGTGAATTGACTGCGTGTTTTGTGGGCGAAACGCGGCAGCCAATTGCGCACAGCGGCGTCCCCCCGCGACCAGTCGTGGATTGAAGTGACCCGTTTATCTATTTTTAAAGGGATTGAAGTCCGCGTAGTGTTCAGTGAGCGCAGCACTTTGGAACTCTTTGGCAGCCGGAGAGAGTTTATGGCTTCTCTTAGTCTCTGACCTTGTTTGACGGCACCTCAGGCCCTGACGGTTCTTTGTGAACCTAGTTTTAGGATTTAAGATGTTAAGACTGTGCCGAATTTTGGAAACGTCTCTGTTGCATGTCGCTGACCAGGTCTTGCTGTTGCCGGTCGTTCCGTGTCTTGATGTGCGGTTGGAAGCGGTTTTACCTTGTCACCGTGTATCTGAACCAGTTGCGTTGTTTCCAGGGTGATCCGTGTGTGTAGTGTGTAGTAGTAAAAATAATAATAATCCTCGCATTTGATATAGCGCCTTATCACATCTTCGAGACATCTCAAAGCGCTTCACAGAATATATTGTAAAGTGAATTGACTGTGTGCTTTGAAGGCGAAACACGGCAGCCTCTAAGCTACAGGACTCCGCATGTGTACAATATCCGGTCACGTTCCTTTGACACAGATATTTATAATAATAATCCTTGTATTTGATATAGTGCTTTTCACGTCGGGAGGATGTCCCAAAGCGCTTCACAGAACACACTGTAAAGTGAATTGACTGTATATTTGTGGGCGAACGCGGCAGCCAATTGCGCACAGCAATGTTCCACAAACAGTCGTAGATTGAAAATGACCAATTTATTATTGTTTTTGGTTTTGGAGGGATTATTATTAGGCTCTGTGTGGAGTAAGGAAACTTGCCCAAGGTTTCACCCTCTGCCTGGAATTGAACTCAGGTCTCTCACTGGCAAAGCGAGTGCTCTAACCACTGAGCTACAGGACTCCACTCTGGTTACCACCGTGAACTGGCTCTAATTTTTAAAGACTCGTATAAAGATTTGCAGAGTCTTGCCTCTCGCTGGCAGGTCCTCTGGAACTTCACTCAGGACACCGATCTCACTCTCAGCATCCACGAAGGTGGCGTTCCAGAGGATTCAAACGTGACACATCCAGGATTCATTAGTTACAAGTATTTCGCTGAATCGCACAAGTTAAGACCCTCATATAATCTCACAAGTTAGACCCTCATATATAGTGTTTGTCACACACACTATAATACAGGATCGGCGCTTGTTGCATTCGTTAACTTTCTGTCCCTACAAGAATACAGTTCAACATTTACCCACCACTTCTCACACCTTTCACTGACTGCATTGAGGTATTTTCCCGAGCTGTTCTGATAAACACAGAGTCCCACTCTGATTTTACTGGGCCGTCTAGGTACGCCAGTCACTTTAGTAAGGTAGAAAATATATATGGCTATATTTGTAGCATTAGGATCGGGGAGTGTTGTTGCTCTTCTCAAACGGGATCAGTTATTCTCTTGCAGCAGAAGCTGCTGCTGAGTATGAGCTGAATAGGTTTTCACATGACTTGTTTTTGTTGACCCAAGTGAAACGCCGATTGCACAGTGTAATTGTGCAGAATAAGCATTGTACAAGTGCAGCTCAGCAATCTCAGAGACTTTGCGCACTGCCAGTGACTGGTCAAAGTTTGATGGGTGCGAGTGATGTAGATAGAGGGGTCACCTCTGGTGCATTTAACAACAAAATCCCTTTACTGCAATTTGTCGATACAGTCGTCTAAGTTCACAGCAGTATTCTAAACACAGGACAGACAGTTGCAGGTTTTTACATTATGTTACTATTCCACTTGTGCATCCTCTGTTCTAAAGGGTATTATTTTAATAATAATAGTAATCCTTGCATTTCATATAGAGCTTTATCAAACCGCTGAGCTGTCTCACAATGGCATTTTAAATGCCATGACTGCACGTGGGACACTGCAATGCGCAACCGGCTGTCGCGTTTCGCCCACAAAATACACGGTCAATCCACTTTATCCTGTGACTTTATTCTGTCGTGGCATTTTAAATGCCATTTTTTTCTTCTCCCCTCTTGAAGGCCTTTAATTTCTTTTCCATTGGGAGTACACGAGAACAATAACGAAACTACATGTATGAGGCGCCTTTCACGTCGGGAGAAAGTCCTAAGGCGCTGGACAGTCACGGATATGGAACCGAGCTGGGGGTGGGGGGGGGGGGGTTGGGATCAGTGGGTGCGGAGGGCAGGGAGGGTAGGGGTAAGGAGTGTGGCCAAAGACTCGGTTAAAGAGGAGGGTCTTGAAACGTGCCTTGACGGAGGGAGGGAGGGGAAGAGAATATAGGGTGGCGTTCATCACTGTTATCCCGTCTCGTTTCAGCTGCACAATCGGCCAGTGGGATTCGGACGAGCCAGTGACCCGCCAGGAGCTGCTCAAGGGGATTGCGGGAGCGCACGGCTTGTACTGCATGTTAACGGACAAGATCGATGAGGAGATTTTACAAGCGGCAGGTACAGTTACCCCCTCCGGCGGCTCCGCGCTGACGTGTTGCAATGTGGCACTAATCCGGTTGTGCTGTAAGGCGTCATGGTGAAGGACCAGTCCTTGGGAGCCGGGTTGCTTCCCGCTCAACGCCCGTTTATCCTGCAAACCGAGGCCCTTAGCAGGTAGCACGGCCCAGGCTGGACAAGCAAGGTGGACGCTTGTCGGACACTGTTGTCAATGGGCGCAGCTGAAACATTTTGCTGACATGTAGCCTCGCTGCCACATTCATAGTGACAACTGATGACATTAGCTCAGTGGATATCTAACCACTAGATGGCGCTATCGCGGTTGGATATCTTACCACTAGGCTGCGCTACCTCCTCCTCGTCCCCCGAGTCCTCCGCTCCACCGCCAGCGGCCGTGCCTTCAGCCACTATGCCCCGAGGCTCTGCCTTCCTCACTCCCTTCGTCTCGCTCCCTCTCTTCCTATTTTCAGGTCTCGGCTGAAGATCTTTCTTTTCGACCGCACCGTTGGTGACCTTCCTCCCCGCCCCCCCCCTCCCCCGTCTCAAAGTGCTTAACAGAATATACTGTAAAGTGAATTGACTGCATGTTCGAAACACGGCAGCCAATTGCTCACAGCAGCAGTGAGTCCCACAGACAGTCGTGGACTCAAGTGACTGATTTTATTATTGTTTTTTTTCTTGAGGGGTTATTATCAGGCGTGTGGAGTAAGGAAACTTGCCCAAGGTTTCGCCCTGACCTGCCGGGAATCGAACCCAGGTCTCTCGCTTGCGAGGCGAGTGCTATAACCACTGAGCTACAGGACTCCCAACACTAATTGACCACTGGATTGGAGGTGGAATGTCAATTGAAACCTGTTTCATTGATTAAAACTAAAGCGACCCCGTTTCAGAAGAGAGTTAGGAACATGTATGATCTTCTTTCAGGACCAAATTTGAAAATTATCAGCACCCTTTCAGTTGGCTTCGACCATCTCTCCCTGGACGAAATCAAAAAGAGGTAAAGTCACACTTTGTGTGGAATTGTTTTTTGAACGTTGACTTATTACCAGTATCTTCAGTGGGGCAGCCAGCAATTCTCACTGACTGTGACTGGTCCCGTTGTGAATATACCGATAATCCTTACATTTGATATAGCCCCTTTCATGTAGGCAGCAGGTCTCAAAGCGCTTCACAGAGATTTACACAACTGTGCATTCGTAGGCGAACACAGCCGCCAGTTTGCACACAACAATGCCCCACAGTCGACCATGAAATGAATGGCCCAATATGAATTTCCACGACCCTTCGTGGGACGCTGCTGTGCGCACGCAGGTGGCTGCCGGGTTTCGCCCACAAAATACACAGTCAATTCACTTTTACACTATATCCTGTGAAGTGGTTTGAGACGTCTCAACGACGCGATAAGGCAAGGATTATTATTATTATTATTATTATTCTTTGAAAACAGTGCAGATATCAGGGCATTGCGTGAAATATGAAATACTGTTGGTGCTTCCTTTGGAATCAGATGAAACGTTTGCTGGGGTAATTTAATGTGAAATTACTGAGCTTAGGGCTGAGTTTTATTCTCACCGTGTTGTTGAAGGGGAATCCGGGTGGGCTACACCCCAGATGTCCTGACTGCCGCCACTGCTGAGCTCACCGTGGCTTTACTCCTGGCCACATCCCGCAGACTGATGGAGGCGGTTGAGGAAGTGAAGAAGTAAGTATTGTGTCTGTCATCCTCCAACATACCAGCGTGATGATCAGAATGTGCTGTTCGTGTGTCTCGAGTGTGAGAGCATTTGTGTCTTGAGTGCATCTGACACGTGGGGAAACCCATCCCCACGTTTAAGCGTATCCAAACCAGATTGAGAGCTCCGCGTGTGTGTGGGGGGGTTCTGTTTGTCTAGTTTTGAATGCACACTCTCTCCCTAGAGGGAAGAACCCTCCTTATCCCTCTTGCAGTTTGGCAAGAGCTGAAGCCGAGGAACCCCAGACTTTGCATTGGGGTGTTGCTGGAGTGTAACCAGCTAAAGCTGATCAGTTTACCATTGTGAACACGAGCAAGATTCTCTCCGCTTGCCCAACTAAGACTTTACATGGAGTTGTCAGTGTGAGTGAGAATGTTATGTGTGTGTACAAAATCAGTGTGTGTGTGATTGATCAGTGTGTGTGATTGATCAGTGTGTGTGTGATTGATCAGTGTGTGTGTGTGTAATTGATCAGTGTGTGTGTGTGTAATTGATCAGTGTGTGTGTGTGTGTGTAATTGATCAGTGTGTGTGATTCAGTGGAGTCTTTTCAAGGTGGTTAGTTGAAGGCCTTGTTGATGTGATTGCTTTGCAGTGGTGGCTGGAGTGCCTGGAAGCCCCTGTGGCTGTGTGGCTTTGGGCTGCAAGAGAGCACGGTGGGCATCGTGGGACTCGGAAGAATAGGTACAGATAGTTCTGATTTGCATGTCTTGCAGCTTTTCAATGAGCAGGTTACAGCTGAGTGCCAGATATTGGGACTGAGACCCTGGTGGATATGAAAACCATGCAGATATCAGGTCAACTTAACATGTAAGATGTCTTCCATCGGAAGTTACACTGTGACTATAGTACCTTGCCAAGCCAGCCTTCTCTCTCTCTGTCTCTCTGTCACACACACACACACATAATTTTCACACTTGTCAAGTTTACTCAGTGCCAGCCTTCTCAGCCTCCCTGTCTGTCTCTCTCTTTCTGCCTTTGAGTTTGGACTATGCATAATTTTGGGGTGACTACAGACACCCTCCCCGGATGGCACACCTGCGATTAACTCGTCCTGCTTCAATATTCAATCTCTGCCTTTAAACAACAGGGCTTTGAAGTGACTATTTGGGAAATGCAATCTGGGCGACATGAACGATGGTGTGAAAGAAACATCGAGTTCTCTTCAGAAGTCGATCGTTTTGTTCTTCCTTTCCTCGTTCCTGCTCCTGATGAAAACTCCCATTTTATTCATTTGTGAATAATAACAAAAACAACCTTGCATTTGATGCAGCGCCTCATCACGTCGTTTTGACGTCTCAAAGCGCTTCGCAGGGTATACGGTAAAGTGTTTTGACTCTCCAGAGCAGGCCCTTGGAATAAACGCACAACATTTTCTGATTCAGAGACGAGAGCGTTACAGAATGGTCATTCAATGTCGTTTATAATGTTTTTTTTTTAACACCCACAGGCTGTGATTTTGTACTGATTGTTCTTTAAAGGTCTAGCAATCGCTGAGCGCCTGAAGCCATTTGGAGTGAAAAGGTTCTTGTACACAGGACGACAGCCCAGGCCTGAACCTGCTGCCAAAGTACAGGCTGAATACGGTAAGGAGCGACGACGGTGACTCCAGTGACACAGTGACAGTTTTTTTTGTCAGGGATGAGGGCCTCTCTGAGAACATCTCTTGAGTAAATTTTAGAAGGAAATCAGAGGGAAAAAAATGCAAATTTTGACAATTTGGAGTCCTGTCACTCAGTGGATAGAGCACTCGTCTCGCAAGCGAGAGGACCTGGGTTTGATTCCCGGGCAGGGCGAAACCTTGGGCAAGTTTCCTAATAGTAATAATAATCCTTGCATTTGATATAGCGGACGTCTCAAAACGCTTCACAGATTAGACTGTAAAGTGAATTGACTGTATATTTGTGAGCGAACGCGGCAGCCAATTGCGCACAACAATGTCCCACAAACAGTCGTAGATTGAAAATGACCAATTTATTATTGTTTTTGGTTTTGGAGGGATTATTATTAGGCTCTGTGTGGAGTAAGGAAACTTGCCCAAGGTTTCGCCCTCTGCCTGGAATTGAGGTCTCTCGCTTGCAAAGCGCGTGCTCTAACCACTGAGCTACAGGACTCCACGCGCCTCTGTTTACCTAGCAGTAAGTAGGATCCTGGTGGTTAGTCAATTGGCAGATTGTTTTCCCAAAGGACAATAATCCCTTCAGAAAAAAGAAAAAAAAAGAAGAATTTGGTCACTCAATCCACGACTGTTTCTGGGACGCTGCTGTGCGCAATTGGCTGTGGCGTTTCGTCCACAAAATACAGAGTCAATCCATTTTACCGGATATCTTCTGAAGTGCTTTGAGACGTCGGGAAGACTTGATAAAGCGCTGTATCACATTAAAAGATTATTATTATCATTATTAATGTACGATTTTGTATATGCAGTTCGGACACAGGCACCAAACCTTGATTGAAATTCTTAATTCCACACAGTGCCTCTGAATACACTCGCCAGCCAGTCTGACTTCATTATTCTGTCGTGTTCCTTCACTCCTGACACTCAGGGAATGTGTAACAAAGACTTCTTTGCCAAAATGAAGAAAACGGCAATATTGATCAATTCTAGCAGGTAGGAGCACACTGTGACGTCTTGTGTAGTTTATTTTTTTTTGGTCACATCACCACAGGCTGCCCTCACACCACCTGAAGCCAGGAAGCATTTCATCTACAAGTTAACCGCAACACTTCATCGTGGGTGTCGTAATATTTTAAGTTGAGAGCTGAGGATGTTATGGGTGGCCTCATGTCAAATAGAAATAGTTTTTCCCCCTCACCACTGTAGTCCAACCTGTGATGAATGTAATCACAAAAGGAATTCAAGGGGAGGGATAATGGGGGGGAAAAAAATGTGGAAAGGGAATTGAAAAGACAGATGCTTGAAAAAAAGAAGTATCAAAGGGTCTGGGGAGCAAGTAAGAGAGTGGAGTTAGATGGCTGATGTGGAGAAGAACGTCAGTGTACACTTGACAGGCCATTCGGCCTGTTTGTTTGCTGTAACGTTCTGTGAGAGAAACTCCTAAACCCTGGTGAAGAACAGACATGGGTCCTCTTCCTCACAGTGACCTCTCGCATGTGTCAGACTGGCTCATTTAGTTTCTCTCTTGCCTCCTTCAATACCCTCCTACTGGACCGTGCCTTTGGTCACCCTCCTACCCCTACCCTCCCCGCCCTCCTGATCCCAACCCCCAGCTCGGGTGCGGATCCCTGACTGTCCAGCACCTCGTGACGTCCTCCTGACGTGAAAGGCGCTGTACAAATGTCATTTGTTGTTGTTGTTGTTCTAGTTATTGACCACATCTCACTAATATTAGACTAATCCTCTTATGCGGCCACTGTTTTCGGTGTTGCTTTTGACTACGAGTATTTCTTGTCTCTAGAGGAGCTGTGGTGAATCAGGAGGACCTATATCAGGCTCTGACCACTGGGCAAATCGCAGCCGCAGGAATGGATGTCACTGTTCCTGAGCCACTGCCCACCAACCACCCTCTGCTCTCACTGAAAAACTGTGGTAAGTCAAAAGTATCACTGAAAAACTGTGGTAAGTCAAAGTAAGTTGACACCAGTAATCGGGGAGAGGTTTCCCAAATATCATGTACCTTGTGTGTAACCATAGTACTAATCCTTCAGTTTGATAAAGTGCCTTATCACGTCTTCGAGACGTCACAAAGCGCTTCACAGAATATGCTGTGAAGGTATTTCGCCTGCAAAATAGACAGTCAGTTTATTCCGAGACGTTCAACATGAAAGGTGCTCTACCAAACGTAAGGATTATTAAATAAAGCCACAGGTTGAACGACGACAACATGCACTTATACCAAGGGAGAATGCCTTGATAGGGTTCAGGGTTGTGAGCAGTACCACTTTACCAGGAGGGGTGGGAGAGAGCAGAAGGCAGGACACGTTACAGGACCTGGAAGCGGTAATGGGAAGACGATAGAGTTGGTATTCTGCAAGGATCAGATCAAATGAGCCCAAAAGATAGTGCGAGAATGTAAGGTGGCAGCTTTAGTGTCATTTTGGTCACAGTCCCATCTCAATCATATCTGACCTATTTTGAAATGATTTTTGAAACTCTCCAAAGACAAATTTAACCAAACGAATCGTCCAGCGTTACGCAATGTGGACCAGACTCACTGGCTCAGGAAATCGCCGCGTTTTTGAAATGTAAAATAAACTTATCAGTTTTCTTTCAATTGTTTCCTAATAAAAGTGGTGCTCAGAATCCTGGCCACACAGTTTGGCTCCTCAACACTCAAACGCTATCTGTCATTAGTAATCAACAGTCAGAGCGGGAGCGATGTGATATTTCAGGGGCTCCTGAAAATGTAGCAGCCGTGTGGCAATTGTGAGTGAAATAAACGCACTGAATAAACAGACTCACCCGGTTTGTTGTTTATTTAGCCTTCCTACAACGAGACACCACTTGTGAGATTCACTGTGATCAGCGTTGCATGGATCAGGGGTCAGGGCTTTTGTAATCTGACTGGCTCAGCGCACATCAAGCAATCCAGTGACTGTCGTGAGTTATTGGGGAACTAAGAGCTTTCCTTCAGAGTATCAGGACTTTTAGATTTGAAGCCGAGATTCCAGTGTGCCTCAGTCTTGGCTGTTGTTATGGCTGAAGGACACATTTGAACATGTTCTCCACCGTCTTGTCTTGATATTTTGCCAATTTCTTTTTATCCAACCACTCATTGATGAAGAAGAAGTCAACTGTCGGCAGCGGTCAGCGAAACGTACTGAAGTTAACACACAAAACACTTTATTAATGCACCTAAAAATCCTTGTGTTTAAGGTGGAAGGACACAAACTATTCTTAAATCTCAAAATGTAAAAAAAAAAGAGCCTTACTTTCTGCAAGGCTGTGTTGGTGACATTCGGGGACGAAAGTTGTGGACTGTTACAACACGACAGAACTCCCACGTTTCCTTGTATCACAGTTGCTTTACCAAAGCACATAGTGTGAGATCAGGGCAGAATTATTTTCTTTTTTCCTTTTGCCGCTTCACGCCCTAACCTTCTGATATGTTTTGTTTCCAGTTGTTCTGCCTCACATTGGAAGCGCCACCTACGCGACCAGAAACGCCATGTCTGTGCTGGCAGCCAACAACCTACTGGCTGGACTCAAAGGGGAGCCTATGCCAAGCGAACTGAAAATGTAACCTCAAGAATCCTCACCCACACGCGTTCACACAAGTGCATCGATTCTCCCCCCCACCCCCCCCCCCTCCTCCTCGTGGGGACACAAGTGTGTAAAGCGTCCGTTCATGTCGGAAACACAGTTTAACATACATGGTGGTGACGCACTCCAGCGAGAGAGACTCGGGTAGTTAGTTTGTGAACATGGCAACACCAAATGACATTGATGTATTTGTTTTGACTGATTCCTTACAAAATATACGGAAGTCACTTTTATACATTAAAAAAAAAGTCATCTCACCCACTGCAGCGTGAGAGCTCGAGGAATCTCTGTGACCTTAGGGATGGTAAAAACTGGTCAGTTTCAATCATTGTTTGCAGTTTTGTGTTTTTATAGCAGTCCGTACATGGAAGAGTTTTTTTTTCTTCCCCCGCCCCTGGTTAAGGTTTTCCTCTTGCACGAATATGTTTGATTGCAGTTTCTTTTCTGGGTCCGGTTCCTGCCGGAACACAGTCTCTCGTCAGCGAGCTATTTGTCTGCAGAGGACACTACAACCTCTCCACTCATGCACGCATCCAGCAACGAACTTTAATTCTCCTCCCCTCTTCCCCCCCCCCCCCCATTCAACCCAGTGCTGCCAAGGACAACTCAAGCACTCCTCTTGTCACATTTAATAGCTTTGATTAATCGTGCAAAGCTTTGGGTGATTTTTGTGGCAGGTCTGCTCCTTTATGAAGGCAGCACTGGCTCAGCGCAATACACAACACGACTGTTTTCCTCCTGAATACAAATCTGAGGAGAAATGTTGACCAATTCGCTTGCATTTATATAGCGAATTTCATGCGAGATAGTGTCTCGAAGCGCTTAACGGGGATTGGGGGTTGGGGAACCATCTTAAGGTGACTGATGTGGCAGTGGGGAAATATTGCTGTGACATTTCACACACAACTATTGGGATTGTTCCAAACAATTTGCCGATTTATGGCTATTGTACTTGTCTAACTCCTTCAGTACCTAACGATTTCACTCCCACAACTTAAACAAACACCTCCAGTTAATGGGAATCACTCCATTCTGTTTGCACTCCCATCTTAGACCTCGGTTCAGACAGTTATCAGAGTGTTTCAGTTTTATCACCATGTCAAAAGAATACAATGGATAACAAAATAGCACGAGTATTAATTTAACCCAAATGCAAAAGAAACACAGGCAGCACAAGTCAGAGCCTCATCACAACAGGTGACAGGTGTGCAAAAGGGTTAATTTACATTCGCTTTCACTGTTGAAAATACGTATCTTGTATCTTTCGAACAATGAATGATATGAAAGCGGATATACGTCTTGTCACGCAAAAATATTTGACTCATGTTAAGCCTGGTTCAGTGTCAATGAGTAACTGCACGATAAACATGTAGCGTTCCAATGTTGAAGACAATAAAATTGAGTACAGAAAGCACACTTGCATCACTTATTGTACATTTCTGGTAGCTGCCCTGGACTGCCCAACACACACACTTTGATAAGTTTACAAAATAAGCAAATAGTGATGAAGTATTGTTCCATTTTGTTATTCTAAAATTACAAAACTATGAGGCTGTTAGAAACACAAGGTTGATGTGGAAAATAGAGGACATTAGTTCGAGGGAAACATTTTCCACAGTGTTATCATTTTGTTCATCGTTGGGGCTATTAAATTATGTGTATTCACTTAATTATTTCTTTGATTTTCACTGTTTACTGATTTAATAATTATTCTTGCGTACCCTATTGATAAAAGTATTATAAATTTAAAACTTGTATGAATTTTTACATCGCCCATTTCAAGTTTGCAGTGTATCTAAAATATAGTGAAATTAAGTGATGTGGTTACACAATTTAAAACATAGGATTTCTATAGGATTCGTACAAGTTATTTTTCTTGAAGTGAAACAAAAATATTGCTTAAGTGGCCCACGGACATTTCTCAAATCCAGCCCTCAGCAGCTAAAAAGGTTGGACCAGGTTTGGTGTAGATTATCAGTATTGTATATTTTTATTCGGCAAATGTGAGATGCTACGACGTCAATTAATTGCACCAAGATCTTGTTTCTTGTACATGGCTCAGTTGGTAGCTAACAATTGGTCACTTAATGCACGACTGTTTGTGGGACACTGCTGGGCACAATTTTGCCCACAGAATATACAGTCAATTCACTTTACAGTATATTGTGTGAAGCGCTTTGCGACGTTTTGACGATGCGATAAGGCGCTATATCAAATGAAAGGATTATTATTGTTGTTAAACCTTCAAGGAAGTTCACTGTTCTTCTGTTTTAAGCACTTCTTTTCCCCATCAAACGCAAACTGTAAGCACGATCAAAAAGGTCTTCAGGTGGGATTTGAAATTGGGGAGGGGGCAAGGCCGAGGGATTGAGGGAGAGAGTTTCGGGGCGTAGTGGCTGATGGCACGGCCACCGATGGTGGAGCGGCGGGCATGAGGAACAGGAGCCAGCCGAGCGGAGGCAGCGGGTGGTGGAGTGGGGCGTAAGCAGGTCGGATAGGTAGAGAGGTGCGAGGGAATTAAGTGATTTGAAAACCAGGGACAGGATCTCAAAATTGATCCGTTCGGTGATTGGGAGCCATGGGGAGACTGGCAAGGACTGGGGTGACGGGGGTACGGAGTTTGTTCCATTTAAATGTTGAATGGCAAGATGTAAAAAATATTGGTGGTTAGAAAGCTGAGGAACGGTACCAAGGCAAATGGTAGTTTGCATTTCACTTCCAAACAAACTACAGACAAATATGTCATTAGCTTACTCTTATCTTCAAAGCTTTAGAACACCCCCCACCCCCCCCCCAAAAAAAAATTACAGCCATTAAACTGTACTGTACAGCGTTTGATAGAGAATGAATTACAAGATTGCTTGTAAGATGGAGTCAAGTATTAAACATGTTGTGATAAGCATCAAGAGCTGTGCTGGTTGTTGTGTTAATGTTTACACCATTGACAAAACCAGAATTGCAATCATATGTCATAATATTGTGCTTATATTCGCACTAAATTACCATAATTTGTAATGACATTTAGAATAACTACACACCCACAAACTCGAATAACTGAAAACATTTAATTAATGTCAACGCTTTATACCTGAATGACTTTTTCTCTTTCCAGAGATGAGGAACCCTCTGGATTTGTTGACATATAGCTTCCAGTGCTCTTTGCTATGTATTAATAAACAGCTTGAAAATACTAGCTGGAAAAATCAAGGAATTTGTGTGGTTGTGAATTTTATTATTCATTACACAGTAAATTGACCTTATTTTACAGAGACCACAAGTTCTCTTTACACTACTGTACAAAATTACTTTAAACTACATAGTAAGTATGCTTTGACTTTTTTTTTAAAGCATTATTTCTTCGAGTCTCGTTCTTTAGCAAGTTTTTGGCTTATTTATCTCGGGTCAGGATGTCCAGCAGCTTAAGGCTCTTCACATTTTCTTAGCACAGTATAACTACTACAGCTTTTCCACTGTTCCGGATTTTAATACACTGTTTAGCAAAGGATTTAGGAGACTGGGGCGTTGTTTGGATGAGGTGAAGAAAGGTGCTGAAAACTTAGGAGGGTCCCCATAGCACAAGAGAAAGTCTGAACTTAGGGTTAAATATTGACAAGTGATAGGTTCGTGACAAGTGATGATAAAATTCTGTGGTTGAAATATTTCATTTTGAAAATGATTATAAAACACAGTTACAGAGCAGTGGACATGGATGGATTTCTAGTTGTCAATTTTTTAACAGGTATTTTAGTAGTTTTTAGGAGCCTGTAGATGCCATTTTCACTCAAGCCTTAGATAATACAGTAAAACACGCACAAGTCTTATCTTTATAAATCTTATAATCATCTAAGTCGTATATACAGCAACAACAACTTGCATTTATATAGCGGCGCCCTTCACGCAGAGTAGCATGAGCACTTATATTCACCCGAGCCCCATTCAGTTTCCTATCAAAACCACTTTGATTCCTTCGCACATCTCGTATTAATCACCTCCCAATTCGTATCGCCGCATTGAATCGTTGGAAATGACGTTCTCACCCGTCAACCCGTGCGCATTTACTGTCCGGCCGCATTGAATCGCGGGAAACACAGTCTTGATCCATCGACGCATGCGCAGAATTTAATTTCCCGAGATTCAATGCGATTCCAACGCTTGCGTTGACGGCCGAGGATGCATTAAATCGCGGGAAATGCAGTCTTGACCCGTCATTGCATGTGGGCTTACCGCTGCATTAAGTTACTCATGCGCAGTGTAGATTATTGATTAAATCAGATTTTCTACAACTTAAACTGTTTGCCTGCAACTTGGACTTCAACGCAAGACATTTTAAATGTTTACAGTCCTGACTGATCCGAGTTATGTGAGTTTTACTGTACTTTAGATGTTCCCGCTGGATCTATCCTATGAATAAGTTAATATTCCTGACCAAAAAACACTGTAAAATTTGGATTCTAAACAACACTAACACTTTCCTATACTCCGAGAACATAAAAATACATAAGTGCAATGTAAACACAGAAGGTTATAGCAGCCTGAATTCTTTGTGATTGCACATAGGCTGATTTTCTATTATACTATTATCGAAGACAATTTAATTTTTTAGAATCGATTGGATTAACCTGGTACACCATCTGTAATTCATTTGTTTGAAATCTTGGGTGATTTTTTTTCGTGAAAGAGGAAACATTTGCACTTTTGCACTCAAGTGTCACAATCAAGCACTTCCATGTTAACACAACATTGGGTGCAATACAAAGCTTAGTTTGTATTGTTCCAACCCAAGAGCATCGCTCTACAATTCATTCCTGTCCAGTTTAATCTCTCACACCAATGAGATTGCCAATGTAGTGGAAAGTTATGGCAATCCATGTTGTGCTGTGAATTTCAACCCCTTGGGAAATGGTTTGAGACAACTAAAATCACTTTGCTTCACTTCAGATTGGTTATAGCTGTCAGAGAGAGAGACTTAGAGAAAGATCTGTGCCATTATCCCGGCAACTTTCAATGTAAAATTCCACAGTTGAACCTCTTTTGGGATTTAGAACTGCTAAGCATGTGGCGACGTTAATGGTACTAAACTCTTTGCAGACTGAAAGAGATTTATCTAAGAATAAAGCACCTCCGATCTCCTGCACACTGGTTTGGTGGATTATAACATCAGTCAACAGTAGATGAAGACTAGCTATCCTGCCCTCTTCAAGTGTTGAGATAGGTTTGCATCCTAACTGTTTTCAGATTGCCTTACTTCTTGCCTTGCACGTTTGGATTTAAAACCTCTTCGAGAAAACACTTCAAAAATTTCTGGGCAACACACGGACACAATTCTGCACTGTCACTTTGCAGATTTGCATTAGTGTGCAACTACAGAAATGCAATAGCTTAAGAGCATATAAAAGTGCAGTTATGTACATTTACTAAATACTACAAAACATCAGTTGTCGTCAGCACCTGACTCACACAGCTGTCACTCAGCAGTCCCAATGTCTATGTTCAGCTTTCTTTCCCTTTCGTCTTCTACAAACCGGCCACGTGCCACAATCGCACAATTCTAAAACTCGTCACCGCCCCAAGGCGTTAAACTGAAGTCAAGCTGAACGTCCGACCTTACAGCAGAGTACTCGGCAGGCTGCTGCCGTGCCATCTCAAGCAGGTGGTTTTGGAATGCTTGTACAAGTGACTGGACTGACTGAACCGTTTGCCACATTTTAAACAGGCGTAGGGTTTTTCACCTGTATGGACGCGAATGTGCTTCTTACAATCTGTTAGAGTCAAAAAGGTCTTGCAGCAAATTTTACAAGCATATTTACGGGCACCTTCCACCACCAGAACATTATGCTCCGACATGGCTTTCTTGCATTTCGAAAGTACGTCTGCGGACGCCCGAGTCAGCTGTGGAGCAGCTGAGTGAAAAGAGTGCTTATTCTCAAAAGGGGAAGAGGTGCTGTTTAACAATCGCACCTGGGAACTGGAACCAATGTCCTGGGAGAGAGATCCTCCATCGCTCACAGAGGTTACGATGGGCATTTTAGGAGCGATGCGTCGATAAGATGGGAAATTGCTGGCTCCTCCTCGCGATGAAATGATAGACTGCCTGGACAGAGAATGTAATCCGGAACCAGGCCTGGGAAAGTCTAATCTGAAGGGTTCTCCTCCTCCTCCTCCTTTGTACCCTGAAGGCTGCACACACGGCAAACTCAGCATGTCTTGCATAGGTCGCATAAAATGAGAGTCAGGCGAGTCATGAAATGGATGCTCCAATCGAGGTGCGGTGGTTGTGGAGCTGTTACTCGTGGGCATAGACGACATTGGACTCATTAAATAAGAGGCTTCGCTTTCCATTCTGCCGTCACTGGTTGTGTTTGGAATGTTATCCTCACCACTCAGATTGCCACCGAAGCCAATGGTTCGGCTCTTATTCAAGAAGCTGGAAATGTGAAAAGGAGTTTTGGCATCGGAGTTATTTGTAGACTCCAGTATGTGCATATCGGTGACCCGGTCAGTGGTAGACTGAGGATCAGAAAAACTGCGGTCACTGCTCTCTGGGCTAAGCTCCAGTTTCTCTGCGCTTGGGATCCCCCCTTCCACTTCAACCAACTCGCTACCTTCGGCCTGGGAGGCCACGTCACTCGTCTCGTCCTGTGGCTCAGGCGAACTCAGTGGCTCAGCCTTCACCACGACTCGAACGTGGACCTCGCCTCCATTCAGGTGGAGTTCTGTGGTCTCAGAGTGAAAATCTGACTTTTCGATTGGATTGTCCTGGTTGAAAGCATTTTCAACCTGATTTGCTTGCGAAGCGATCGATTGTGAGAGGATGACTCCACTGTTGTCTGACTGACTTGGTACCTGGTTATCGTCGGCTGCGCTGAAGGTTTGCTCAAACATGATAGTGTTGTCCTCATGGTTTTCACCAACTGCGTTAGTTTTACAGCCATCTCCCAACTTCAGCGAGTCTGGTGCAAACAAATCCTCGCAAGTGTGTACCACTGCCTGTCCACTGTCCGACGTGCCTTCAGTGATAAGAGACTCATCCACAGAAGGCCTCATTCTCTGCTTGGATCGCTCGTCAGGGATGGCCTTTCTCTTTTGGAGACGTCTCAAGGGGAATGTGGTGGACTGATCTTCCAAATGATGTCTAAGCGAGGAGTTCACATTGACTTGCTCGTCCATGGTCTGAGTGGAGCTAAGAGCAGAACTTACTAAACTCAGACCCAACTGCTGAAGCAGAAAGGATCTCTGCATTCGAGCATTCTGTTCCTGTAATCTTTCACTTGTCGGAGACATAGGGACAGTCCTGGTGGTCAAGTAGTGTTTGCACGCCTTCACTACAGAATTCAGATGGAGATGAGATGCTGCCAGTAACACATCCATGACATTACTTTCTCCCAGCATGAGAGTAGATGTATACATCATTTCGACAAGGGCAGCAAAGGCCTCTGCTGTAACCACTTCGCTGTCCAACTGAACCATGTTGAGGGATTGGTCGCTCTCCGGGACGGTGAAGAGCGCTCGGAAATGGGTGCTGCAGGCTGCGAGAACAGAGCGGTGGGCTTTAAAGTGACGGTTCCCCACGACAATCACACAGTCGCAAAGTTGGCCATGAAGCCGCTGATAGTTCAGCTGTTGGAAGACTTGTTCAAAGTGCCCTGGAAAATCCATGACCCTGTTAAAACAGAAAAGGCAGAAGTGTCTTATGACCCAGTGAGAAATCCTCCTACTGTATTTTCGCCCACAAAATACACAGTGAATTCACTTTACAGTATATTCTGTGAAGCGCTTTGAGACGTCTTGAAAACATAAGACCTTGTATCAAATGCAAGGATTATTGCTGCAGCAAATTTTATTTTTCTAATATATAACTGCATTTTCTAGTAATAATAATATCCTAACATTTGATATAGGCGCCTTATCACGTCATTGAGATGTCTCAAAGTGCTCCTGTTAACCCTGCAAGCCAAAGTCCTGACGGGTAGGGTGGTCCTAGCTGGACAAGCAGCTGAAAAGCTTGCCGGACAGCAATATCGATGACAAGCTATGCAGTTTTAGCTGGGTAGAATACAGCAGTTACCCCAACACACACTCTGGAGTCCCCAAGCCTTGGCTCTTGCCAGCCTGCGCCTATTACTTTGCAGAATTAGGTAAGCAGAATGGGTCCCTCCAGGGAGAGAGAGAGAGTGAGAGCGCATTCTATTCCAACAATCTATGGGATTTTCATGTGTAGGTGGGACGCATGGAAATCTCAGCTTGGTTTGGATACTCTGAAGCATGGTGATGGGTTTCTGCATTGGTCAGACACCCGGCTGATCCCACTACCCCCCAAAAAAAAATTGGAAATATTTTCACCAAGCGTTAAAAGGCTATGAGTTCAAGCCCCATGACGAGATCGAGCTCATAGACCAGTAGTAGTTGACACTCCAGTGTCAGTCCTGATTATCAAAGCGGATGAAAATGAAGCATGTTATAACGGTATTTAATATCTTGTCCTTTGGACAAGGCATTAAACCAAGGTCCCAGATAGATGTTAACGGTCCCATGGCACTATTCATAAAGAGAGTTTCTTCCGGTGTCCTGGCCAATTAAAAAAAAGTTATTTACTTTACGTATGTTTGTGGTGAGCTCAAATGATTGATCAAATTGTCGACAAAATACAGTCACAACACTTTATAGAAAAGTCGCTTTAAGTATGTTGTTGTGATTTGACACTACATCAAATGCAAGGGATATTAAATTGTGGTTATTGGAATGTGGAGTAATCCCTAAGTTTTGGGCGCAGCATTTAAATTATTTAACAGCAGCTTTGGGAGGCTGGTCCTTAACCATTAATTGACAAGTTTAATTTTTCACTTGTGTGAATAAACATTTTATTGGGTTGTGAACTGATTGTTCATTCCCACAGAATGAAATATCATAACTTCCAGACATTTTCCAGGACTGAATTATATTATCTGCACATTACAAAAGTTCAAGCGCTCTGTTGCGCTACCTTACGTGAGGGGCACTACATAAATGCAAGTTGTTGACGTTGACTGTCGGTTCTCAAAAAAGATATAAATATGACTGATTGGGGAATTACTGCTCTAATTACAACAGGAGTGTACACTCACTCACAGAACTGTCAGTGCCCGACCAAAAAAGGAAAGGGACGCATAGGCTTGTGCTCTCTAATTTCCGAAGACAATGTTCTAGGTCACATGGAGCCCAAGCCCTGGAGAAGATCCAAGTTCAGTGCTAATGTTTATACTTTAAAAGAGATTTCCGTTGGTATTTGCCAGATGGTGAAACTGACTGTATTGAGTGGTACTTTTCCACTGTGAGAACTAATGAATGGCCATTTATTTTGAAGACTTTGTAATGCTCCTTGAGGATGTTAGTACTGTACTGCAAAGCAGATCCCACACCCATTTCAAACTGTGTGAGCAATCATCAAGTGCTCTCAGGGAAGATATCGCACAGGCCATGTGAAGTACCACACACACCCTCAGGGCCTGATGGCATGCATCCAAGAATACTAAGGGAAGTCAAAGAGGAAATAGCAGATATTCTAACTACAACCTTTCAAGCATCCTTGGGTTTGAAAGCTGTGCCAGAAGACCAGAAGGTTGCTACCATATTACCTCTGTTCAAAAAGGGACAACATAAGAAGCCAATAAACTATAGATTAGTTAGCCTAACATGTATAATGGGCAAACTTTTAGAGGCCATACTACAGGATTCTTAGTTAGCTAAATATCTGAAATATGTGGATACCCAGCACTGTGCTTAAGAGTATCCAAACCAGAAAATGTTCCACATATGTATGCCACCTAACACATGGAAAGGTTCCTGTATCTATAATAATACTTGCATTTGATATTGTGCCTCAGCACGTCTTTAAGACGTCTCAAAGCGCTTCACAGAATATACTGTAAAGTGAATTGACTGTATATTTTGTGGACAATCACGCACAGCAGTGTCCCACCAACAATCATGGATTGAGTGACCAAATTTTTTCTTTTTTTTACTCACGCAAAAGCGATCAACTAACAACTATATGTGTCATTAGTACATTTAAACTGGGGTGAAGAGAAATTGTTTGTGTTTTTGCATTCTTGAAAGCTAGAATCTAGGCATTTCATTATTTTAATATGTCGGTTTGAATAACCGTAACTGAGACAGAATGCTGTACTTCGCACGTTAATCGAACCTGCTGCTTTCGCTAATTTATTTTCTGCTTTGGTGTTCCTACAAAAACGACTCAAAAAGTCACTTCAAAGCCAACAAGAGATGAACTGCATTGCCTGCTACCATCCAAATAATCCATTTCCTGGAAAATGTGCTGGAATGCTAGCTCCGTTTGCACACTTTCATTACCCCCGTGCATTTCCTGCCTTCATTTCAAATGGAATGCAATTTGTGAACTGTGCCATAGAGCCATATGAAGACACTGCCCATTTCACACAAAGCACCTCTTGATCTTGGCTGGACTGCTGGTGGGGGTGGTGGGATGGGGTGGGAGGAGGTAAGAGTGCTGCCTGAGGTTTGAGGAATGCGCATGAGGTTTGCAAACGAGGATGAGAACTTTACATGTACAGCGCTCGATAGAAAACTCAATGATGTGCAAATTTCAAATGTTGGAATGTGCGTGTGTGTTGGGATGGGGGGGGACGGGGGCGGAGAATTAAGATCGGATGTATGTAGGAAAAAGAAAAGAATAACATTCCTATAATAAAATTTGAAGTCCTTTAAAGAAAGTGGGCTTTACACTGGCACCAGACATAGCAATCACATACCTCAACAGTCCTGCTCAGTTCACAGTATAGTTACCGTAACGCATCAAATTGACTCCTGTGAGCAACGGGCATAACAGATTACATTTCTTCAACCGCTGACCCACCTTCCAAAGCCCTATTCAAAGAGGGAAAAAAAGTTCATTTTCAACGCGACACAAATGCATCACAAAGAGACTAAAACAAAAATTAAAAAGGTCCCTAAGATATTAGTTGTCAGCACGGACCAGATTCAAACCTGCAGTCTTATACTCTGTATGGCCTATTGATGTTCCGTATAATGCCTACCACCCACCAAAGCTGATTGGGGGGAGGCGGAAGTATTTTCAGAAAGTTAACACTAAGGTTACGTATTTCAGTAATATCCTATAAGATTGTTTTAAGGTTATTATGTTCGCTCCAAAGCCACCTCTAAAAACTTGCAGGACATTTTTATTAACGTTAGTTTTTCCTGCAAGTCAAACTGTGATTGCATCCTAAACCTCAGAACCCACTTGTAAGCTTTGATGGCCTGTCGCAACCCAGTTATAGCTTCAGTACAAAAAATATCAGGCTTACTAAATATTTCTGACCCACATTAACATAGTAAGAACTAAATGCATTAAATATTAAAATATAGTACTTGTCGTATTTGTTGTATAAATCCTAGGTACCACTTAATAAGAAACCTGAGCTTGCTTCTCTTTGATGAGTTTATCAAAGTTTGGTGTAAAAGTACAGTATCACTGCAACAGCACCGTTTAAAGACTTTTCCATTTCAATGACAACAATTTGCTTCTCTGACTAAAATAAACTCCAAACTCTCCACTGCAAGATTACAGTAAAATGATCATATGTGGCAGTGGATTGGCAGATCACTGGCACCTACTGCTGTTTGAATAATAATAATCCTTGCATTTGATATCGCACCTTATCACGTCTTCGAGATGTCTCAAAGCGACTGACAACCGGGTTCCTACTTACTGCGAGGTAAACAGAGGTAAGTAAACTTGCTCAACGTCTTGCCCTCCCGGGAATCAAACCCAGGTACTTGCGAGGCGAGAGCTCTAACCGCCAAGCTACAGGACTCCACAGGATAACGGCTAAATAGCTTTATTACAGAGCTTCTACGGCAAGAACCACAGTTTCCAAATTCTCGACGCTCCACAATAATCGCTTCGCTGTTTGGATTCATTCAATGAACGGCTGTGTAATTACCGGCTGGCCAAGGCAAGTTGTGAACCGGTCTGTACCATTTGCCAGTTTTTGTGGAACATCGAGAGTTTAGAGCCCTAACACGCGGTGCAGCACGAATGATATTCATTTATTTTCAAAAATGCATAAATGTTTTAAATCTGTTCGCAACCCGTTGATGCATTCTGATGACCTAGTTTTGCGACCCACGGGTTGCGAAACCTTGTTCCAGACTATTCTAGCAAAGAATTTGGGGATACAAGCACACCACAAAAGGATGAATGAAATACAACAAATCCCTTTGGATATCTGGGTGACAAGAATATCCAACCACTTCATGTCATTTGTTAATTTATCTAAGAAACAATGGATTCAAAACAAATTGCCATGCTCTTATTTCATGATATAGTGTAATTCAGTACCTCTTTAAAGCTCTACTGAAGATAGAATGGATGTGCACAATTAGGCCCATCTATGGGTATACTATGGGCAAGTGAGAGACCTGAGTTCAATTCCAGGCAGAGGGCGAAACCTTGGGCAAGTTTCCTTACTCCACACAGAGCCTAATAATAATCCCTCCAAAACAAAACAATAATAAATTGGTCATTTTCAATCCACGACTGTTTGTGGGACATTGCTGTGCGCAATTGGCTGCCGCGTTCGCCCACAAATATACAGTCAATTCACTTTACAGTGTGTTCTGTGAAGCGCTTTGGGACGTCCTCCTGACGTGAAAAGCGCTATATCAAATGCAAGGATTATTATTATTATTATTATTATTATTATTATTATTATACCAGACAAAAAATATATATGAACTTCAGTCAATCTACATTGAATAACTGAATATGAGAGGCCAGACTTACGTTTGTTACATTATACCAATGAGACATCTCAAACGTGCCTTGCTCACATCAAAAGGTTTTCAAAAAAAGGGGGGGGGGGGGCAAACTCTAATATTCTTTAGTCTACTTGAAGATTATAGAATTAAAAAAAGCAAGTGACTCTTGGATCTTAGGAGCTTCAGTTAAACACTCCACACACAATATACAGTCAATTCACTTTACAATGCATTCTGCGAAGTGCTTTGAGATATCTCAACGATGCGATGAGATGAATATCAAATGCAAGGATTATTACGGATTACTATTACTACAACTGGATAGGCAGAGTGATGAATTTAATTTACCGTCGACAGTTTTCAGTCAACTGAAACTTTCTATCACATCATTAAGTTTGTTTAGTTTGCCTAGTTCTCCATTCTTTGTGCTCTATACATTGCACTGGTTATTTGCCGTCATTTGTTAATAAACTTATTTCGATTTGATTGGAAAAGGATCTGCTTCGGTAATATTTATGCCTTCTGTAAACCTCTTATCGGTAACCACTCGGTGGGGCCCCAGATTTTAGCTCTTGCTAATCTGGGATTAGGCAACAAATGCATCCTTCCCGAGTCTCCAATCCATCCCGGACAAATGCAAATTTCCACACATATCTACAGTCTTGCCATTTTTGGGGGAGTTTTCTCCAAATGGCCAAAAGTTTCCATCAATAAACTTTTTTTTTCAAAAAAATGCGTTTTGGACGTGCTGGTCACCACGGACGTTATTTTTTTTTGCTGCACACACATCTCCGGCCATCTTTTGCAGCGCAATACCTCAATGACGATTTGGGTGGTGGGGAGGACACTGAGCTAATTGTGAGCAGATTTTGAAAGATTCTTCAAATCGTTTAAATCTTGATTACATTTTTTTTGGGGGGGGGGGGGGGGTGGCTAAGAGTAGAATGTTTTCCAGTTTTTCTTTACGCTATGGAAAAAGTTACGTTTTCTTGAAATACAAGTACAGACACAAATAAATACTAAATATTTCAACGCAGAGCATCACTCGGAACTCTTCATAATGAATATGCAGAGTCATACGAATCTTGAATAAAACTAGGTTAAAAACCATGCACGGTGTTTGGTCTTTCCAGGAAAATCATGAGACAGCTTTTGGGCGCAATTAACTCACGTCCCTGCTGTGACTTCGTTACCTATAATCTAGCGCTCCAGTCCAAATGTAGCCGTAACAACCAAAAACCTATCCGAGCATTTGGAATAGAACGACCCAGCTGATAAAACCATGGAGCTGCCCGTCAGTACCATAAAAAAAATTATTTTGTTAATGGGCATGCACATTTTCCACACATACACAGGAGCAACAAGCCAAAGAACAATTCCCAATAAACAAGAGACCACTTTTATGGGTACCTTCATGAAACTGAAAAGAGCAGAAAGTGACCCAAGAGCAGTAATAATAATCCTTGCATTTGATAATGCGCCTTATCACATCTTCTAGCCGTCTCAAAGCACTTCACAGAATACAGTGCAAAGTGAATTGACTGCATATTTTGTGGGCAAAACGCAGCAACTGGTTGCACGCAGCAGTGTCCCACAAACGTGGATTGAAGTGACCAATTTATTATTATTATTTAACTACTTTAACTACTGAGCTACAGGATTCTACATTATTCTTCAACAAGCCAAACTCTCCACTTCCTCCCTACACATGTTGCAGACCATCCATAACTTTGCTCCTCATGTCCCCTACTGCATCAGACTCTGTGAGCACATCAACCTCATCCTCGCTCAACTCCACTGGCTCCCCATCCCCCATTGGATTGAATTCAAGGTCCTTGACATTGTGTTCAAATCTCTGCTGGGCCTCACCACAACATACTCTGTGACCTCCTGCAACTCTACCATTCCAGCTGCTCCTTCTGCTCAGGAAACATCAGCCTGCTTATCGTCCCCTGCGCGACCTACCCCACTATTAGTGGCCTCGCGGTGATCAACACAAGTCACGGTCAAAGCGATACAAGTCTCTATATCTGGGTCGTATACGCTCAGCAGTGGGACAGATCGCTGCTCAATAATGACCCGGCTGTCAAGGGAACATCTACATCCAAGACGCGGCCCCAGTAGATACTGTGCAATGGGGGAGCATAGTGCAGACTCCCTCAGGGAGAGGAGAAAGACATGATACTCACTCCCTCAGGGAGACAGGACAAGCTGCAAGAATTCAGCTGCAAAGAAAACAACAGTTTTCTTTTGGTCAGTGGGAGGGATGCCTGACCCATGTCAACAGAACAACATGAAAACACACAGGTGGGAGGGACTCTGTGAGGCGGGATTTAATCCCCTGGGACCAAGCCCATCCCCGTGCTTGATCATCCAGACCAGACAGAGCGTTCCACAAAGACGTGCCATTTACAAATGGAAATTTCCCTGCTACTGGCCAGAGTGACTCCAATAAAAGAGGAAGAATTTTGCCTGGTAATTACCCGCACGTGTAGGACGTTTAATGCTCAATCCCCATACAGTGAAATGGAATGTGCCCGGAGGTACGCTTCCTGTTTTCCGAATTCCGGAAAGCATTAGACGCAACTTGGCAAGACTTGAGGACCCCAGAGTGTACACTGAGGTAACTAATGGAGTCTAACCAGCTAAAACCGCACAGCTTGCCATTGATATTGCTGTCTGGAAAGCTTTCCCGCTGCTTGTCCAGCGAGGACCACCCGACCAGTTAGGGCTTTGGCTCGCAGGGCTAACAGGAGCTGAGGGGGAGGACTCCCTGCCCCCAGTGACTGGTCTGCCCTTCCAGGTCCTGCTGATGAGCCAGACCGGGCTGTGCCGTCATCAGCCGAGCCCTGGAATACTGGGGGTTGGTTCATCTCCGCCAAGCGTGTAACTGGGGGAAGACACAGAGCACAAATTCCCGGGGGGTGAGGGACACAGACTCTCTGAGGGTGAGGGACACAGACTCTCTGAGGGTGAGGGACACAGACTCTCTGAGGGTGAGGGACACAGACTCTCTGAGGGTGAGGGACACAGACTCTCTGAGGGTGAGGGACACAGACTATGGGGGTGGAGGGGGGAGGGACACCGACTATGGGGGGGAGGGACACAGACTCTCTGAGGGTGAGGGACACAGACTTTCTGAGGGTGAGGGACACAGACTCTCTGAGGGTGAGGGACACAGACTATGGGGGGGGGACACAGACCCCCAGTAAATGTGTGTGATTTACCTGCTCCTCCAGGCCCCGGGGTGGCTGTGAGGGGGGTGGGGGGCTGTGCGGGAGGGCTGTGAGGGGGGGTGGCTGTGAGGGAGGGGGGCTGTGAGGGAGAGCTGTGAGGGGGGGCTGTGGGGCGGGGGCTGTGTGTGTGTGAGGGAGGGCTGTGGGGGAGGGCTGTGGGGGGGGGCTGTGGGGGGGTGTGGGGGGGGGGGGGGGCTGTGGGGGGGGGCTGTGGGGGGGGTGTGTGGGGGGGGCTGTGGGGGGGCTGTGGGGGGGGGGCTGTGGGGGGGGGGGGGGGGGGGTGTGGGGGGGGCTGTGGGGAGGACTGTGGGGGTGTGTGTGGGGGGGTGTGTGAGGGAGGGCTGTGGGGGGGGGTGGGGGGGAGGGCTGTGGGGTGGGGGCTGTGGGGGGGGGGCTGTGGGGGGTGTGTGGGGGAGGGCTGTGGGGGGGTGTGTGAGGGAGGGCTGTGGGGGGGGCTGTGGGGGTGTGTGTGAGGGAGGGCTGTGGGGGAGGGCTGTGGGGGGGTGTGTGAGGGAAGGCTGTGGGGGGGGGGCTGTGGGGGTGTGTGTGAGGGAGGGCTGTGGGGGGGGGCTGTGAGGGGGGGGCTGTGGGGGAGGGCTGTGGGGTGGGGCTGTGGGGGGGGGCTGTGGGGGGGTGTGTGAGGGAGGGCTGTGGGGGGGGCTGTGAGGGGGGGGGCTGTGGGGAGGGCTGTGGGGGTGGGGCTGTGGGGGTGGGGGCTGTGGGGGGGTGTGTGAGGGAGGGCTGTGGGGGAGGGCTGTGGGGGTGTGTGAGGGAGGGCTGTGGGGGGCTGTGAGGGGGGCTGTGGGGGGGTGTGTGAGGAGGGCTGTGGGGGGTGTGTGAGGGAGGGCTGTGGGGGGGGCTGTGAGGGGGTGGGGCTGTGGGGGGCTGTGGGGGTGGGGGCTGTGGGGGGGCTGTGTGAGGGAGGGCTGTGGGGGTGCGGGTCGCGGCCTCTGTGACAGTCACTAACCTGAGCCCTGAGAGTGTGGAACCGTCACCCGGAACCGGAAACAGCCAACACCTGACTACCCGCCCACATCCGGTCAACTCCACATCCGGTCTGAACAAACACACAGAGAGAGGAGAGGGAGGAGTGGGGGAGAGTGAAGGGGGGAGTGAGAGAGAGGAGAGAGGGGGGAGGGAGAGGAGTGAGGGAGAGAGAGAGGGGGGAGAGAGAGTAGTGAGGGGGGAGTGAGGGAGGGAGAAAAGGGGGGGAGTGAGGGAGGGAGAGAGGGGGAGAGAGAGAGAGGAGGGGAGGGAGGAGGAGGGAGTGAGAGGAAGTGAGGGGAGGGAGGGGAGGAGGGGGAGGAGAAGAGGGGAGGAGAGGAGGAGGGAGGGAGTGAGAGAGAAGTGAGGGAGGAGAGGAGGGAGGGAGGGAGAGGAGTGGGGGAGGGAGAGGAGGGGGAGGGAGGGAGGGAGAGGAGTGGGGGAGGGAGGGGAAACAGAGGAGAGTGGTGGGGGAGGGGGGAGAGTGAAGAGAGAGTGAGGAGGAAAGAACGGAAGATTGAAAGAGAGTGAGGAGGGGGGAGGAAGAGCGGGCGGGGGCGCAGAGGGTAGAGAACGACAGCAGTGGACATGGTGCTCACCATTGAATGGAGGGCAGCGCAGGGGACGCCAGAGATTGGATACAGGGCCGAGGCGCAGAGGAGAGTTACTGAAGATGATACCAGGAATGAGTGGTTTGACCTGAGAGCAGAGAGAGGAGAAATGGGACTCATTTTCATTGGGAGATTGGTTGAGGGGAAACCTCTCTTTAAGGGGTCTTTAATCGTGTGGGGACTCGATGGCGTCAATACCGCAGTATAAAATTTTCATTTACATAGCGCCCTTCACGTCAGGAGGAGAATCACGTTGATGAGGAGAAGTTATGTTCAATGGTCAGTTGCTAGAAGGCGTCAATTTAAGATTTAAGGTTAATGTAAGGTCCGACTAATGATGTATATACGAGCGCTATCTGGTTTTATATTTCATGTACCTGTTTATGACACCTCAGATCCCATTAGATTTCTTCGTGTCTGTGTCCGCCTTTAAACATTTATGTCACCGCTTAACTGGTTTGCTACAGTGCTTGCAAGTTGTGCTGATGCCTGACATAACCTCTTATAGTCTTAATATCTAGTGTGAAATGTACTGAGATTGGTATTCCTTTTGATGGAGGGAAGCCAGAAATAAAGGCTCTGTACATTTACAATATTCAGTAGCAGAATCGAGACTGATTTGTGGAACTCAGCTCAAACGAATTGAAGTAAGAATTTTGAATGGGCAGTTCGATTCCAGCATCGTGTACTGGTACCACAATTGTGGAAAGGACCAGCTTATTATTAATAATAATAATAATCCTATATTTGGTGCAGCTTCTTTCATGTCGGGAGGATGTCCCAAAGCACTTCACAGGAATTTTACTGTGAAGGGTAGTGACGTGTATTTATAAGCAAACGCAGCAGCCCAATTGCACACAGCAATATCCCACAAGCAGCCATAAAACGAATGCCCAATTTTATTTAGGGGATTGTTGGCCGGGACGCTGGGAGAGACTCTCCTCTCTTCAAATAGTGCCATGAACAGGCAGCTGGTTTAATATCTCATCTGAAGGATGCAACACCACCTCCTCCCCCCCACAGCACTACATTGGAGTGTCAACTTAAGACTATGCGAGTTCAAGTGCCGAAGTGGGGCTTGAACCCAAGAGGTGACTCAGACGAGAGTGCTACCACTGAGCCAGGCTTAAGGAAAAAAAGAAAGATTACGTTTTCAAGAAGGCAGGAATATTTTGGGAGAAAGGGAGGAAAGATAATCAGGTGATTTCTCCCCCTTCTTTCTATCCCACTAACCCCCCCCCCCCCCCCCCAAAGAAAAAACCCCCACAGGAATACACACATACGATGCCCGTGAGTTTCTTTCGCCTCGACTGGGATAATTGACAAATCTGGTTAGCATGCTGTGTGCGTACAGGTTTTATCACAATAGCGGCAAACAAAGGCTGCAGAATAAGGTCAGTCATTTTTGTAAGAAAATTTGAAAAGGTTAAGAGACAACATGGTGTTTTCTATCAGAGATATAAAGGAAAAACGTGGACATTGAAAATCTGAAATAAAAACCAAAGCTGCTGTAAACGAGCAGCAGGTCAATTAGCATCTGAAAGAGACAGACTGATGAACGGTTCGTGTGAGATTCTTCATGTGAACTCAAGGGTCTCAGCTGAAGCATTAAGCTATCTTTCTCTTTGAGAGGCTGATTGATCTGTTCATTTCCGCCAGTTTCCATTTTATTCCACTGTTTCCTTTTGTGATTTTAAAGTGAATGTAGGAATCTTGACGTAGGTGAAGCCTCTCTTGACAGCTAAACAGATTTAAGGTACTAATTCCCAACAAATTCCCAAAGTTCTCAGAAGCTAGCTCAGTTTTAAACGGTCAATTTATATTTTTTATTGGAATGGGGGCATTTTTACATTCGTCAGTATAATTTTTTCCAGGTTGCACTCACTTTCGAGTCACTTGGTCTGTTTCTATAAATAAAAAATAATAATCCTTGCATTTGATACAGTGCCTTATTACGTCCAAAGACATCTACGAATGTAAAATAGGAAATATGGACGTTCTCCCAATTCTGCCCCGAAATGTAAACCTCGAATCGAGCCAGCCCTCTGTGGTGGTCTCCGGTCTGGTTCCTGAGAGGAGGGGAGATTGATTGCATGACCTAAGTTGCCTCTCTTCCGTGGCAAAACCACGGCACAATTCAAAGGTTCCACAGTTCCTCACAACTGTGCATTGAGCTAATCCCGAGCCCGGTTACCAGCAGCCATGTTTACCGTGTGCTGAGGCATCTCTAGAGCGGGCAAGACATAGGGAGGCAATAATGTTTTGAGAGACCCCTGCCCGTGTTGGCCAGGAGTTCCCCCTCTGTGAGACGCTGCTACAACCGAGTGCTTGAAGCGTGTCCTGCTCAAAGGGCAGACCAGAGCCAGGCCGGGCCGGGCTGTGCTGTCATCGGCAGTGCCCTGGGACACTGCGGACCCGCCAGGGCTCAGGAACTGGACGGCTGAGGTCGCCGGTCGTCGGCCCCGTCACGGAACGCGCAGTCAAGTGAATTGACTGTGCATTTTGTGGGCGAAAGGCGGCAGCCGACTGCGCACTTCACTGCAGTGGACTGGTGTCTGGGTTCTGAACGTCTGGGGAGAGGCCGGTGTCTCCCCATCGTGAGAGGCTCCCCGTCACGCAGCGGATAGTCCGTGATCCCGGGCCTCACCTTCAAAAGCCTCCCGCGGCCTCCTAACCCCCTAACAGACCTGCCCGCTCCCCCCCCGCTCCCCCCCCCGCCCAGCGGGCTCCGGCCTGCCTCACGCCCCCGCCTCGCCCGCCCGCCCCCCACCACTGGCCGTCCGCCGCTCTGCACCCCTCCCCCTGGCACTCCATCCCACAGTCGCTCCCCCTCGCCCCCTCCCTCGCCTCCCCTCAAGACCCGACTCAAGACCCTCCTCTTCGTCGATCCGCCTCCTCCTCACCCCCGCCCCGTGTTTGGGGAGGGGGCGGTAGGTGGCGCTGTTTGGGGAGGTGGCGCTGTTTGGGGAGGGGCGGTGTTTGGGGAGGGGGCGGTAGGGGCGCTGTTTGGGGAGGGGGCGGTAGGGGGCGCTGTTTGGGGAGGGGGCGGTGTTTGGGGAGGGGCGGTAGGGGCGCTGTTTGGGGAGGGGCGGTAGGGGGCGCTGTTTGGGGAGGGGGCGCTGTTTGGGGAGGGGGCGGTAGGGGGCGCTGTTTGGGGAGGGGGCGCTGTTTGGGGAGGGGCGGTAGGGGCGCTGTTTGGGGAGGTGGCGCTGTTTGGGGAGGGGGCGGTGTTTGGGGAGGGGGCGGTAGGGGGCGCTGTTTGGGGAGGGGCGGTAGGGGCGCTGTTTGGGGAGGGGGCGCTGTTTGGGGAGGGGGCGGTAGGGGGCGCTGTTTGGGGAGGGGGCGGTAGGGGCGCTGTTTGGGGAGGGGGCGCTGTTTGGGAGGGGGCGGTAGGGGGCGCTGTTTGGGGAGGGGCGGTAGGGGGCGCTGTTTGGCTCTCGGCTGCTGTGAGGAGCAATGGCTGCTTTCGGTGTGTGGAAATTTAACGAGAGACCGGAGCCGAACCCACCGGAGCCCGTGTGTGTCGGTAATAAACTGAGTCAGGAGACGGTGCGGGGGGTGGGGGCTGTGTGTGGGGGTGGCGGGGGTGTGGGGGCTGTGTGTGGGGTGTGGGGGCTGTGTGGGGTGTGGGGGCTGTGTGTGGGGTGTGGGGCTGTGTGTGGGGTGTGGGGCTGTGTGTGGGGTGTGGGGGCTGTGTGGGGTGTGGGGGCTGTGTGGGGTGTGGGGGCTGTGTGTGGGGTGTGGGGGTGTGTGGGTGTGGGGGCTGTGTGGGGTGTGGGGGCTGTGTGGGGGTGTGGGGCTGTGTGGGGTGTGGGGCTGTGCGGGTGTGGGGGCTGTGTGCGGGGTGTGGGGGCTGTGCGGGGTGTGGGGGCTGTGCGGGGTGTGGGGGCTGTGCGGGGTGTGGGGGCTGTGCGGGGTGTGGGGGCTGTGTGGGGGTGTGGGGGCTGTGTGGGTGTGGGGCTGTGTGGGGTGTGGGGGCTGTGTGGGGTGTGGGGGCTGTGTGGGGTGTGGGGGCTGTGCGGGGTGTGGGGGCTGTGCGGGGTGTGGGGGCTGTGCGGGGTGTGGGGCTGTGTGTGGGGGTGTGGGGGCTGTGCGGGGTGTGGGGGCTGTGTGGGGGTGTGGGGGTGTGTGGGGGTGTGGGGGCTGTGTGTGGGGTGTGGGGGCTGTGTGGGGTGTGGGGCCTGTGTGTGGGGTGTGGGGGCTGTGTGTGGGGTGTGGGGGCTGTTTGCAGATGTTGCTCTTTGGACAGTCGGGTGTCTGACACATTCAGAAACCTGTGGTGAGGCTTCACGAGTATCCAAACCAAACTCAGAGTTCTCGCGCTTCCCACCGACACGTGGAAGTTTCTCGCATTACACACACGACACAGCCCCCACCCCCTCCGCTCCCAGCACCCACCCCCCCCAGCCCCCGCCCCCGCCCCAGCCCCAGCCCAGCCCCCCGCCCCCAGCCCCCGCACGTGCAGAAATTCCACGCGTGGAATAAGCCCCAAATCTCCTCCTCCAGCTGCGACTCCCAGTCCTCCAACGTCCTGTCAGCTTGTTCCGCGGACATCAAGGCCCGGACGAGGGCCAAGTTTTCCCGCAGCTGAATGTCGACAAGACGGAAGCCATCCTCGTTGGATCCCGTCAACGTCTTCCCTCCCTTCCGGGTCTGAACTCCTCAAGCTCCTCGGGCTCTCCCTCAGACTCTCGGAAACCGTGCGCAACATAGGCGTCAGGCTCGAGCACATCCTTTCTGCCGCACATCCGTTCCCTGACCAGGACCGCGTTTTTCCACCTTCGTCACGTTGCCCGCCTCCGTCCGTACCTCACAACCGACGCAGCTGAAAACCTCGTCCGAGCCTTTGTCACTTTCCAACGCCCTCCTCGCTGGTCTCCCCAGCTCCACCGTACACAAAATCCAATTCGTTCAAAACTCTGCCGACCGGATACTCGCCCGCACGAAACTCCGGACCCCCATCACGCCAGTCCTTGCCGGGCTCCACTGGCTCCCAATCACCGAACGGATCGATTTCAAGATCCTCTCAATGGTTTTCAAATGCCTTCACGTCCTCGCACCTCTCCGACCGATTAACCCCCCCCACTCCCACCACCCGCTTCCTCCGCTCAGATGGCTCCGTGCTCCTGTTTGTCCCTCGTGCCCTCCGTTCCACCATCGGTGGCCGTGCCTTCCGCCACCTCACCCCTGAAACTCTGGAACTCCCCCTCAATCCCTCCGCCTTGTCCCCTCCCTCAGTGTTAAAGCAACTGGTGGTTTGAAAGTGAGCCTTATTCCCCTGGGATACCCCAAGTTTGATCTCTGGTCTGTGCTGAGATAGCTGCTTTATTAGGGCATAAAAGAAACACTGAGCTCAGATCATCCTTCAGGCTGCTCCGTGGTAGCTGTATATAATTACTAACTGGATGATTTGATTGATTTTATTTTGCTTTTGATCTTGTAGTTCAGTTTTCAAATGGGAAGCTCCCGAATTCTCAAACTGTGAAGTTTCAGCTCCACAAAAGTATACACAAGGCGAACCCCAGGAAGAAACATCACCTTGTCTTGGTAAGAGTTACATTAAAAAAATAAGAGTAATCCCTGTACTTAATAGAGTGCCCTTCACTTCGGGAGGACGTCGCAAATCATTTCACAGGACTTGTCTTTAGTGTAGTGATTACAGATTCTGATTTCTGTAGGCGAATGTGGCAGCTAGTTTGCATATCCACTGTCCTACAAACAGCTATGGAGTGAATGACCAATTTTATTTGGGGGGATTGTTGGCCATGACACTGGGAGAAACTCCTGTCTCTTTTTGAATAGTGCCAGGGGACCTTTATCATCCCTTTGAGCAAATGGACAGGACCTCATGGACATGCATCAGTCAGGTGACACCTCATTGGCAGCCTCTGCAGTTATCCACTTTTATACAATGCAATATTACATTTGCATAGCAGCTTTCACATCGGGAGGACGTCCCAAGGCGCTGGACAGTCAGGGATTTGGACCCGAGCTGGGGGTCGGGACTGTGGAGGGCAGGGAGCGTCGGAGGGTGGCCAAAAGAGCAGTCAAAGAGGAGGGTTTTGAGATGTGCCGTGAAGGAGGCAGGAGAAGGAGCAAGGCGAAGGGAATGTAGGATGGCGCGTCTAAAAAGATGAATGCTGCTTGCCTGTATAAAATATCATTACATTATGGTTCTGACATTTCTTGTACAATTAAGGAATTGCGGGTACAGTTTGTTTCTTTTCCCTTCCCCTGCAGTCTGCTGAAACAGACAGACTGACGTATGTTGGAAGCAATTTTGGCCCGGGTGCTCCAAAATGCAACTCATTGTGCAAGTAAGTCTTTTTTTAGATACCCTCACAGACTATTGTGTTCGTAGGTACGTTATGTTTCTTGCATTTAACTTTTAAAATTCTTGTTCATTTTGTAATGAGAATAAGAACAGGAAAAGGATATTTATTCCAAAGGTTTACAACTTCCCCAGCTTTTATATTCTGCTTCTGAAGATGCTGAGACTCGCTAGTGTACAATTCTGCAGGCAGCAGTCACCCTGTGGTACCTTTTACCCAAGTTGCCTTTCTTGCGTGGGCGATCCTAGAGGACATGAGAAAGAGGGTACATTTTTATAGCACCTATAACATCAAAGTATCTCAATCTTTTTAACAACAAATTACATCTGTATGATTACTGTCAAATGTAATTATAATAATAAATAATCCTTGCATTCGATACAGCGCTTTTCACGTCTTCTCGACGTCTCAAAGCGCTTCACAGGATGTACTGTAAAGTGAATTGACTGTATATTTGTGGGTGAAACGCGGCAGCCAATTGCGCACAGCAGTGTCCCACAAACAGTCGTGGATTGAATGACCAAATTATTTTTTTTTATTATTTTATGTCTTGAGGGATTATTATCAGGCATATGGAGTAAAGAAACTTAGATTTTGTCCTGCCGGGAATCGAACCCAGGTCTCTCGCTTACAAGACGAGCGCTCTAATCACTGAGCTACAGGACTGCACAATTACAATAATTACTGTCAAATGTATTGCCTTTATGAGGGCAAACGTGGCAGTCATTTTGCACAGGCCTAGGTTTCACAAATATTCGTGAGATGAATGACTAATTAATCGAAAGGATTATTGCACAGGACACACTTCTTTTCAAAGAAAATATCTTGGACATTGAGTGTATGATCTTGGAGGCAATTTTAGTCAAGCTCGATCCTGGTCCTACATAATGTCAAAACATTTGCGTGGACATCGCTGGATAGTGAACAGATGCAGAAACCCTAGTCATTTTGTTTTCCTCTAGACCAGAAATACTGAATCAGATTGTATTCTTAAATGCCATACTGTCAGGGGACAGAGAAGGTATAAATCCTCAGATCTGCATGGTTTGGTAGCATGTCACTGCTTTTTCTTGGGGGCAGCAGAGGTTGGGAATTTATAATAAAACCAAGCCACTCTTTCATTTAATGTGACTGGAAATTGTTAAGAAATAAACGACCGAAGAGTTGATGGCAATATTTTATGAATATATTATTTTCAGGTATTTTGTTGGGGTGCTGAATAAAACCACAGGGGTAATGAACGTTCATGATGCTCAACTGTTCAACCTGCAGCCTACGATTCCTGGTAAGTGTACACCCATTATTGTACAGGTTGCACTATATCATACCTCTCTTCCCAAGAACCCAGACTAAAGGATTTGCTCCCAGGTCTTTACCGCTGTTCTCAGTCAATTCTTACCGTCCTGTCAATAAATTGGATGCAGTTTTAGTTGATTTTGAGATTAATGAATCAGAGGAATCTTAAGGGAGGCTGTATGGTTAACTCCATATTGTTAATAATGGGGCACTCTGCATTTTCCTCGTGCAATGGGTGTCCCTATCTGCACCTGAGACTTGTTGTTTGTGGTCTGTCTAACTGTGGTTTCAATGCAAAATACTACAGCATCATTACCTGTGATACCAACTATGTCTGTATTGTAATAGACTTTCAGCCTCACTGACAGATGTATTTTGAATGTATATTAGGTCAGATCAATGTATTAATTGCAGTGTTGTGTCTTCAGGTGAATCGTTTGCAGAAGTCGATTCTGGTGAAAAACTCACCTCTTACAGAGACAAGGTAATTATTTTCCAAGTAATGGATGACAGTTTAGCTCATACTCCCCTTAAACAATGATTTTTTTTTTGGTTGGGAAATGGAGTAGAAGGAGGTTACCTATTTGGATGCTTCTGAAAGGAGGCACAGTGAAGATCCTCCTTCCTTGGTTCGAATATTGTAGATTGCTCACAAGCTCGTAAAGAAAGATTGGTAAAAAAACTCATCTGAAATCTGAAGGCACTCAACAAAGTTTCAGACTGACTTCCCTTTTGTATAAACCTCCACACGTGGCACCATCTCACCTCAGCGTGCGGACGAAACCGCTTAAGCTGGACAAAATGTACGTCGCCGATGTGTCCGGCTTAACCAGCTTCCACTGTACCAGAATTCCACTTTGTAAACTTTTGAGTATCATGTACCAGTTTTTTTTTCTTCGGCTGCATCAGCTAAGATTTTTCTCTGAGGTACATTCCTTTAATCTTTCCTCAGGTCACAAATTAGATTTTTGGAAGATAAAATAAAAAGTAGGGCCCAGGCGAGAAAATGTTTATTTGTGTGAGGTGGGCTGAAAACTGCTGATAGCCAGTTGTAAAGCATCTATATATAAAGTTTTGGCAAAGGCCACAGCCCCACCTTTCAAATTTCTTTCTGTCACTCAGGGAATCGAGAAAAGTAGGGTCAAAAGTTTTAAATTGGATAACCACAGCCTATTTTGTAAAGACTTGGACTAATTAGAAATATTTTTGAACACAGAAAGTTTTAGGGAAACCTTTTTAAAAAACACAGATAAAGGAGGGGAGGTGGAGGAAACACGTACTATATAAGTGAATGCGAGTTGGATGTAAGAAAACCAAAAGACAAGAGAATGTGTGTCGAACAAGCGGAAGATACGAGGTGTGAAAGGGGGAAGAGTGTGAGGAAAGAGAAAAATCGGAATAGCAAGAGAGTGTGGGACAAAATTTGCAAGACAGAGAGGGGGGAGAACTAATAAGAGAGAGAGAGTGATACACTGACACTCCGTCTCCGTAACCCCCACCTGTTCTGTGACTTTCCTGATTTGTGAGCTCTACCATTGTGCTCTTTTTCCCATGAATCCCAACATCTTCACAATGGAGCCCCTCCTGTGCTCTCTTAGTAATGAGAGCTAATAGTCACTACCCAACTAAGATGGCAGTGGGAGCCTAGAGCTCATGACTTGTAAGCTTCAACTGCTTGGATTATTTGCTTGCTTTGAGTCTGTCTAAACTGAATTGATGATTCTAAAAAAAAAACATACTTATTTGTGTTGGTATTTAGGTGAACTCCCTCATTGAGGCCTTTGGTACCAACAAACAGAAGCGTGCCTTGAGCTCGCGAAGATTAAATGAGGTTGGAAATGAGACTTTGCAGAAAGCTGTGGCCAAAGCAGCAGAAAATGTGATTGAGAGAAAGGGGATAGAAGGTAAGGAGTGATTAAGAGCTACAAAAATGTGCAGAGCAGAGTCTCCCTGCTTAACACAGCTGGTTGAGATCAAAATGTTTCTCGATAAGGGAAGGAAGCTGATCCTTTAATCCTTCAGTCTTGACGCAACAATCCCCCAAACAAAATTGGTCACTCACTCCATGGCTGTTTGTGGGATATTGCTGCGCGCAAATTATCTCCTGCATTCGCACACAAAATACGCACAGTCAGACCACTTTGCAGTGTATCCCGTGAAGCGCTTTGAGACGTCTCGACAACGTGGTAAGGCGCAACATCAAATACACGGCTTATTATAAGAATTTTCTTCACAGCGATCGGAATTATTGATCTGAGGCAGAATGTTGGGGGGTGCTTAGTACATTTTGCGAACTTCAATCTATTTTAGATAGTTGGCTAGTACTGTGTATTGAGGTATATTTGGGCAACGGGCACCTAAGGAGAGGGAAGTTGGCAATTGATTTCTCAATCTCATCCAATCTGACATAACTGATTTTGTCATGTAAATTTCTGGCTTGGGGATTTAGAAAGCCCAGCTTCCTCTCTCTTGTTTGTTTTGGAACATTCCACAATTTTCCTTTACATGTAATTTTTTCAACCTGTTCAAATTAATTTCCGAAGCTTTATCCAGCGAAGCAGCACAGTTTGACGCTCAAGATATGTCAGCCTTTCTTCCACCGTGCCACGTTGATGCAAAGAAACCCGAAGATGTTTACCCGTTTGAGGATCGTATCCTTTACGTGTTGGCGTATTGTGCTCGTGCTCAGTGTAAACAGGACCCAGGGTTAGCTTGGTGTGCCCATCTTATGCTGTTTTGCAAATGAGCACAATGCAGTAGGCTGACTCTCATCGTTGCCTTTAGCAGCTGTGGACAAAATGTTACAGTGAGGAACAACAACAAATTATATTTGTATAGTGTCTTTCACATCAGGAGGACGTCCCAAGGCGCTGGACAGTCAGGGTTCTGCACCCGAGCTGGTGGGGAGGGTAGGGGTAGGAGGGTGACCGAAGGCACAGTCGAAGAGGAGGGTCTCTGAGATGGGTCTTGAAGGAGGCAAGGGAGGGGGCGAGATGGAGGGACTGGGATGGAGTTCCAGAGGGTGGGGTCAGAGAGGCTGAAGGCCCGCCGGCCAATGGTGGTGGCGGGCAAGATGGGGCACGTGAAGCAGGCTGGAGCCTGCTGAGCTGAGGGAGCAGACAGGTTGATAGGGGGCTAGGAGGTCACAGAAGTAAGGGTGGGGAGGGAGCAAGGCTGTCAGAGGGTAGGTGTTTTCTACGTTATAATGGATTGTCTAATTATTTGGACCCGAAACACAGCAGTATAACAAGCTAAATTATATCTGTGTTGTCACTAGACTTATTTAGCATAGGGTATTAATCTATTGCAGTCAAAATATACGCGGCACAGGTTTGATCCTTGCATTCACCACTAGTGCCTTACCTCAGCTGTCAGTTGGCTTGGCTCAGTTGATAACGCTTGCTTGGTTCCTTAATTCATAATTAGTCTTCTCCAATGCTGAATATCAAGCAATGGAACCTTTCTCTGAAAAGTTTAAGACAAGCACCTCAGAAGATATTAGGAAACTAGAAAAAAGTGACAAGTGAGTATGACATACATCCCCCTGGGGACCAGCCATAATAACTATGTGTTATTGTACTTTGGCTGTACAGTTCTACTCTTATTGCCAGGACTAACGTTAGAACCTTTGGTTTGAAGGTAAAGCAGTCTGCGATCCTAGCACTACAGATTGTCCACTTGCTGGTTAGTGGGTGGGGTGAGGTGGGGTAGGGATCGCGGTGATCACAGAGAACATCCTTCAAAGCCATGAGAAGTTTCTTTTGAGCTAGGAGACGGATGTGAATTTTATTGTTAACAGGCTTAAAAAAGCAAGTATTTTTTTCTGTTAATAAAATGAAGCCCAAATTCTGTACCCTGAAGAAAATCTTGAATGAGAAAATAAGGTCCAAATGTGAGGAGTTTCATAGCCCCACTTATCATTCCTAGTGAGAAGCTAGCCATAAGCTAAGATAATCGTTGCCAAAGCTTAAGAACCAATTAAATGCTACCGTGGAGCTCTTTATTCCCAGTACATCCACCAGGTCACTTCATCATATTCTGTTACACTTATTACAATGTAAATCAGAGTTAAAGATATAGATGTTGATAAAGAGGTGTCCCCAGGGAGGTTGTTTCACAGTGGTCTAATCTGTTTAATTCTGTGCTTTTTAGTTATTCATCCTTTGTACTGGAGGCACTGCAGTTCTTACCTCGGGATAAGGAAAAACGTGATCACATGACTCGCTGTCTGTGTTACTTACAAATTCTGATCAGATTGCACAACTTAAAGAAAAAAGAAATTAAACACAAAGGTAAGACTGATCTCACTGCCTTTCGTTTGTGTCAACATTAAACTGACAACTTTGATGTATTCACAATTAGATTTTAAGAGAGTGCTTTAAGTGCTTTAACCCTTTGGGACCACGGAATCATCTTTGCCACCCTCCAAAGTTCTTTCTTGTGAGATGTACTGACTACATTCATATTCACCTGAACATTTATAAACTGTGTTTCAGGTTCTCTTGGTAGTGATGTTGCGGATGTTGTAAACAACAAGTTAATGAAAAATTTCACAGTCCTGACCTACAACAATGGATGGTAAATATATTTTCACAGCAGAATTTCTTACATTGAGTGATACAGCACGGAAATAGTCCATGATAGCGTGAATACTCCACACAAGTCCCCAACCTCTCCCCCTTCTATTTGTCTCTTCTTTGTTTTCTGTTGCTGTTTGCTTCGACCACAGCCTCTGACAGTAAGTTCCGCATTTTCACTACTTCATCCACAAAATATACAGTCAATTCACTTTACAGTATATTCTGTGAAATGCTTTGAGACGTCTCGAAGACGTGATAAAGCACTATATCAATCGCAAGGATTATTATTATCATTATTCTCTGCGTGAAGAAGTTCCTCCTAAACTCTCTAAGAACCAAAGAAATGTCCTAATGCAGCGCCACATAAGCAATGTCAGACCAGTTGACTACTATGCAGAGTGGAAGAGTCCCAGTGGTGTCGTGGCAGCCTGTGAGGTTTCTGTCAGAGCAGAAGATTTAGCACACTGCTTTTATATCATTTTCACAGTTTATTTATAACTCATTTTACTGTCTTTACTTTCAGTGTAAAAAACATAATGCCAGACACAATGAAGTCTAAGATAGCAGCGTACATTATCGCCTTGGCTTTACATATCAATAGCTTTCAAACTGACCTGACACATCTACAGAGAAATTTGAAGATCAGTGAAAACAAGTAAGCCTTATTAAAATGTGTTTCAGTTATTCACTTTTGAGCTATGTTCTCTCCTCACACTATTCTCTGGTGCAGAGGACTGTAACTAACGTTCGTTTCTGAAAAGAGCTCTTTTGTGCTTTCAGAATGTTGGAAATTGCCAGAGCGATGGGTTTGAAGATTGGAAAGAAAAACGTGGATGTTCCAGGAGTTGGTGCAGAAAGCCATAAAATAGGGACCCTATTATTGCCTTTAGTTGTGCCAATTCTAACCCATGGTTTGGGTAAAAAAAGAAAAATTAGATAAGAAAAGCGCAAGCAATGCTGTGAATCCAAACTGACGAAGCAGCCTCCGTGAGGAATCTTGTGCTAGTATTTCACACCAAAGAATTGATTTCTGAGCCAACTATAAACAACAGCAAATTACATCTGTGCAGCGTCTTTCACATCAGGAGGACGTCCCAAGGCGCTGGTCAGTCAGGGATCCAAGCTCGAGCTGGTGGTAAACAGGCTAACGTTATAGCTAACGATGGCTTAGAATTATGTGTTGAAAGGTGGTATTTGCTTGTTTTAATAACATTTTCATAGTACTCTTTGAGTCATCAGTCGTGGCACTCAGTCTGAATGTGTGGGGGAGATTATCAGGAAATGAAGTGCGTGGATCCGGATTTCTATGGCACAATAAAAATGTTCAATTTTCAAATCTGTAATATTTTTTTTTACAATTTTAATTTCTGATTTCAGTTAAAACACTCCACACAGATATAGATGTTCTGAAATATACTGATAAGTGACCGGTTTTATTTGGGGGATTGCTCTTTTTGAATAGAGTTGTGGTATCTTTAAAGTCCACTAAAACAGGAAGGTGAGTTTAATGTTTGAAGGACAGCAAAATACAGTGCTCCCCAGGAGGGTGGGGGGAGGGGGGTAAGGAGAGCTGGTCGGGATGGTGAGGGGGCTGGTCGGCAGTGATCCAGAAAATGTTACTGATTAAAAATCTATCCGGCTCTTCAATGTTTTATATGCATGAAAACGTTTTATATGCATAAAGAGGTTCTTCTACTGTTAAATCACAGGTTGGTCGCAGGTGGTCCTGAGCACATAGTCCAGTCAGGTCATGGTTTCGATAGTGGAACTGCGCTGCAAAAACTATTGTCAGCTGAGGGTCGCTCTAATTTCACTGCATTGCGTTCATCTGTTCAGATGGCTGTTACTGAAATCTCACAACTTAAGGTATTTTTGTAGGGATGTAGCAGCCAACGGGATGTTGGCATTTAGCGCAAGAATATAAAAGAAAGGAAATGATAGATTTACTACTACAACAACAACAACTTGGGTTTATATAGTGCCCTCCACGCCGGATGGCGTCTCAGAGCGTTCCTCAGTAACGGATCCCGGGGCCGAGTCGGGGAGGTGGTGGGAGGGTGACCAAAGGTGCGGTCGAAGAGAAAGATCTTCAGCAGAGACCTGAAAATAGGAAGAGAGGGAACGAGGTGAAGGGAGTGAGGATGGGAATTCAGAGCCTTGGGGCATAGTGTCTGAAGGCACAGCCGCCGAGGGTGGAGCGGAGCACTCGGGGGACGAGGAGGAGGCCAGACCCGGAGGAACGAAGGCAACGGGTACTGTTGAGGAGAGAGGAGGTCAGAGAGGTCGGGGGTGCAGAGGAGTGCAGGGACTTGAATACAAGAGTGAGGATCTTGAAGTCGATCCTCCCTGGGACAGGCAGCCAGTGCAGTCTGGCGAGGACTGGGGTAAACGGGGAGCGGAGTTTGGTGCGGGTGAGAATGCGAGCAGCAGAGTTTTGAATGATCTGGATTTTATGGATGGTAGTGGATAGGAGGCCGGCGAGGAGGGCGTTAGAATAGTCCAGTCGAGAGGTGACAAAGACATGGACCAGGGTTTCAGCGGCTTTCGGAGAGAGGTGTTGGCGGAGACGGGCGATGAGTCAGAGGTGGAAGAAAGCGGTGCTGGTAAGGGACCGGATGTGGGGGAGGAAGGTCGAACCTGACGCCTAGTTTCTACTTATGCCCTGGTCAGATCTCATTTGGATTATTGTGTGAGGTTGTGGGCATCAAATTTCAAAAAAGATAAGGAACCGACCTTGGTTTAAAATCTCTTCCAGTGGACAGGTCTCCAATACTGCATTGGTGTGTCAGCCTTAAGTGAGTTCAAAGTTCTGACATGGTGCTTCAACAACAACAACAACTTACACTTGCATAGCGCCCTTCACTTTGGAAAGACGTCCCAGGGTGCTTCAACCCACAACCTGTTCACTCGGAGGTGATAGATCAACTGAGTCAGGCTGACACTGATGTGTAAGAAAAAGGAAAGTAAAGGAAATGTATGTGAATTATGAACTCTACTGTGTAATATCCTCGTTTCTCTCAGCTGAACTAAAAACAGAATGATTCAGTTTATAAATAGACAAATCACAAGAATCAGTGCCTCGGGTTTGTTCCTTGTTTTGTAAGCATCAATGATTGTAATCAGTCGTAACCCTTTCAACTTGATATTCTCTGTAATTGTGGAAATCAAGACTTCAAAGTCCTCACCATCAAGAGATCAAAGCATAGACCCAGTCACGCCAAGCTTGCATGGCTGACTACAAAGGCTCATTGAATTAAATACAAGCATTAATGCATTCAAAAACATGTTTAAAGAAAGCATTTCTATCTTTAGAGCGCATTATCGTGTCAAAAGTGCTTCACAAGTAAATACTGCTAAGGATGGTGATTGATTATGTAGATAAGTGTTTTGTGCAAACCCAGGTCTCACGTGGGGTGAATGGCCGATTAATTTGGAGGATTTTTGGCCAGCACATCGGGAAAAGTTCCCTTCTCTTTCATACAGCGTGTCATGGTTTGATATCTACCTGAATGGTCAAAAAATGCATTGAATGATGAATATTTTATTTGGGGATTTTGGTGTCACGGAGCCTGGTGCGGGAGAGGACACGGGCTGCAGACGTCTAGATGTTCTGCAGCTTGGGAGGGAAGAGTTGGGAAGGCCGACAAGCAGGGCGTTGGCATAGTCGAGCCTGGTTGTAGTGAAGGCATGTATGAGGGTTTCAGCAACTTGAGGGGTGAGGCAGCGGCAGGGTCGGGCAATGTTGCAGAGGTGGGGGAAGGCAGAGCGGGTCATGGCACGAATGTGGGGGCGAAAGGACAGTTGAGGGTCGAACAAGACGCCTAAGTTCCCAGGACAGATTTACTTGCTGCCTAGACACTGGGTTTTGGGGTTACTTTAAGGTTCTTGATCTCACAGGCCACTTGGTTTGTGTAGGTTGACTCGAACTGGCTTTGTCCTGTAGCACCTCCCACCATCCTCGGCTTCAAACTCAAAATCCTTACGCATGGGTTTCACCTGAGAAAAATATTTTTAAAACCAATCTGCAAGTATTTGTTGTCCTGTTGATAATGTACACATTGTGTAAAAAAAAAATGACTGAAGCCTGAGCTCTGTTGTTTTGTGTGGTGGGCTGTGGGGCTGAACATCGAGCACTTAGAGCTCTTTGTGCAAATGACTAGGCAGCTTGCTATGGTGGTCAGGAGGTCCGCTGACTCTCAAGAGTAAGTTTTTCCCAGTTATTGATGTTATTGGGGCAAATTCTAGAAGGAGCAAACCTGACCCCCTCCCTCACCCGGTGAGGGGGATAGGGATTCTCTAACTTTCTGTCAACACACAGGGATGAAGGCAGGAGTTGACTGTAATTATTATTAATAATAATAATCTTTGCATTTGATATTGCGCCTTATCACATCTTCTAGACATCTCAAAGCGCTTCACAGAATATACTGTAAAGTGAATTGACTGTATATTTTGTGGGCGAAACATAATCAACAGTGAGCTAGTTACCAGGAGAGGTGGCAGAGTCCAAGAGGCTGAAGAAATGTTTGGTGTAAATGGGAAGATAGTAGTGTCAATGGGGATCAAATAGACTGAAGAGCCTTCTGTAACTTCATGTATGATCCACAGAAATCAAGATACTCTTTGGCATTTTAGATACACAATCCCATCCAATGTGTGGTACCCAAACCGGGGTGATGGTTATACATTATTTCAGCTAATCTGCATTTACCTACACCAGTGCTCTACTGAAATGAGTCTACATTGTGAACAACATTGAGGGAATGATTCAATTCTACCGGTCAACAAATACATACTCGTTATGTGGGGTGAAGCATATTGTACCAAGAACTTTAATCTTCGGCTGGTATACGGAATACGCAAAGATGAGAGAATTTAAAAAAATCTTTTATTGTTTTCGATTACGGGGCCAACACAAGGGTAAGCAATGAATAGCCATACGACGCTGACACTAATGTGGAATTGTATGACAGCAGTTAGCAGCCAACGCAGCATCTACAACTAAGTTTACAAAAATGGTTAAATCAACAGCACAGTGATCGTTTAACATTTTAGCCAGAGTAAAAACCCAAGTTTAAGATTTGTACAAAATGTGTTTTACAGATTATATTTTCAATCATTTTTTTATTCTATTTGTTGCTGTTATGCGATTAATTCTTCCTCCCACCCCCACCCCAAGAAGATTTAAATATACAAGTAGAATATTACACAATCAACTCGCAAAGGACCGAGAAGAAAAATGCATTCAGCAACAGTGCACATCAGCGTGAGCCTGGTATTGAAATGGCATGGACATGATGAGCAAAGTTACTTCCTTCTGCGCTGACAATTGCTCTGTATATTCAATCACAATGCACATTGTTGCGAGACCCAGCTTTACACCATCGGAAGAACATTCCTGTACGTCCGTGTCATTGGAGTTGCTCTAATGAGACTGGGCTGGACTGGGATCAGATGTTGCCCTGTTGTGTGCACAATTCTAAAGCACCCATCGTTCTTATAAAAGAAAGTATATGCCTATTTACATCGGTATTTTACATGGTTTTTGACGAAGGAGGAGTCAATTCCAATTCCACACACCTAGAATTTTAATCTTAGGTCAGAGGATTTAACTCCCAATTATAACTGTGTTTGATTGCAGATCTGGGTATGTACAGATCACTTATAAAGTTTTTTTAATTGGTCCCTTGAATACCTGCACCCACTGCCAAGCGGATAATCACGTGAGCTGCCTGAGTGCTGCTCTGAAGCTCTGAGGTGCTGCACAGAAAATTCTCTCGAGACTTTTCCCCTCTGCTCAGTGTTCTTTGCGGTGACGGGGCTAGTAAGAGAGTGCTTAAATCTGATCTAAATCAATTAAAACCCAATACTTTTATTGTTTGGACTATATTGGCACATAGGGGTCACGTGGACCTCTGAGGTTCAAATGAATGATCCCCAAACTAGACCTACATCAGGCTTCACGGTCACACTAGAAAAAGATACTGATGCCTAACTTTATGACCTACCAGTACATTGGAACACGTCCTTAAACCCTCGTCCCATTTCTCCTCTCTCCCTGCCACACCCAATCTGCCGCACTCACCCACACAGGATCTTTCTCTTTAATCCCTCTTTTCCTGAAGACCCACATTCTTGTACAGTTTCACGAGCATTGATACCTCCTACAATTGGCCATTCTTGCAAGTCTGCACCTGACCCATGAGTATCAGTGAGCTATCTGACTGATAGCTTAACAGCCAAGTTTTCCACTAACAGCTACACTCACACTAACCCAACGACATGGAATTCAATTTAGGATGTCACTCCTGCTGTGCCTGAGATCAGACCACTGAGAACAAAAATCAAATCTGTGACAAAAACAGAGAGAGCTGGGAACACTCAGCAGGTCAGGCAGCATCTATAGAGAAAGGAAAGTGAGTCAACGTTTCGGGTCCACGACCCTTCGTCAGAATCAAATCTGTGAGCCGCCTAACCTGCACATCGCACACACCAGCACAAAGGGCATTTTGCCAAGTGAGGAATAAACAAACATCAGTGTTTGCAAACCATTCCGCACATTTGGACAGGTGTGAAGTTACAGTAAAAACAAAGCATTTAGTCTCAACACGTTCCTCAGCCTTATAAATCCTAATAACTATGGTGCCTTTTTGTGACTATGGTGCCATTCCTCCAATAATATACGTACTGTATTTCATAAAAATAAATTTAGACACGGAACAGTATAAACAAAGAAATATCCCATCTGTCTTTCTGTCCTAGAATTGTATTTAGTGACATTCACAAAGGCTGAAAGGTTAGAGAAAATGGTTGTGTAGATGTCAAAGGATGCTCAGGACAGAGTGGGTGGAAAGATTTGGTTTTGGAAAAGCCTGCACATGATCCAGAAGTGAAAATCCGCAGGTAAGAGCATTGGCAGCTGGTAACAATGCACAGATTTTGAGCCAGGGCTTCTAACAAGCAGATTTCAGTAAATATTGTGACGTTACACAGGTCAATCGTGCGGCAATTTCTTCCCATGACTTTATGAATTAAGAAATCTAATTTGGGGTTCTGTCCGATAAACACTGTATGTTATGCAGCTGGAAGAAACCCCACTCCGAAACTTTATTGAGGTGAAATGTGTTCCTGCGAGACGGCATTCTCCCTTTCTTAAGCAAGAAATTCAATTTCTATCACAGAATTGACAGTATGTTGGTACACTCCCAGTGGAGCTTAAACAGCCAAATAGCTTTCTATCTAAGATAAGCAAATCCACTGAAAGTCCAATGTTCTCGAGTGAAGGAGTGAAGTGCATTTACCGAAGCAGCCCCATGTTTCTTACCCATTACTGAAAGTACGTTGGTTGATTAATAAAGTGAGGCACGAGCCTATCTCTATGGCACATTCTGTACCAGTGTTCAATTGCGTGAGTTAAAGAATAGTGCAGAAAATGCTTCCGTTGTTGTGGCAGCCCCCTTCCACCCTTGCAGCTATCCTGGTCGTCAAGGATGCACCTCTTTGACTGGTCTGAACCGATGAGGCACTTCTGTTTGTTCCGTCAATAAGTGGCCTCGCTGGAGGGTTCTCCAGTTTCCAGGCTGCACCGGATCTGCAAGCACTAAAGGACCAAGGAAACAAGATTAGTCACAGATAATACTGATATTTCATCTCCTTAAGAGACTGAGAGCGAGTCCTCTAGTATTACTGTCCAGCAAGGTCTGGGCCATCTACAGGGCTCAGTGAATGCGATCAGACTCACGAAGCAGCTCCTTTTGGGTGTAACCGAACCCATGTCGTCTGCTTAGAAGAGAAATGGCTACGATCATAAACAAACAGCGAGTGGCTCGCGCTGGCATCACTGTTAGTGCATTCTCTTTATGCCTTGTGATTAAGACAAACATTCTGCTGAAAACAGAATTCGTAATAATCCGCGCCTTATCACGTCTTCGAGACGTCTCAAAGCGCTTCACAGAATATACTGTAAAGTGGATTGACTGTATATTTTGTGGGCGAAATCCTGTTTGGCTTCTGACTTTCTCACAAGTTACACGAGTCCATGCACTGGCTAAGCTAACCTCAGACTGAGAAACAGAGCACAGTCCATAGACAATGGGAGCAAATTAGTTGGGGGGGGAAAGGAAAGGAATTAAGTGAAAGTTTTAATAAAGTGATTTAAAAACTTACTTTTTGCTGTAAGCCAGAATTTCATTGCGTTGAATAGTACATTTTTCTGCATTTCCGGTTTGCTGCAAAATAGTTTTTCCTACTTTTCCTTTAAAGATTTGGTTTTCTTGCACAGTTCCCTTAGCCTGATCCAGGATTGCAATACCATAGTTATGGAGTGACTGGATTCTATTCTTCATCACCTGCAACAAAGTAGGTGCTATTGTGATTAGGCGAACTGTAACTATATCCATAATAGCTCCCATTTCCCTAAGGTACCTCGACCTGTTCAATCTTTCTCAGTAGCTGTATCTACTCACTCTGGTATCTCTCTCAGGTTCCTACCATCCAGGTCTTCTTTATTCTTCCTACCAAAGTGAATCACTTCACATTTCCGTCTATTAACAACACCAACAACAAATTATATTGGTAGTGCGCCTTTCACGTCAGAAGGACATCTCAGGCACTGGACAGTCAGGGATCTGCACCCAAGCTGGTGGTTGGGATCAGAAGGTGGGTAGGAGGGTGACCAAAGGCACAGTCGAAGAGGAGGGTGTTGAGGTGGAGCTTGAAAGAGGCAAGGGATGGGGCGAGGCAAAGGGACTGTGGGATGGAGTTCCATAGGGTGGGGGCAGAGAAGCTGAAGGCCCACACACCACTGGTGAAACATCATTTGCCACTAGCCACACATTATGCAAGCTTATTGATCTCCCCTCTATACTATCTCCTAAAAGATCATCTTCCCACACAATATCCCTCTTCCCCACTGTACTGTTCACCCACATTCATATATTCCCCTTGTTGCGATGCCATTTAGTACATCGAAAAGAAAAAGTTTATAAAACTGAAGCCTATGTGTGTTGCAAGCTTGTACACTAAGGACATTACTATTGAATAGACTCTGAAATTTGGATCCCGTATGAAAATCGTTCGAACACTTGGTCAGTCAGAAATCTCCCCCCTCACAGCACGCAAAGAGCAAGACAAAGTACTTATTTGTAGGACTGGCTTGCCCAGGTGAGTCTCCTCGGTCTCCATTCAGTACCAGAGAGAGAGAGAGAGACGTTATATTCAATCGACTGAGCTACGCATTCTCTGGAGTCTGCCAATGTAAGGTAATTCCTTGCCCTACAATCGGAAGGTTTGTTCTGTGGATATGTTAGGGACTGAGAAGGCCTGTTCCTGCAGATCCACTGGAGCCTACCTTCACATCTGCATTCTCCAACAACTGCAAGCCACACCCGTGGTTTCCAAGGATATCATTCTCCAAGATGGATCCTTCTCCCTTTAAGGTGACGCCGTGGCTGTTGTTGTCATAGATACCATTGCCTCGAAGTTCAACTTTGCAGCCGGCTTCTACGAGGACTCCGCTGACGCTGTTGCAGGTGACGCTATTGTTGGAGATGTGGGTGAGCTGGCTGCTCTGATAAACGGCAATCCCGTTGTCGTGGTTGGCGTGGACTGCGTTGGCTACTATGTTCAGCGTCTCACTGCTTTTTACATAGAGTCCAGCAGCTAAGCACAATCGGGAGCAAGCAGAGAGAGGACAGATCACTCAACAGGTTACAATAACGAGGACTAAATTAACAAATGCTAATTTACATGACGCTCTCATAATCAGTTGGCTTCCCGCTGAGCGCTTTCACAACTGAAGTTGACCTCAGTGCATTTCAGCCCTGATGGGACATATACCGTACAAGTCAGAAAAATCCTAAACGCAGTTGTATATTGCAGTGCCCTCTGGCTATATCACCCAAATAGATAACAACAAAGACAATGTTGTGGAAATCACAGGCGTATTTGGCTAAGTCACCTTGATTTTGCTTTTGAAGCCGTATAATATTATAGTAAACAGTTTAACACGAGAAAGGATGCTTAAAAATACAACAAATTACAAAGAGGACAAAAGGATTTAAAAGTTGTTAGCCCAGCAGAAGCCTGGAAAATCGAGGGGAAAAACGCTTAGGAAACCTCATGTATTTAACGTAACATGTTACACACAGAGCAACTGCTCAGTAATTTTCACTCACTGGATGAGGGAAGAAAGGATGTGAAGAAAGGAGAATGGCTGAATGGGAGAATTGCACGTGAAAAAAAAATAATACTGGAGGCCTGTTCAGGGGAACTTTAAAGGGACGCTGCTGTGCACAAATTGCCCGCTGTGGTTTGCTTATAAAATACGCAGTCACTACACTTTATTTTAAATGCCACTTGACGCACTTTGAGGTGACTTAACAATGTGATGCATCGCTATATCAAATGCAAGGATTATTATTAAAATAATCTGCTGGACTAGTAGCTCTAATGGCATGGCAGCTTGCAATCCTGACTGCCTCATCACACAGTATCACTTGGAGGGCATTTGATGTACAGACACTTTAAATGGATTCCGCAGTCTCCAAACAGCTGTCACAATTCAATAAAATTAACATTTACAACGAGTGGCTTTCGCGTCGTCAGGATGCTTTTCACAGCCAAGTAAGCGAGTCAGAGAGACTCTGGGATGGAGTTCCAGATGCAAGGCAGAATGGCTGAAAGCCCCCTTGGCGTTCAATGGTGGGCATGAGTTTCAATGTGGCTCCTCCACTTACCACCATTGTGATTGATGTTGTTAAACTCAATGAGTGCCACAGTAATTGGCTTGAGTGATATGTATCTGTCGTCTTCACTGTCCAAGTCAGTTTCCCAACTGATGATCTCCCCTTCGTCATTGAAGTTCTCATTGCCTCCTTGGTTGCTGAGATAGTCGTTCGCATCATCTTTACGGCAGAACACAGCCACACCGTAGATATTGTTGCGGCTGATCTGGTTGTTGGTGATGTGTGGGAGACTGGATGACATGATCCATACACCACAGCCCTTGTTACCTGTGCACAACATTCATTAATGAACTGAAATCTGTGTTACTGTTTGAGAAACAAAGAACAGAAGGATTCAATCAAACTGCTTTAGATTTCCAACTTTCTCCCTATACTCTCGTCTTCTGAAGTTTATCCCGGTTGTTAGCCCCTCGGGAGGAGAATCGTGGAAAATGGAATTCAATAAAGAGATATGCAAAGTGGTGAATTTTGGGAGAAAGAACAGGGATCAGAATTAAACCCTAAGTGGTGGAATCATCAAAGTAATGGAGCAGAGGTGGGGGGAGTGGGGAAGAAGTTTAATTCAATGTACTTATATAACCTAGAATCAGGATAATGCAGGTTTTTTTTTTTGCAAAAATCACAAAACTTCTATCAAGGTTTGGTTGCGGACATGAAAATGTAATTTTTGCCACATTAATGTCTAAACCGGTTACTACTGCTTACCATATATGGTGTTTCCTTCTATCAGCCCTTTCCCTCGTTCACCAACAACAACGCCATCTGAATAACCATGGCAAATAAGGTTGTTTCTCAGAATGGGATCTCCCCCTCGCCGAATGTCAGCACCGCCCCATTGATTTTCACGGATAATATTTTCTAGCGCAGAAAAAAAAACACAGCACGTTTGCCACACTTTCTGGAGCAACAGACATAGAATAGTGTAATTACACAAAACAACGGATAACCTGAACACAGTGTAATAATCTGTTAATCTTTCACCATTGAGCATGATATAAATCAGTCAATCAATAAAGAGTCGTCTGGTGTAGGTTAGGGATGGAGATGCAGAGCATTCTTACCATCACTACACGTAAAACAGACTGTTTGTGGGGACGCTGCTGTGCCTAATTGGTTGCTGCCATTTCGCCCACAATATAACAGTCAATTCACTTTACAGTATATCCTGGGAAGAGCTTTGAATCGTCTCAAAGATGTGATGAGGCGCTGTATCAAATGCAAGGATTATTATTATATTATTAAAACAACTCTCCAACTTTAGACAGTCAGTAACAAGAAAAGCTGTGGGATGATGAATGGTTATTTTCACCAACAGTTCCAAGAATTCCAGCTCCTTATCAATCACCCATCACAAGTCTATCCCTGACTACTGCAAGTGGGTAGTGAGCGAGAAGTAATTAGAATCTGATTCATGCAGTGTTTGAAAGGTTATGAATGTTGAATATAAAGTTATTTTTTTATTCCTTATATAGCGCATATATCTGACTAAGAAAAATGTTATGTGCAACGAAAAGATGCATTTAAAGCAGACCTCTGTCAGTCCCTCAGGATCTCATCAATATACAGTGTGTACTCGATCCTTAATATATTGCAGGATAGAAAAAAAAATGCTTCTGCTTACAATGTGCTCAGATTTAAATATTTATGCACTGGGTTTAGACGAATGAAACTGGGCACTTTGCATGCTGTTAAGCTGCAGACTGACCTATTATTTGGCCCCTTCCATTTTCATTCACAGCTACACCTGCTGCAAGTCCTTGGTAGATATGGTTCCCGCTGTGAAGAGACAGATTGTCAAAGCAACAAATGGAAATTCATACAGCACTCAGGTGTTTTTTTTTTAAATCGAGGAAGGGGAAAGAATATATTCCCGTGCTCATCAATGTGAAGGATGTCAATGTTAAAAAAGGAATATTTTTCCATTTTGGATGCAGAATATCAGCAGGAAATGCATCCAAGACAGGTCCTGGAAAACCTCTCTCTACACTGCTCTCAAGTGCTAACCTCAGAAGAGTAAGTCTCATACTGTACCAGTGTGATTTTGTCCGTTTTTACACCAGCGATCCTTAATGTCTTTCAGAGACTGCAAACTGTTCAAAGATAAGAGGATTTCTGAAGGGCACTGGGCTGTGGGCTCATATGCTCTAGAAAGTAATAATCCTTGCCTCGCATAGCACCATAAGAGGTTCTAAAGTGAATGACCAATTTTATCTGAGGGAGTGTTGACCAGGGCACTGAGATAAACTCACTTCTTTTTTTCAATATTGCCTTGGGATCTTTAATGTTCACCTGAATAGGCAGATGGGACCACATTGAGTTGAAATTGCCCAAAACACTTGAATGTTCAGAGCCAGCGAATAAGGAAGAATGTCAGCGCAACAACCTGGGCTAGATTAAAGGACTAGTCCCCGAGGTGAAAAGGCATTGTCACTTAAGTATAAAGACAACAACTTACTCTGGAGTGTGTCCCACCTTCACCAACCCTACCCTGGTACGATTGGTTCTGCAAACCTACTATTCAAATTATAGGCTACACCATGACAGGAGTGTAAGGTACACGGACGTCAGCAAAATTAATTTTAACAACAACAACAAATTACACGTGTATAGCGCCTTTCACGTCAGGAGGACATCCCAAAGCGCTGGACAGTTAGGGATCCACACCTGAGCTGTTGGTTGGGATCAGGAGGGGTGGAGGGAAGGGAGGGTAGAGGTAGGAGGGTGACCGAAGGCATGGTCGAAGAGGAGGGTCTTGAAATGGGTCTTGAAGGAGGCGAGGGAGAGGTGGAAGGACTGTGGGATGGAGTTCCAGAGGGTGGGGGCAGAGAGGCTGAAGGCCCGCCGGCCAATGGTGGGGCGGGCAAAGAGGGGGACGTGAAGCAGGCCGGAGCCCGCTGAGCGGAGGGAGCGGACAGGTTGGTAGGGGGTTAGGAGGTCACGGAGGTAGGGAGGAGTAAGGCTTCAACGTAAGGCAGTCATATTCTGGAAATTCCATGTTATTTTTTCTAGGTAGCGAGAGATTGTATAAACAGAAACACTCTCACCTCAGAGTCAAAAGATTGTGGGATCAAGCCCCACGTCGGGACTTTCAGCTCACAGTTCAGGCTGACATTCCAATGCAGTGCTACAGCTGCGCTATATTGCTCTTCAATGAGATGTTAAACGGAGGTCTCGTCTGCCTACTCGAGTGGACACTATAGAGCCCAGAGATTTTATCCCTTTCGAAAAGAGAAGAAAGTTTCTTCCGGCGTTCCCGGCCAACCATCCAAATAAAATTGGACGTTCACTTCATCGCAGTTTGTGTGACATTGTTGTGTGCAAAGTGTTTGAAAGTACTATGATGTGGGTGGGGCTGCAATTCCACTCCTGACAAAGTAGAGCCTTCATCAAGTCCGTCAGTCTCTGATGAGCTATGAATATCAACATCCCCAAGATCAGCTTTGCCTTATTGCTGGAAGAGGGTAGACAGACTTTCCCTAAGATTTGTAATAAGATCATAACAACAACTTACATATATATATACATTTATATAGTGTCCTTCATGTAGGATCGTACCTCAGAGAACTGCTCCAATCGTAAAAAAAATGCTAAGTGCAAAACCACTGAAGTCACAATAAGTAACTAACACCAACAATCATAATAACATCAGGTAATTTTAAAAAAAATTCTGATTGAAATTCCACAGTTAGAAAGATCAAACTTGAAGCTGAAGGGCCAGACTATAATTATAATAATAATCCTTGCATTTTGAGAAGTCTCAAAGCACTTCACAGGATATATTGTAAAGTGAATTGACTATATTTTGTGGGCATATGTTTTATCAGCCTGTAAAGTGGGGCAAATTTATATTTAATCATCACGATTGCACTGTTTGTTAAGATAAAGACCTTGTAATATATGTGTGCCTTGGGGAAAATGCAAGAAGGATTTACTCATTTTATAAAACAAATATATTTGGTGCATATAAAGGCTGGTAACCGCAAGTGCAGAATCCGCAGAAGAAGTAGGAATATGTGCGCAGGGCACAAAGTCTGCAGCTAGGAAAAACAAAGACAAAAGGGGAGTACGTACAGATGGTCATGCCTAGAAAGCATCCTTGAAATACTTGAAATAGGAAGAGATTAGACAGTGCTGAGAGATTAGGAGAAGTAACACATAACAATAAAAGAAATGACTACATGCCACGATAAGGGAAGAATGCACAAAAAACAAACCACAGGATAAATCACACACCGAGAGGCCAAGAGAGTACCACCCATCCCACAGTAATTAGAAGGCACGTGAATAAGGAAATGCAGAGTCAGCACAAAAAATCACGGATGACAGAAATAAAAGGCACGAAGTGGAAGAGTTATCCAGAAAGACTCGAGGGGGGGGGGTGGGGGAGCAGTGAGGTCCAACTGAACAGTTCCGTGGCAGAGGGTGGCGGGAAATATCGTGTTGGTTTTACAGTATATTACAATATAATGTATCTGTTAACGCTGGGAATGTACCTCTGATGCGTGTAATTAAAAACTTTGATCGGAACCAAACTGCTCGATTCGTATTGAGTAAAATCGCCCTTGGCTATAATCTTACAACCTGCGGGGATGTCGTGATCCTCTCCTCATGTTTTGTCTTGCCCCAGTTGTTGTCCCTAAGTATTTCCTCGAATGCTGTTAAAGCCGTACTTTGCTCACGTTTTGATTGAGGCTTCCGCGTCTTGGGACACATGGCTGCGAACTTGAACCCCGAGATCTCTCTTGTCCGTCTACCTCTCTGGCGCTTCCCCGTTTAGAACATGTCCCAACCGTCCCGAGTGGACCACCTCACCTGGATCTATCCACCTGGTTTCCTGTCCTTGGAGCCTCGTTGACTCCACGCTTTCTTTCAGTCCTGAACGAGGTTTCCTCGAAGCTTTCTCGTCTTATATATTTCATTGATACCCAGCACTTTTCACAATTGCTGAGCCTTTGGTCATTTTTATTTGAACCTCTCACTCTCAACCTTTGTTAAAACGACCCGTTCTGGGGGGGGGGCTCTCTCTCTCTCTCTCTCTCACACATTCAGACGTCTCGTATAGCGGGATCCAGCAGAAATCACAATTTGTATCGGAAAGAGACAGTGGTGCATAAAGGAGTACAAAGAGCTCGTTTTTCAGCTTGACAGGTTTGAAGTGCGGCTCATGATAGCCGTCAAGATGACGTGCGTACACCTATAACACGGTACATACACCACACCAAACACTCAGCGCATTTGTGGCCCTCTTTAAATTAGGTTTCTCTGCCAACTGAACAGGATTTGTTTCTCGCCCTTTTTATTGTAATGTACGACAGCAACAACAGAGAATCGTAAATACAGTGTTTAAATCTTTTTGCCATTTCAACGTTGGTTCTATACAGTCTACTTAATCCGCGGGCTGTACAACCCGAGGCTGTACAAGTTCTCCCGACGTGAAAGGCCGTATATACATGCAATTTGCTGTTGTCGTTGAAAGAAAACAAACTGGAAACAATTTCAGGAATTGTTCAAGCGATTTGTTACCACTTAAATATCAAGTGCCATGGAAGGCAACAAAGCAATGCAATTCACTGCTATTATGCAATGGTTTTTCACAAACCCTCGGTGCTGCACGGATATTTAGAGCATAGCACATCATTACACAATACCCAGGAATCACAACTGTGGACAACAGATTAGAGTCCAGATTCCAGAGGTTGTGAGCGAGAAAGGTAACTGTTACTCACCTCACCACGGGGTTACCGTGATACAAAATGTAAATGCCAGCTTCTTTATTTCCATAGATTCGATTGCTGCGAATGATGCCTTTCCCATTGCCAAGGACAACAACCCCTGATCGATGGCCACTGTGAATCCTGTTGCACTGTAGAGCAAAGGACAAAAGAATGAAACGTCACAATACTAACTCACAGCGCCAGTGATCTTACTTAATAATAATAATCCTTGCATTTGATATAGCGCCTTATCTAGACGTCGCAAAGTGCTTCACAGAATATACTGTACAGCGTAGTGACTGTATGTTTTGTGGGCGAAACCCGGCAGCCAATTGCACACAGCAGTGTCCCACAAACAGTCGTGGATTGAGTGACCCATTTATTATTATTTTTTTTTGAAGAAATTACTACCCCAGGAAAACCGATCCGGCAATTGACTAACAATCGGGTTCCTAATTACTGATAGGTAAACAGATGGGTGCGGAGTCAGGAAACTTGCCCAACGTTTCGCACTGCCGGGAATCAAACCCAGGTCTCTCGCTTTCGAGGTGAGTGCTCTAACCACTGAGCTACAGGACTCCACAATTATAGAATCATAGAATTATACAGCACAGTATGAAGCAATTCAGCCCATCGTGTCTATGCTGACTCTTTTAAAAAGAGCTACCCAATTCAATCCCATTCCCCCGCGCTCTCCCCATAGCCCTGTAAACTTGTCCTTCCCAAATAATTATCTACTTCTCTCTTAAAAGCTGTTATCGAATTGGCTTCCATCAGCCTTTCAGGCAATGCATTCCAGATCCCAACAACTCACTGTGTAAAAATATTTCTCACCTCCCCTCTGTTTCTTTTAACAACTATTTTAAATCGGTGTTCTCGGGGTTACCGACCCACCCGCCAGTGAAAATAGTTTCTCCTTGTTCACCCTATCGAATCCCCTCATAATTTTGAAAACTTCTATTAAGTCTCCTCTTAACCTTCTCTGCTCCAATGAGAATAATCCCGGCTTCTCTGCCTCTCCTGATTACTGAAGTCCCTCATTCCTGGTACCATCCTGGTCAATCTCCTTTGCACCCTCTCCAATGCCTTGACATCCTTCCTAAAGTGTGGGGCCTAGAACGGTTTAATCTTATAGCCCACAACAATAAATTTGTCATTTTCAATCCATGACTGTTTGTGGGACGCTGCTGTGCGCAAGTGGCTGCCGCGTTTCGCCCACAAATATACAGTCAATTCACTTTACAGCATATTCTGAGAAGCGCTTTGAGACGTCGAGAAGACGTGAAAAGCGCTATATCAAATGCAAGGATTATTATTATTATCCAATTTCTCTACCCTCTCCTCCGATACTGTGGCATTGGCTTTAAACTACAATAAAACCACACAATAAAAATGCAGGATTAACTTAAAATAAATAGGAAATAATCTTCTTCGTTCAGGAGTAAAAACAGGTGCTTGAAACTCTTAACCTTCAGCAATTTCTGGGCAGAGATCAAGAGCAATGCGAAGACTAACTACACGACACAAAAGGTGCTGTTTTAAGGAGTGAAGTTCAGTTACCAGTATGAGCGGGTTTGCTCCCTTGCGGATATCAATCCCAGCCTCTGCGTTGGAGTGGATGTTGTTGTCGGCAATCAGACCTCCTGCAGCCAGACGCAAAAAGATTCCAGACGCTTTGCACTGATTAATCTCATTCTTTAGCATTATCACCTGAGGATGGAGAACTTCAGTCAATTACTAACACCTTTCAGCGGGTCAACACAGGAAATAACAGAAGCCACTGCATGTACAAGTGGCCTCAGGCTTTTTTCATCTGGGAGCTTTTTTCATTCACGCGGGTGAAAATGCACCTCAAAACGCTGTCTTTTTGTAGGTACCGCAGCTTATAAATCACGGAAATGACAGTATTTAAGGAGGAACTTTGCCCCTCAGGCTCAGCAAGTGCTACCTTATCTGCTGGAATCCAGTTCCCCATTTCCCTCCTCTCTTCTATGTGGACAAAACGCGGCAACTCTTTGAGATGTTATCATAAGGCACTATATCGAATGCAAGGATTATCGTCAATAATATCTAAGCAATGTTTTGAAGCTGTTTAAATATATTAGAACCCTTCATGTTTCAGGAAAACGGCAATGAAGAGCAGAGACTCTATACATTAGAATATACAGTACTGCATTTGAAGTTCGATACCCTCTTCCCTGCAACGAGAAGGGTTAACATCTAAACATACACCAAAGTGGTGTTGACCATGTCGATGTTTCACATCGTGAATCTTTCCACCAGCACCAATGACTGAACGGCAGCTGACAGGAGGCATACCTGAACTCTTTCCCTCTCAAAGGGTGTGTTTTTGTGGGGGGGGGGGGGGTGGGGGGAGCTTGTGACAGTCGGAAAAAACAGCCCAGTTCTGGCAGGCAGAATAAAGACCCCCAGCATTTACACATCAACTTAGAAATAAGTCCTGGAACTTGGTAGGTGGAGTTCTACGTAGTAACAGATACACCAGCATTGTCCCATCAAGTTTACCCATCCAACCTCCCAAAAGATGCCTTCAAGATGTCCACGCCATCATCTGATAATCCTGAGTATTTTTTCCAGGAAATTGTCCACCTCCCTTTTTTGAAACCTGTTACACTTCCTCGTTCCATCACCTGTGTTGGCCACATTGTTTTCCAAGCCTAGCATTAGTTTTCGGAAGTAATTCTCCTGCGCTTTCCACTCGCTTTGATTGTGTTTTATGTGGAGCTACGGCTCTCATCTGTGCATTTTTTACATGAGAAAAAAATGTTCTAAGCCTTTCATCATTTTAAACACCTCTAGCAAGTGGCCCTCAGTGGTAAAGAGACACCGAGGTAGGCAGGAGTACACTGGAATGCGCAGTCTTCTTACTGACCTTGGCATTTTGGATGCAGCGAACTGCATTGCTCAGGTTTCTGAAGATGTTGGACTCCATCCTGGCTTGTCCCTGGCTGCAGACAAACACACCACCCTTTCCATCTCTAAAAAGGCACTTTCTTATGAGACAACCATGCAGGGTGTTGGCGAGTATCTGAGCCTCTTTGTCTCTTTGCAGCTCCTGTTCCAGAGTTTTCAATTCCAAGTCCATCTGTAAGAAGTCGGCTCCATTTTTCTGAGGTCTAAATAGACTGGCCTTGGTCAACATGCGGCTCAGACCATGGGACTGGTAAGAGAGCTTGTACACGGACTCTTCATCATCTTCATTCTCGCTGCAAGTGCTCAGATCACTTTCGCTGTAATCGGTTTCTAAGGTGATGACCTCCGACTCACAGGGATGTTCCTTTGTGGTGTTTACGTCCCCGTTACACGCATTTTCCCGGTCGCAGGGTCTGTGGACATTTTCTTTGGACCCGGAAGCCTGTTGTGCTTCGGCCACTTGACCGTTGACCTCGAAGGTTCTCAAGTTGCTGGACGGACGCTGACAGTGGGTTTCGGAACTACAGGTTTTTGGAAGTGCTGCTTCTGGCGAGTTCAAAACTGATTTGGATTTGGCCGTGACTGCCAGGTGTTTGCAGGCCCAGTTTCTGTCCGTCAGAGCAGGCCCCTCTACAGTCACTGACGTATTCTCACTCCCAATAAACTCACAGTTCTCAATGATGCTCAGAGCAACACTGTGGAAATTAACGCAAGACTGGCTGAAAGTACAAAACTTAAGCTGGCAAGTTCCCGGCGAGTGGATCTGCAACTGCCCGTTCTCAATGTTGCAGTTATCGAGCTGGACATGACCCGATGACGTCTGCAGATCAGAAAGAGTCAGTTGAAGAAATGGCAACGTACATTAACTTATTCATTTATTCGCACCCACTCATTAACACAAAAATCTACATCAGTCATTTAACAATCATCAAGCATCTTCCAGTAGAATTGTAGACTGTCCAAAAGATTGATCCAATGAACTAAAGAAAGAAAAGCTACAGAGAAGTGATTTTAACCTCATTTCTTTTTATTTATCTTTTTCCTCAACTCGTGTACGTACCTGTTCTTTCCAGGTGTTCAAAGGGCTATTCAGTGTTGGTCACTAGGAAGCAGGGAGGTGCTACTGAGGAAAAGAGAATTCCTCATTCTTTCCTCTCTGTGGAAGTGCATGCTCATGGTTCCTATCCTACTTGACCCATTGCCTCCACTTTGTCTCCTATAAAAGTTTCTTCTTCCCATTCCAGTCATCTGTGGAGCACCGCAGGACTCTTCCTCAGCCTTTCCCTTACCTATCTGCTCCCCGTGGTGACATCATCCACAAAGATGGGGTTACATTCTACATACACAGAGATGACACCAAAATCTACTTCTCCATTTGATATTCTGTTCACTCATCTGTCAGATGTCTCACTCGATTTCAAATCCCTTCATGTCCTCGCACCACCACACCCTGAAAGTCTGGAACTCTCTTCCTCAATCCTCCGCCTTGCCCCCTCCCTCCCCACCTTTAAGTCCCACCTAAAGACCTTCCTTTTTGATCGTGCTTAATACTTTTAGATTAATCTGAATCCCCAGATCGCTATGCCTCTTACATTCTCATTATCTAAGGTACAAATGGCTTCTTTAATCCACCGAGCAAATTTCTCAAATTGAACTTCATCTGCCACCTATCCACACATTCTGCAACTCTGTGTATGTGTGTATGCATCTCTTTGCAACCCTCACTATTTACCGTACCCTTCAGTTTGGTGTCATCAGTGAATTTCAACACCAAATCTCCCGAGTGCAATCATTTATAAATACGGTGAACAGTAACAGTCCTGATACTGATCCCTGCGGAAAAGCACTACCTACTTCTTGCCAGTCTTACAAGCTGTCCTTTACTCCTCTAATTTGTTTTCTGTTTACAGTCATCTCTCAATCCATTCTGCTACCTCTCCCCTGACTCCACATATTCTGATTTTTGCTATGTGGCACCTTATCAAAGGCCTTCTGAAAATCCAAATACATCACATCCCCTGCTTTTCCTTGTCTAATCTATCTGTGATTTGTTCAATGAATTCAATACAGTTGGTTAAGCATGACTTTCCCATCATGAACCTACGTGGCTGCTTTCAATGACACTCTCGCCTTCTCGAGATGTTTGGTTATTCCATCCTTATTACAGATTTCAATACTCTAGCAGGAAGTAGGAACCCGGTTGTTATTTGATCACTCAATCCACCACTGTTTGTGGGACACTGCTGTGCACTTAGGGCAAGAGGCATTTCCACTAGCAATAATCAATCCAAGAGGTTTCTCCTTTGACATGACTGTAGAGCCCTGTAACTTGGCGTATTACTGTAATGAGAGCTGACAAAGTGAATCTGGTGACTATTATCCAGAGATGAGTACAACCAGCTTCAAAGTTGCTGATTTACCTGTAATCATTTTTTATTGATGATTCATTACATAATTGAAAGTACTCTATGTATTTGAACATGATTAACCCAATATTTTGCATTTCAGACCATGTTCTTGAATCAATGAGTTGAAGGATCTCTTCTTAAGAAATACCCTCTCCAATCTGTGGTAAACTATTTCAGAATAGATACAGGTGAAGTCCTGTATCGTAGTGGTTAGAGCACTCGCCTCGCAAGCGAGAGGACTTGGGTTCAATTCCCGGGCAGGGCACAATGTTGGGTAAGTTTACTTACTCCATACGCCTCTGGTTACCTTGCAGTAACTAGGAACCCGGCTGTTAGTCGATAGGCGGATTGCTTTTTCGAGAGTAATAATCCCTTCAAAACAATGTGATAAGGCGCTATATCAATGGCGCCTATGTAATATTATTATTATTACACTTATCCTACAAAAGTATGGAATAGGAACTTACCTTGTACACAACAGGTGTGAACCATGCCGGCATGAGGACCAAATTACATAGACGTGCTGTTGGACAGTGTTGGTCAAAACTAATGAGGAGTGCGACGTCCCCCAGCTTCCCGTGCCCAATTATCTCCACTGGCACCTTTAAAGTCACCTCATTTTGTTCTTCATATATTCCAGGGGAAACAATAATCTTATCATACACATTGGCAACTGCTAAGGCACTCCTGAGATTTTCATGTTCATTGGTGGGACCCACAAATATAGTTTTTCTATCCCTTTTTCGCCTAAATAAATACAAACAATTTGAGGATTCCAAGTCCTGGGCATTTCTGGTCCATGTTTTTGAAGCCAGATAGTGTTGTTTAAATGCCTCCCGCCATGATTGGGGTTCAACATCAGGCTGATTGGGCCAATTTGGGTGCTTGCACTCAATACATCCAAGACACAGTTGTCTCCAGCGGGTATTATCCAGACTAATGATAAGTTCGTACCATGCTCTACACACCAAGCAGCATCGACCTAGATCTGGTAAAGGCAGGTATGCAAGGATCAGACGCCACAGCTCAACTGGGAGACCACTGATGTCCATCGTCACCCGTGGATTTGAATACAAGCTGTTAAGACAAAAACATCTTTGCATTAATACACTACGCTTGACTCGTACATTTAGGTGTCAGCCTGGCTCAGCTAGTAGCGTTCTGTCTCTGAGTCACAAGGCTGTGGGATCAAGCCCACAGTGAGACTCTGAACTCACGGTCTAAACTGACAATTCAATGCAGTACAGGGGGTTGTGCTAAACTGTAGGAGGCACCGTCCCTCACACGAGATGTTAAACCAATGCCCCATTTGCCTGCTCAAGTGAAGATCCCACGGCACTATTCGAAAAGAAAAGGATATTCTCCCAGTGCCCTGGCCAACAATCCAGTCATTTAATTGCTGTATGCAAATTGGCTGTTGGGTTCGCCTACCAAAGTAGGCAAACAATTTATAGAAGGCTTTATAGACACCCTACCATTATTTCAACCCCCAAGGATTACAATACATCCGATCCTCATTGTAAAAAAGGAAAAATTGCTCATTTGACCAGAGCTATACATAACAATATAGATTTGTATTGAGCTTTCACATAAAATAAATGTCTTACAAAATAAGACTCATTAGAATGAGGCGCGTATTATTGTAAAGGCAAATTAAGGGCAATATTATAACATTTAGAATATGATCATCTGGGTTTAATATTCGCAGAAGCAGCGTGAAAAATGGCTGACTTCTGGATCATCAGGTCACAGCTGACAACACTTCCTGCTCATGTACATACATGTTATGCACAAAAAGTACTGTTGGTGTAAATTCCAGGGCAATAAACACAAGTGCGTGCAAAGGGAGGGGTGTCAGTTGTAGTGTAGTTGCGGTGTATTAATTCCTGCACGTTGGAAGTAACATCGTGGCAACCTGATGATGTGGAAGTTATAACACAGGAAACCGGATGATCAGTATTATTAGTACCTGGGTTTATGTCTGGATCCACAATAGAATCAAGTAAACCCATGCTCAACAAGCAGACTGCGCTGTATTGTTATATATAACAGGTTAAGAAAAAAGAACTTCATTTTTCATCATATTTTATCATATGGAAATGTTGGAAAGTGCTTCACAGTTAATTATTGCAAAATGTAGAAGTGTTTTTGTCCTAAACACCGCAGCCACTTGTGCTAGCATGGGGTCAACAACAAATTCATCTGGAGGATTGCTGGCCAGGACACCAGGATAAAAAGCTCCCTTCTCTTTTTGGAAAGTGTCATGGGATTTTTAAGGCCTTGATTTAACGTCTTAACTGAAAGGCAGTACCTCCAACAATGTAGTGCTCCCCCAGTTCTGCACTGGACTGCGTGTCATTCTGCATGATGAACTGAAATCCCAACGTTATTTTTGAACCCACAACCACCAGAGCCAGAGATAAGCATTCTGTTAAATGAGTCAAATCGACTGTATGACATTCCGTCACGATACAACATCAATTTAACCTCAGACCACAGACACTGATACCCTGCTTTCAACCAACATTCTACGAGCGTTCTGTTTAAGGTCTACCCACCGTGTTTTATGGCATGTTAAATGGTTTGTGAGTGGTATTACTGAAATCCGCCTTCCACATTGGATCCTTTGGTTGCAAACGTACCTGCAATGGGTACAGTTTGCAATATTATAATTAGCTGCAATTAGGGAACCCAGGAATACATTTTCCTTGTCAACTACTATTATGTTAGACAGCTCAAGTGCACTCCATATTAGAACAGACACTTGTATCGAAGGAATAGTGGGGATGGAGACTGCCAATACTCAACGTGAATCAATCCAAAGGTTGCCTTGTGGTTAGATCTCATTCAATCTTTATGTCACAGCTCCACGCTTAGTGGAATCTAGCTTACCTCATCCTTATACCTATCAGTTTCTATGCCACCTTTCCACTCCAATGTAACCCAGACATTTCCCTTCTTAGAGGGGATCAAATTCTGGTTCGAGAATGTTTGTTCCAGTTCGAGAAACATGGAGCAGTTCAATCGTACAACTCTCTCTAGCATGGGTTTCCATTCATAAGTTAAATTTTGCATTATAAATACGGTAATAATAATCAAATTCTAAGGCATTATCAAATTACCTTTGAATACAGCAAATTGTTGCTAAAAGGCAGTGTTACAAACCCCATCTGTGTGGAGTGGAAAAAGATTGGAGCTATTTATTGTATTGATATAATGAATTCAGTTGCTCTATTCTTCTTTCGGTTAAGTTTACACATTATACCTTTGATTCATTGAGTGCTAATTCTACCGATTGTTACCTTTAATCTGCTTTGACTGTTTTAGCATTGAGGAGGACCTTTCTGATATCTAGATGCGCGTAATAACTTTCTAATTGAGAGGATACAACAATATGATATATATAAATAATATCTTTGTATTTAATATAGCATCTTATCACTTCAAAATATCTCAAAAGTGCTTCACAGGATTTACTGTGAAGTGTAATGTCTGTATAAACATGGTAGCCAATTTGCACATAGAAACATTCCATAGGTATGAAGTGAAGACCAATGATACAATACACTGATGTAGTCCATCAAAGAAATTCTTTAGGGGAATGTCATAGGTAGAGTAACAAGTGGTCTCAATGCGTTGTGAGAAGGTAACAATTGGTCTGTGTCAATCTCCCATCTCTCAATCAATTTCCTTATCAAATTCCTTTTGAGCAACTTGGGACATCCTCCCCAGTTGAAAGGTGCTATACAAATGCAATGTTCTTTTATACCTGAGTTTGCCTGAGAAGGAAGAGTACTGCTCTCCAGCCAAAAGGGAAAAGCAGTTTAACCACAGGTTGAATAGCAGAGACGTATTTGGTACCTTCTGGAGTGAAGTTGGAAAGCTATTTTTTTTTAAAAAATGTTTTGTTCACCATAACTACATCTGTATCTGCCAATTAAAGATCCGTTTTGAATCGCCATTGATCAACTCGGTACAATTTTACTACAAAAACTAAAAAAAAAGGTATTAATCCTTCCAAAAGAGACGAGCCTTTTTAATCCATAACAACTGTCTCAGCCTGGCTCAGGCTCAATTGAGAGCCATCTTGCCTCTGAATCAGCAGGTTGTGGGTTCAAGCCCCATGTCGGAAGGACTTTGAACTCACAGTCTAAGGTGATGCACTAATCCAGTGCCGGCTGAGACATTCTCCCCACACCGTGAAAAGTGATATTTCAAATCCAAGCAATTTCAGCGCCCAAGTCAGCCTCGACCTGTCTGAGACCAACGTGACTGTAACAAGTAAGAAGCGCTTTAGATGAGTTCCTCAATGTTTTCATACTCACAGCTTTTCAGACCCTGAAACAGTTACACTTTTATAGCGCCATTCATGTCGGGAGGACGTCCCAAGGCACTGGACAATCAGTATTTCGGACCCGAGCTGGGGGTCAGGATCGGGGAGGATGGAGGGTGGGAGGAGGGAAGGAGGGTGGCCGAAGGAATGTATTATTATTGTATAAGGAATGTATTATTTATGATGTGCAAGTACTGGCAAGGATTCAACTGTGGGAAGTATTTCCACTGAGCATGATCCTCTCCTCACCCTGACCTGGGCAGGGGCTTCAGACTTTCCCTGGGAAGCTGGGAATGGGGGCTGAAGAGGTGGGCAGCAAGGGAGGGACAGACGGCCCAAGGCGCAGTCGAAGAGGAAGGTCTTAAGCTGGACGTTGAAAGAAGTGAGGAAAGGAGTGAGTCAAAGGGACCTCCAGGGAACTCCGGGATGGAGTTCCACAGAGTGGCGGCAGATACGCTGAAAGTCTGGACATGATGAAAGCATGATTAGGGTCTCTAGGGCTTGAAGAGAGAGGTAGTGGTGGAGACGATCAATATTATGGAGGTGGGGGAAAGCAGAGCAGGTCAGAGCATGGAGATAGGGTTTAAAGGTAGGTTGAGAGTCAATCAAGGTTCCACATAGGATCCACTTGGGCTTCAAACGTCGTATTCTCTGCTCTACAACTCCCAAACCTATCCGAAATGACATTACATATAGATTTTAAAATAGGTTGCCAAGTCATTGCTAGTACTGATCCTTGCAATCCACAACCTGTATCCAGTACCCACACATCCACAGAGGCAATAATTAACACTAAACTTAATTGACCTATTCTCACTCCAAGCTTCCCCAACCGATTTAGATAATAATGCTTAGATTTAATACAACAACAACAACAACTTGCATTCGTACAGCGCCTTTCACGCCGGACAGCATCTCGGAGCGCTTAGAAGATGGTCTGTTTACAGCGACTGTTAGAAGATGGTTGCTGTGCGAGAATCTCCATTCTCTTTACGAATAATGAATCCTCATCGAATAGGACATTTAACATCCACTGAATAGGCAGATGGCACCACCTATACACCTCTGAAGGACGGCACCTCCGACAATGTAGTTTCCCTGAGCACTGCACGGGAGAGTCCAGATAGACTAAGAGTTCAAGTCCTGATGCAGGTCTTGAGCCCACAATTTTCTGAGCCAGATGAGTGCCCTAACTGAGTTGGGTATCAGTACATACACAGAATCCTTCAAAGCTGCAGGGTCTGCTCTGTAATTTCCACTATAATAATTATATATTATAAAATTTGCATTTGATATATAACGTATATATGTAGGCGTCTCAAAGCGCTTCACAGAATGTACTGCAAAGCGAATTGACTGCATATTTTGTGGGCGAAACGCGGCAGCCAATGGCGCACAGCAGCGTCCCCGCAAACGGTCGTGGATTATTTGAGTGACCAAACGATTATTTATTTTTTTATTGACGTTCGAAGGGATTATTATCCTTCAAAAATAAAAAGAAATGAAAAGAAGAAATAACAACGACGCGACTGAATCACCCATCAGAAGCGTTCTTTTAAATAAATGTTTACACAGAGAGTTGTTGCGGTCTGGAATGCGCTGCCTGAAAGGGTCAGTGGAAAACAGATTCAATGACGGCTTTCAAGAGGGAATTGGATGGGTACTTGAAAAGGAAGAATTTGCAGGCTAATGGGGTAAGAGCGGGCGGGGGGGGCGGGGGGTGGGGGTGCGGGGGAGAGTGGGACTAGTTGGTAGCTCTTCCAAAGAGCCACGACACAGACACGATGAGCTGAACCGCCTCCTTTTGTGCTGCAAAATTCTATGATTCTATCATTATTATTATTATTATTATCGTTCTATAAAGCACCTCCCAACACGTACTGTCTGAACTCAAAATACTGGATAATGACCTTTTTTGACCCGATCATGTGTGCGTGTGGGCTCGCGGTGGCTGTTAAAACCCTGTAATTACTTCATCCTGATAAAACAACACATAGGCCCGCCCGTTATTTAAAGAGGGAACTGAGGTGTTTCCCCCACACATCCACCCCCTACCCCTTAACCCCCCCCCCCCCCCTACCCCACCCACAGGGTCCTTGACCGGCAAACAATTAAGACTTTCATCTTCTTAAAAGGCTGCACAATGGAGGGAGAGAAATGGGGAGGATTATCGCAACTGGTTGTACTTTTTGGGAGTCCGGCTCCTTGGGCAAGTCTCGCTCTCTCGCTCTCTCCTTCTCACTGGTGGCTGGAGTCCTTACCAGCAGTGAGTGAGGAACGAGTAAGTCAGTCAAGTCAGGAGAGAATGGGTTTGCTGACAGTTTTTGGGGGGGTAAAGAGTGAAATGACCACCTACGTCCACACAGGCAAGCTAGATGCCAGGCAGGGCAAGGGCAAGGCAAGCCAGGCAGGGCAAGGGCAAGGCAAGGCAAGGCAAGGCAGGGCAAGGGCAAGGCAAGGCAAGGCAGGGCAAGGGCAAGGGCAAGGCAAGCCAGGCAGGGCAAGGGCAAGGCAAGGCAGGGCAAGGGCAAGGCAAGCCAGGCAGGGCAAGGGCAGGGCAAGGCAAGCCAGGCAGGGCAAGGGCAAGGCAAGGCAGGGCAGGGCAAGGGCAAGGGCAAGGCAAGGCAAGGCAAGGCAAGGCAAGCCAGGCAGGGCAAGGGCAAGGGCAAGGCAAGCCAGGCAGGGCAAGGGCAAGGGCAAGGCAAACCAGGCAGGGCAAGGGCAAGGCAAGGCAAGGCAAGGCAGGGCAAGGGCAAGGGCAAGGGCAAGGGCAAGGGCAAGGGCAAGGCAAGGCAAGCCAGGCAGGGCAAGGGCAAGGCAAGGCAAGCCAGGCAGGGCAAGGGCAAGGCAAGGCAAGGCAAGGCAAGGCAAGCCAGGCAGGGCAAGGGCAAGGGCAAGGCAAGCCAGGCAGGGCAAGGGCAAGGGCAAGGCAAGCCAAGCCAGGCAAGGCAAGGCAAGCTCCCTGAAAACCTCCTTCGCCCAGTCAATGGGAGACATTAACCCCACAGGGCACCCCCACCTACCCCCCCAGATGGCTTGGCTGAGGGGAGCAGAGTGTGCAGCCCAGGAGCACATCCTTTATTATTTTTAATAACAATATATAATAATAATCCTTGTACAGTACAAGACACCCATCTCTCTCTCTCTCTCTTCCTCTCTCTCACACACGCACTTTCTCACACTCTCTCTGCAAAAAAAAACACCCAAACGCCTCGGATGCAGGTCATAGAGAGACCCCCCACACCCCCCCCCACATACACCCCCCCCCCCACACCCCCCCCCCCACACACCTCACCCCACACACCTCACCCCCCCACATACACCCCCCCACACATACACCCCCCCCACATACACCCCCCCCACACACACACATCCCCACACACCTCACCCCCCCACATACACCCCCCCACACACACACCTCACCCCCCCCACATACACCCCCCCCCACATACACCCCCCCACACACACACCCCCCCACACACACACCACACCCCCCCCACCCCACATACACCCCCCCCACACACACACCCCCCCCACACACCTCACCCCCCCCCACATACACCCCCCCCACACACACACCCCCCACACACCTCACCCCCCCCCACATACACCCCCCCCACACACCTCACCCCCCCCCACATACACTCCCCCCCACATACACCCCCCCCCACACACCTCACCCCCCCCACATACACCCCCCCCACACACACACCACACCCCCCCACCCCACCCCACACACCTCACGCCCCCCCACATACACCCCCCCCCACACACCCCACACACCCCCCCCCCACATACACCCCCCCCCACACACACACCCCACCCCCACATACACCCCTCCCCACACACACCCCACATACACCCCCACACACCCCACATACACCCCCCCACATACACCCCCCCCACACACACCCCACACCCCCCCCACATACACCCCCCCACACACACCCCACACCCCACATACACCCCCCCACACACACACCCCCACACCCCCCCCCACATACACCCCCCCACACACACCCCACACCCCCCCCACATACACCCCCCCACATACACACCCCCCCCCACATACACCCCCCCACACACACACCCCACACCCCCCCCATACACCCCCCACATACACCCCCACACACCCACACCCCCCCCCACATACACCCCCCACACACACCCCACACCCCCCCCCACATACACCCCCCACACACACACCCCACACACCCCACATACACCCCACATACACCCCCACACACACCCCACATACACCCCCACACACCCCACATACACCCCACACACACCCACACACCCCACATACACCCCCACACACCCCACACCCCCCCACATACACCCCCCACACACACACCCCGACACCCCCCCCACACACCCCACACCGCCCCCCACATACACCCCCCACACACACACCCCACACCCCCCCCCACACACCCCACACCGCCCCCCACATACACCCCCCCACACACACACCCCACACCCCCCCCCACATACACCCCCCCACACACCACCCCCACCCCCCCCCACACCCCCCCCCCCCACATACACCCCCCACACACACCCCACCCCCCCCCACATACACCCCCCCCACATACACCCCTCCCCACACCCCACACCCCCCACACACACACACACATACACACACACCCACATGAGCTCAAACTTACCCTTTATTATAATTTCTTCAACGAGGCCCCAACACATCGCACTTCAGTGTCTCCACACACACACACACACACACAGAGCCTCCGGGGGGCTATGCGGCTCCTCTGAGGGGAGGGGGGAGAGCCCGAGCAGAGCAGAGCAGAGCGAGTCTGTCTGTGTGTCTGTCTGTCTGTCCACAGAGCACCAGCCCCTGTCCCAGACTGTAGCTCCCCCCACCCCACTGCTGTAGGCTTCCCCCACCCCCCTCCCTCCCAGCCTGCTCCACACTGCAGACCCCCCCCCCCAGCCTGGTGCAGACCCCCCCCAGCCTAGTGCAACCCCCCCCCCCAGCCTAGTGCAACCCCCCCCCCAGCCTAGTGCAACCCCCCCCCCCCAAGCCTAGTGCAGACCCCCCCCCCAGCCTAGTGCAATCCCCCCCCAGCCTAGTGCAACCCCCCCCCAGCCTAGTGCAGACCCCCCCCAGCCTAGTGCAGACCCCCCAGCCTAGTGCAGACCCCCCCCAGCCTAGTGCAGACCCCCCCAGCTATCCAGACCCCCCCAGCCTAGTGCAGACCCCCCCCCAGCCTAGTGCAATCCCCCCCCCCAGCCTAGTGCAGACCCCCCCGCCCCAGCCTAGTGCAACCCCCCCCCCAGCCTAGTGCAACCCCCCCCCCCCCAGCCTAGTGCAACCCCCCCCCCCCCCAGCCTAGTGCAACCCCCCCCCAGCCTAGTGCAACCCCCCCCCAGCCTAGTGCAACCCCCCCCAGCCTAGTGCAACCACCCCCCCCCAGCCTAGTGCAACCCCCCCCCCAGCCTAGTGTACACCCCCCCCAGCCTAGTGCAACCCCCCCCAGCCTAGTGCAGACCCCCCCCCCAGCCTAGTGCACCCCCCCCAGCCTAGTGCAACCCCCCCCCCAGCCTAGTGCAGACCCCCCCCCCCAGCCTAGTGCAGACCCCCCCAGCCTAGTGCAACCCCCCCCCAGCCTAGTGCAACCCCCCCCCAGCCTGGTGCAACCCCCCCCCCCCAGCCTAGTGCAGACCCCCCCCCAGCCTAGTGCAACCCCCCCCAGCCTACTGTACACCCCCCCCAGCCTAGTGCAGACCCCCCCCAGCCTAGTGCAGACCCCCCCCCCCAGCCTGGTACAGACCCCACCCCAGCCTGGTACAGACCCCACCCCAACCCAGCCTAGTGCAGACCCACCCCAGACCCCAGTCTAGTGCAGACTCAGACCCCAGCCTAGTGCAACCTAATGCAGACCCAGCCTAGTGCAGACCCCCCCCCACCCCCCTACCAGCCCACAGTCAGTTCCCAGCGCCAGGGGACATCACTTAGCAACTGCTCCAGTAGCGAAGGAGGTAACTGTGGGCAAACCCGGAGCCGGTGTCCAAAGAAGAGCGGATGTCAGCAAACAGAGCGAAAAGGGGCGACAGAAACACTGATTCACGGTTTGCTGAAGGCGGTTACTGTCACAGATTGCAGAGTCCTGCTCCTGCGCTGTGTGCCAAAGCTATCGTGGATTATTGTCCTCACCTCCCTCTATAATAATAATAATAATAATCTCTGCGTTTGATACAGCGCCTTGTCACATCACCGAGACGTCTCAAAGCGCTTCACCGCATATTACTGTAAAGTGAATCGACTGTATATTGCGTGGGCGAAACTCAGCAGCCAATCGGGCACAGCAGCGTCCCCACAAATAGTCGTGGATTGAGTGACCAAATAATTAGTAGTAGCAGTTCTTTTAAGGGATTATTACCCCTGGAAAAGCGACCTGCCATTCGACCAACAACCGGGTTCCTACAATGAATTTCACAACAGATGTTTTAATGATAAATAACAATAACTTGCATTTGTATAGCACCTTTCATGTCAAAAGAAAGGTCCCGAAACACTTGGCATTTGATAAATCACCTTAAATCTTCAAAGTATCCCAAAAGTGCTTTGAAGGAACGTACTGTAAGTGTTGCGTATTTGTAGTAAGCAAATATAATTGATTATAAACAGCTAATCGTATCAGCAAGAATCCATAAACAACAGGTAGATGAGCAGCCACTTAATTGAAATTTGGAATATAAAACAGGAACCAGGAGAAAGACTTCACATTTCTTCGACATAGCAATTGAGTAGCTTTACTTTCACCTGAGTCGCAAGGAAGACGGATTCTAACAGTAGCGCATTCAAAGAATGGGGTGATTGATGATCTGGAAATTAATAATAATAGTGTATAATATTGAATCTTGTTTCGTGGTATCATTTTAAGACAGTTCTACAAGTCTCACTGGGATATGTTGCAGATAACATACATTATTTTGTTTCTTTGTTTGTGTAAATTTAGTATTTTTGTGTTTGGATATTCACACTTGTTTTCTAACATTGCGTTAGAAAATAGAAAACAATGTCTGAAGAAGAGCAATATGTCAACAAACAAAGTGAAAGGGGTTAGAAAATAGAACACTGCGTTAGAAGATAAGAGTATACAGGAATGGAAAAAGATTATTGCGATAATCCAGCTGTTACCATAGGTTAAAAAAAAAGTTTTTTTTAAAAAAATCAAGCTATACATTTTTATTTTCAATTGAAAGTAAATGGAGGAAGACAAATCAGAAGAAAAAAAATATCCAAGAAGGAAGGAAGGAAAGGAACGAAGAACAGAGAAAAATATCTTGCGGGAAGAGAGGGACAGTGATGGAAAACAGAGCGTGGACAGAATAACCGTTTCCTCTCCTCTGCTCTGCTTCCTCTCCCTCTCCTCTGCCTTAAGCGCTCCAGGACTCTACCCCTCGTGAAGGGCGCTATATAAATGCGAGTTGTTGTTGTCGCTTGGGGGTGTGGTGTGTACCTTCATCAGTGACTCTTCCATAGCCACCAGGAGATACAAGCGACTTGGTGGAGACAACATTCTGCGGTGCAGCCACGTTGAAGAGATTCTATGTGTGGAGTGGGGAATGATGGATGCAAAAAGTGAATATGTATATATATTTTTTATTTGAAGAGCCTCAGGAAATTATTGCATTTAGTCTGTGGGTTCTTTTTCAATAGCGTTCCATTATTTTCTGGTACGTCAGGTAACTAATGGAAAATGTTATCTCTCTTGTGTAAAATGAATCCTTTCTACCGTCACTTGCCCAAAATAACTTTGGTCTGTGCAAATTATCACTCTCCCTACAGAGGTGAAGCCTAATCCACAGAGAACAGTTGTGTGGTTAAAGCTTTCTTCATGAGCAGAATAAATTATGTCTTCCACAGTCCCCACGGAGTACAGGACTCTGCTTATACAATGCATTCATAATTAATGGGAAAAATAATGCTTTGTTTAATCTTAACATATTAAAATCCACATTTAACAAAGAATATTACCAACACGGAAGGTGCTTAATGTCCTCAGATTATCTGAGTTGTCTCTTTCTTGAAATATCTTTCCCGAACATTTTCCAGTATTAGTTCCTCTAATGTAGAATGCAAAGTTAAATGGATCCACTGCCTTGACCTAAAACTTTAATATATTCACAAGCTGAGATCATTTTTTAACTCCATGACTCAATATACCAACATACGTTCTAGATTATTTAAACTCTGTTGCATAAAGTCAAACCAACAATGTTTTACAAGCAAGGTATGCTGCACAGTCTGGCACTGCTTCAGCTCTGCATATTAGACAAGAATATCCTTCATTCTTCCATGGACTATCCTTTTATCTCTATGGAGAGAGTGATGAGGCTAATCCCGCTGACTCATCACAAGTATTACAAAATTGACCAGAGTTTGAATGCTGGCAACAGAGCTCAATACATCCTCTGCTCCTTTAAGGAAATAAGTGACATAGTAAGGAGGATAAACTAATAAAAATAGTTGTTGAACTTGATATACAGCAGTGTCTTTCACATCGAGAAGACATCTCAAAACAAGATTAACAAAAGTAAGGTGTAGGCGACTGGGTATTTTGTAGGCAAAAGCAGTAGCCAAGTTTTACGAAGCAATATCCCACAAATAACCGCGTAGTAAACATTCTTTTTTTTCTGGTGGATTGTTTACCAGAAACTTCCTTCTCTTTTCAAATAGCACCGTGGGATCTTTAATGTCTACCAGATAAAATCTCAGTTTGATGTCTCATCTGAATGATGGCTCCTCCGTCATGGCAGAACTCTATTGGGGTGTCAACTTTGTGAGTTCAAAGACGGATTCGTGGGGCTTGAACCCAGACTCTGACTTAAAAGGCAAAAGTTGAACCAACCGGGCGAGGATGTGGTGAGGAGTTAGCAGCACTTGCTGAGGAACATTGATGGGGAAGAATGGAGGGCACTTGATTCAACACATATACAAAAATTATAATAATTTGGTCGCTCAGTCCACAACTGTTTATGGGACACTGCTGTAGATGGCTGCTGTGTTTCACCCGCGGAACGTGCAGTCAGTTCACTTTGTTTTATATGCTGTGAAGCGTTTTGAGACTTCTCTAAGACGGGATAAGGATTATTATTATTGTTAGTGTGGTACAAGCCTCTGGGCTTAGAGATCAGTTGATTAAAATTGTTTAGACAATAACCATTTTAATTGTTGCTACGTATGACTCAGTAATGCAATACTGTAGTTCCTGGAATCCTGTTTCCAGATGGTCATAAAATTATACAGAACAGAGGGAGGTCATTCGGCCCATCATGTCTGTGCCGGCTCTTTGAAAAGATCTATCCAATTCAATCCCACACCTGCGCGCTCTCCCCATAGCACTGCAAACTTGTCCTTGTCCAAATAATTATCTACTTCTCCTAAAAGCTGTTAGAGCACTCGCCTTGCAAGCGAGACACCTGGGTTCAATTCCAGGCAGAGGGCAAAACCTTGGGCAAGTTTCCTTGCTCCACACAGAGCCTAATAATAATCCCTCCAAAACAAAACAATAATAAAATTGGCCATTTTCAATCCACGACTGTTTGCGGGGACGCCGCTGTGCGCAATTGGCTGCCACATTTCGCCCATAAATATACGGTCAATTCACTTTACAGTCTATTTCTGTGAAGCGCTTTGGGACGTCGAGAAGACGTGAAAAGCGCTTTATCAAATGCCAGGATTATTATTATTATAAAATTGTGTGAAATCTACTGCACAGAAAAAGGTTATTTGGCACATTATGTATGTACTGGTACTTTTCGAATAGTACCATGGGTGTACTACGTTTGAAGTTCCAGTTTCCATCTCCGCAGAATCATATTAGAGCAAGCTCAACCTTTCAACGCAATTGAAGCCATCCTTGTAGGTCATCCTGACCAGCCTTGAGTGCCAGTACAGAGAAACCATTGCATTTGTCTGAAACTTTAATCAGAGCACCGTCTTATCCGGCTGCAGAACACATTGATAACACTGTCATTTTCAAGGCTATTCATTCTCTTGTCTCTAAACAGTGGGGGCAGTTCGGTTTTGGGGCCCTTACATTTTACTGGATGATGATACTAAATCTTATCACTGCTCGGGGGCCCTGCGCGTCCAAAAAAGGACCATTTTAACACAAAAAAAACTTCTAAAAAAATTATTTGCAAATAAAGGAGACAATGTTATCGATTGCGTCAAATTACATTGTTGCTTCATTCATCACCGGAGCATGATTTTCCCTTATTTAAGGTGAGGGATGCTCATGTTTATCAATATATCAGGTCATATAGTAGCAATGATTAGATACAAAATTAAGCTTCCTCTACTCTGCTACAATGTGCTTCAGTCTCTATCTCAGAAGAACATCTCCGAAGCCCCCATTTTCCATGGACCACACCAACCTGCTGTGGCTGTCCTGAGTTAAATTGACCACTTCTCCTGTTAAAAATGCTAAACCCCCAAATGTTCTCCTCTCCATTTTATATTGTATCTCTATAACACTTCACATCGAGGCTTGACTATGCAAACTCCTTGCTTGTCAGCCCTCCCCAACTCCTCCCTCCATAGGCTGCAGATTATCCAGAACTCTGCATATCCCGCACCAGGCTCCGTGACCCTATCACCCCCACCCTCGCCCGACTCCACCGGCTTCCCATCACACAGAGGATACAGTTCAAGATCCTGGTCCTCACCTTAAAAGCCCTCCCTGCGATCACCCTGCTTTCCACCCTCCCCAATCCCAACCCCCAGCTCGGGTCCGAAACTCTGACTGTCCAGCACCTTGGGACGTCCTCCCAACATGAAAGGCGCTATACAAATGTAATGTTGTTTTTTATCTTGTACTGACATTAAAGGCGTTACACCAAATGAAAGATTGTTATTAATTTCACTGACCAAGTTGTTCACCAGGAGGCTTGCAGATACCTGCAAAAGCCTATGCTCGCCAGAAATCAAATGACCATTCTCTTTGGGGATAAGGGGAGGTAAGTGGGGTCTCCTTGGAACTGAACCGGTTCCACGATAATACACTTATCACCAAGACGCTGCCTGCATGAAGGACGTTATATAACTCTTTCTTGTTAATGTTTTTAGATATTTTACTGTGGATTTCCGTTGTCATTTCTTTTAAAAGATACGTTGGATAATAATAATTATTTTTGCATTTGATACAGCGCCTTATCACGTCTTCGAGACGTTTCAAAGCCCTTCACAGAATATACTGTAATGTGAATTGACTGTATATTTTGTGGGTGAAACGCAGCAGCCAATTGCGCAGAGCAGTGTCCTACAGTCTTGGATTGACTCACAAATTTAGTTTTTTTTTAGGATTACTTGTGGAAAAGCGATCCGCCATTTGACTAACAACCGGGATGCTTGAAGAGGAGGAATATTGAAGTGTGTATAGAGTAAGTACAGGGATCTGATTAGGTGACTTGAGACAAGACTTCCCACCAGTCATTTCACATAGCATTTTTAGAGTTTGCTGAAGAGAATTCCATTCATTAGTCTGGGCAGATTTAAACCCAGGTCTCAGAGGTAATAATAATAATGACACAATACCATGTGCAATTATCAATTACTTTACTGTTTTGAGTGATAATATAAACATATATGAGGCAGTAACAGCGTGTTCTTTTTCTGACATACAGGTAAACATGAGGATTTTAAAGGATATCTGCTGGGATTAGTCATTAGCACTGAATGCGGATGGAGGTGATGGGGTTATAATAATCCTTGCATTTTGTATAGCGCCTTATCACGTCTTCAAGATATATTGAAGGGCTCCACAGTATAAACTGTAACGTGTAGTGACTTGTGTATTTTGTGGGCGAAACACGGCAGCCAATTGAGCAGTCGTGGAGTGACCAAAATATATATTTTTTAAAGAGATAATTACCAGCCCCCGTAAAGCAATCCGTCAATTGACTAACAACCAGGTTTTTACTTACTGCTAAACAGAGGAAAAATACCTGAATCAACATACTGATCTTGTTGGAGATGGTTTATGGTAGGAAATGGAGTGGTAACTGGAGTGTGGGGAGTTTACTGTAGGTTTTTTGAGACGGGAGTGACGAAGGTGGGATTAGGTGGTAGAGAAAAGGTGCCTGAGGTTAGCTTGTCTCTCGAGGATATTGCTCCCCCTTGTGACATCCTCAGACATATCTATGCATTGACACTCAACCCTATACCGTTTTTGTTTTCACCCTCAACCTCAGGACCCTCAGGACCGCTGTTCGGACAGAATCACATCCAACCATTATTGAAACCGTGCTAATGGAAACATTTTTTGCGAACGTATGCGGCCCACAAAAGGCATACTGAGAGACGTTATGATAGATTCTTTCAGGAATTAGCAAATTGCTTGGATATTCTTATCAATGCAATAGCCAACAGGATTGTGATGAATTATTTTGCTCAAATTGGAGCAGGCTCCACATTTCTAGGCAAATCATAATATTAGACTGTGTAAACAAATACCGTGTGAGAGCTCATTCGAAATTGATCGACAACAAAAAGCTACACAGTACCGATCAGTGGTCAAGTCAGCAAATATATCTTGAAACCAAGCCCTGCCATTATACACCAGATAATTTAACCAGACCAATGATCACTGTGGGTTTCAAACTTATGAACTGTAAAAAAAAATCCATAGCTCATAAAATGTCAAATAAAACAAGACAGCTGGCAGTATCAGTGCACCTCAATGTATTTTGTTCAGGCATTACAGGCTCCCACATGGTTACTAACGTCCGATGATGGATCTGAATCATTCGAACACATAGTGTTACCAAATTTCTGTACCCATTTATCCAAACGAGGAAACAAAGTACTATGGAATGCACAAACACGAGGTGCTGTGTTACAGATCCTCAAGCAGCACAGGCAAACAATGTCGTAATATTGGGAATTTATTGTACCAATTAGGTTAAAAAAAACACACACAACTCTGCATGAAAATCAGATACAAAGTGAGGCAAGGAAAAAATAATCTAGGTGTAGGAAATGGAATAAGTACAGGGATTAACTGAATATGGTTAAGAGTTTGTTACAGAGTTGGCTTTAAAAGGTTCTTTCTTTAGCAGCAGAAGGCCCGAATGTTCTTGTTCTGTCGATGCAAACAGTGGCTCTTCAAATACGACTCGAGTACTTCAAAGCAGCATGCGGGTTTTTGCAGTCGTGATGCTCAGATACTATCCAGTTTCTTCAGGATAAACGGAGCTGAAAAAAATAAAGGAACTGCAGAGGTAAACCGGGTTGAATTGTTAAATGACATAGAGACAAATACACCAAAACTACAATGGCGACTTGATATAATTTGTCTGACCTGCGAATCTCGTTGGACTGCATTAGTTCAGATTATAGTTTACACGTCAATCATCGGAGGAAGGAGCCTTTGAGGGGGCAATATGGTTGGGCGGACAAATTGATCCTCCAGTCACTCCACGAATAATTGAAGCGCCCCCCAGCGTACTACCCCGGGTGAAGGACGCTACGATAAATGCGAGTTGTTGTTGTAATTGTCATCCAACGCAGCAGATTTTACACACGGCGACGTCCCAGGAGCGGCCGTGAAGTGAGCGAACCGACTTTATCCGCGGGGGATCGGGTCAGGACGTCCAGGAGAAACACCTCTACTCTTTTTTTTTCCCCCCCCCGACAGAGAGTGCCGTGGGATCTCTTAACATCCCCCCCCCCCCCCCCGAGAGCGGACAGGTGGGACCCTCGGTAATTAAATGTCTCATCTTGAAGCACGGCACTCGCTCGCTTCCTGTACTGCCAGTCCCGGCGCTGGACCGCGAGCTCGAAGCCCCGAGACAACAACAACAATAATAATAATAATAACAACAACCCTTGCGTTTGACCCGTCTTCGAGCCGTCTCGAAGCGCTTCCCGGGCTGGGGGGGGGGGGGGCCGGGCTGGGGGTGGGGGGGGGAGGGCCGCGGGCCGGGCTGGGGGGGGGGGGGGAAGGGCCGGGCTGGGGGGGGGGCCGGGCTGGGAGGGAGGGCCGAGGGGCCGGGCTGGGGGGGGGGGGGGAGGGCCGGGCTGGGGGGGGGGGCCGGGCTGGGGGGGGGGGGAGGGCTGGGGGGGGGGGGGGAGAGAGGGCCGCGGGGCCGGGCTGGGGGGGGGGGGGAAGGGCCGGGCTGGGGGGGAGGGCCGGGCTGGGGGGGGGGGGAGGCCGGGCTGGGGGGGGGGAGGGCCGGGCTGGGGGGGGGGGGAGAGAGGGCCGCGGGGCCGGGCTGGGGGGGGGGAGGGCCGGGCTGGGGGGGGGGGGGAGAGAGGGCCGCGGGGCGGGCTGGGGGGGGGGAGGGCCGGGCTGGGGGGGGGGGGGGGGCCGGGCTGGGGGGGGGGGAGGGCCGGGCTGGGGGGGGGGAGGGCCGGGCTGGGGGGGGGGGCGGGCTGGGGGGGGGGGAGGGCCGGGCTGGGGGGGGGGGGCGGGCTGGGGGGGGGGGGAGGGCCGGGCTGGGGGGGGGGGAGGGCCGGGCTGGGGGGGGGGGGGGGGGGGGGGGGGCGGGCTGGGGGGGGGGGGGGAGGGCCGGGCTGGGGGGGGGGGAGGGCCGGGCTGGGGGGGGGGGGGAGAGGGCCGCGGGGCCGGGCTGGGGGGGAGGGCCGGGCTGGGGGGGGGGGGGCCGGGCTGGGGGGGGAGGGCCGGGCTGGGGGGGGGGGCCGGGCTGGGGGGGGGGGGGGGAGGGCCGCGGGGCCGCCGGTCACTTACTGGCCCTCAGTAGCGCCACGTAGACGAGGAAGTTGCGGAGGGACCTGAGCACATCCTCCCGCATTTTCCTGCGTAACTCGTCCGGGTCCATCTTAGGCCCGAGCGGCTCCACGCGCAACATGGCGGCTCTGACTGACCTCTGAGCCAACACCGCACACCGACCAATCACAGCTCAGCTCACACATCGGCCAATCACAGCTCAGCTCACACACCGACCAATCACAGCTCAGCTCACAAACTGACCAATCACAGCTCAGCTCACACATCGGCCAATCATAGCTCAGCTCACAAACTGACCAATCATAGCTCAGCTCACACATCGGCCAATCACAGCTCAGCTCACACACCGACCAATCACAGCTCAGCTCACACACCGACCAATCACAGCTGAGCTCACACACTGGCCAACCACAGCTCAGCTCACACATCGGCCAATCACAGCTCAGCTCACACACTGACCAATCACAGCTCAGCTCACACACTGACCAATCACAGCTCAGCTCACACACTGGCCAATCACAGCTCAGCTCACACATCGGCCAATCACAGCTCAGCTCACACACTGGCCAATCACAGCTCAGCTCACACACTGACCAATCACAGCTCAGCTCACACACTGACCAATCACAGCCCAGCTCACACACTGACCAATCACAGCCCAGCATTGCCCACCGGCCATTCGTGTGGAGGTGACCATTGTTGCAGTTGAAGATGTAGGTCCTTCGGTGGGGGTTGAGGAGAAGGAGGGGGCGAAGCCGAGGGATTGGGGGGAGTTCCCGAGGTTGGGGCGTAATGGTTGAAGTACACGGAGGGAGGGGCCGGGACACCTTTGTTAGCTGTGCAAAGGGGTCCGGCCGAGGAATAGGGTGCGAGCGGTGTAGAGAGGGGGTGGTACTGGGGGGCGAAGGGATTGTGTGATGACGATGAGGATCTTGAAGTCTATCCTTTCAGAGACGGTGGATGGGGCCTGGAGATGATTGGGGTAAACCAGACCGGCTCAGTGGGCACCGGGGGTGGGAGGGACACCAACCAGACTACAGTGGGTCACCACCTCCTGACTCTCAGGGCACAAAGACAGAGGAGAGAGAGACATATACACATAGAGACACTCATAAACACACACACGCACACACACACGCGCACACGCACACACCCCTAGAAGAGACACACACACACACACTCGCAAACAGACACACGTACAGAGGGGAGTGACATGGACACACTCAGGTAGACACTCACAAACGCACAAACACATAGAGAGTGAAACACTCACACAGACACTCGCGCGCACACGCACACGCACACACACACACACACACACAGACAATCACAACAGCGGGGCCTCCAAGTGGAGCGAAGCCCGTTTCCCGCCTGCACTGCACCGTGCGGAAACTTCATTGTTTAGTGGGTTGATAACAGAGGGCGTTGTTTGTAGCGGATTCCGGCGCACGGCTGTGGTGGGGCGACTGACAAGCGCTGTGGCTGTGGCGGGGCGAGGAGAGGAGCCCTCTAGCTCCCGTGCCAACCCGAAAAAAAAAGTGCCATTCCTTTGTTGCATAATATAGATGCATCGCTCCGAACGGTGTGCTTTCCTCTGTCGCTATGTCGTTGCAGAATACGACTCCAACAACAACAAAATTACATTTGTATAGCGTCTTTCGCATCGGGAGGACTTCCCAAGGTGTCCTCTCGACGCCTTGGGATGAATACGGTGCATCCTTCATATTCTGAGCCCTACTTAAAGCATTTTTTTTAATAGAGCTCATGTCTACATCAATCGGTTATCGCATGAGTGTTCGATACACAGATCACAGACAAACACATTATCTTTATTAGTACAGATAATATTAATAATAATAATATGGACTATAAGGTCCATGGGGTTGTTGTATGTAGCTCCCAATCTGGTTTTTAGGAACTTTATTCTCTCTAAGACTTTCCTGAAAGGAGGTCTCATGGTGATTTTCAGTTCCGTTAACTTTCTGACAGCTCATTAATTTGACCACTACCTATGAGCCTCTGGAACCAGACTCATATCTCCTCTCACTGAACAAAGGTGAGTCCAATGGTCACCTCTATTCCACCTCAGCCAGGATCAGCTCATTCGGCACAGACCGACCGGCAAAGAAACCTGGAATTTTCTCGTTGCGTACAACACGGTCCAATGGATTGACTCACCGAAGGCTTTAAGCTTTGAGACCATTTTTCGCCATCAGAAAATTTCAGAAACGAACACTGACGGTCGGCCAACAACGCAGTGTTAATGTAAACCGATGCCAACAATGCAATATTGATGATTTCTGAAGCGATCACTGTCAAATTATAAAAAAAAAATTCCAAATGACAACTGGGGGGTAACATCGCGACGCCCATTATGTGTTTTTGTTGGGAACGCTCCTCCCAAAGCTGTGCGGAAAAATGGTTTGGAACACACTTAAAAAGGATTGCGGGTGACATTTGGAAGGGTGCAACGACAAGTTCTCGCGTCAGTCGTGTAAGGTCTCCCCTCACATAAATAAAATCGCACTGGACCCTCGGTAATTTTACAGACAGCAGGAGATATCATTTTCATGAAAATGTCTCCAACCTTTCCGATAAACCTTTCTTTCGTGTGTTCGGAACCGCATAAATAAATCATGCCGAAACGTTCTGTTCCCTGTGAGAGATATCACCGTAAGGAAAACAATGCAGTCCTTTTCAGGCTCTTCTGACAAACTTCCCCCGTCAAAAAAGAAGTATGCAGAGCGTCTTTTAATCAGACAGTAACTTGAAATGGAGGTATTTCACGGAGGACGCCTTGGGACGTGAAAGGCGCTATACAAATGTAATCTTGCTGCTGTTGTATTATAAATACATACGCTGCAACTTATAATACAATTCACGTTCATATCATACAGCTCCTTTTATATCAGGAGGACATCTGAAAGCTCTTGATAAATATGCCGTATTTGCAGTATTCGCAGTGTTTGGCTTTCTGCAAGTGTAAACGAAACACTTGAAGCAAACTATTTTTCTGACTTTGTGTACAGATCATAACAATTTTGTTACACAACCATATCTATCTATTTTCCTCATGTTAAGCCATTGGAAAAACCGATATGCACAAAGCCACAACACCTAATATACACAGACCCTCACCTCATATACACAAACCAGCACCTGATATACACAGGACCAGATTTGCTATACACAGATCTGGCACCTGATATACACAGACCAGCACCTGATGCAGAGAAGATTTCTCTACCTGATGCCAAGTGATGGATTTATTTATATAAAAAAGAGTCGAAAGATTTGGAAGTAAACCGCCACAAGAGGGCATTGACTCACTCCGTTTGGTGCTGCAGGTGGCTTTCGGATCGGGTGGAAAGTAGAATGGATGTGATTTGAAGCCCAGGCTTTCACTGAAAGTTGCACAGTAATTTGAGGCACAGACCCCATGAAATCAATGCCAACTATACAGTATTCACAAAACCATAAGACGTAGAAACAGGAGTAAGCTATTCCCCCCCCTCGAGCCTGCCCCGCCGTTTAATAAGATCATGGCTGATCTAATTCCATTTACCCGTCCTATCCCCATATCCCTTAATCCCTCTTGTCACTGGGAGCAACCGGCGATGTGTTGCGAGACCTAATTTTAATCATATATGTATAAAACACAATGCTGGTGAATGTGAGGGAGAGAAGAGCATAGACAAAGCAGATTTAACAATAATAATAATGAGCTTTGCATTTGATACAGCACCTTATCATGTCTTCAAATCATCTCAGAGCACTTCACAGAATATACTGTAAAGTGAATTGAATGTATATTTTGTAGACGAAACACGACAGCCAATTGCGCACAGCAGTGCCCCACAGTCGTGGATTGAGTGACCAAATTATTATTTTTTTTGAAGGAATCAGTATCTCTGGAAAAGGGTTAGGGTTAGGGTTAGTCCAATCGACTAACAACCACAACAGCTCTTGGGTAAATAGAGGGGTGTGCAGTAAGGAAACTTGCCCAACGTTTCGTAATTTTGAACCCAGGTCCTCTCCCTTGCGAGGCGAGTGCTCTAACCACTAAACAGTAAGTATCACAAATAAAACAAACAGATCAGAATACCGAAACACGGTGAACGAATGCAATCCTTGCATCTGATAGAGCGCCTTATCGCGTCCTCGAATATATGAATGATATTGGTTTTGTTCGAGTTGAAACTGCACACCATGCACAAAGTTTATTCTTGCTGTGTGCCTATTGTTATTTCTGAATTTCTCAGCACAGCCCCCACACAGCACAGCCCCCTACAGTCACCCCCCCACCCCACAGTCACACCCCACCCCCTCCCCCACAGTCACACCCCCACCCCACAGTCACACCCCCACCCCCTCCCCCCACAGTCACACCCCCCGTCACACATCCCCCACAGTCACACACCCCCACAGCCACACACACCCCGACAGTCACCCCCCACCCCCACAGCACACCCCCCCCCCCACAGTCACACCCCCCATAGTCACACACCCCCCTACAGTCACACACCCCCAGCCACAGCCACTGCCACTCCCCACCCCCCAAACACCCCCCAACACAGACAGTCACCCTCACACAGCCACTGCCCCCACCCCTCTCCACCCCCCCCCACAGCCACTGCCACTCCCCCCATCCCCAAACACCCCCCACCTCCCCCAGCACAGACAGTCACCTCCACAACCCCCAGCGCAGACAGCACCCACCAGCAGACAGCAGACAGCACCCACCAGCAGACAGCAGACAGCACCCACCAGCAGACAGCACCCACCAGCAGACAGCACCCACCAGCAGACAGCACCCACCAGCAGACAGCAGACAGGACCCACCAGCAGACAGCACCCACCAGCAGACAGCACCCACCAGCAGACAGGACCCACCAGCAGACAGCACCCACCAGCAGACAGCAGACAGCAGACAGCACCCACCAGCAGACAGCACCCACCAGCAGACAGCAGACAGCAGACAGGACCCACCAGCAGACAGCAGACAGGACCCACCAGCAGACAGCAGACAGGACCCTTGGATGTCTTGATTTTTTTCCCCACGTGTGTGTGTGTGTGTTGTGCAAACAGACACGCGTGCCGAAGGTGACAGACAGACAGAGAGAGAGAGAGAGAGTGTGAGAGAGAGAGAAGAGAGAGAAAAATAAAGGAAGAAGAAGAGAAGAGCCCCTTTTTGCCCCAATCTGCCCCCGACTTCGGCGGCGACACCGGAGCAGAAGAGAAGCGAAGGGAAAGAGAGGAGCATCCGGACTGCACCGAAAGTTTCCAAAAAAACTCTGCTCCAAAAAAAACCCGAGTGAGTGAGTGAGTGAGTGAGTGAGATAAAAGGGAGGAGGGAGGCATAGAGAGAGGGATAAAGAGAGAGAAGATATATATATATATATATATATATAGAGAGAGAGAGAGAGGGGGAATAAAGAGAGAGAAGGGGATATATATATATTTATAGACAGAGAGAGAGAGGGATATATATATATATTTAGAGAGAGAGAGGGGGGGGGGGGGGGGTAGAGATAGAGGGATAGAGAGAGAGAAGGTGATATGTATATATAGTTATAGAGAGAGGGATAGAGAGAGAGAGAGAGGGATAGACGTAGAGAGGAATATTGATATATATATATATATAAAGAGAGAAAGAGTTAGAGATAGATTAGAGCGAGGAATAGAGAGAGGGATATAGAGAGAGGGATATAGGGTGGGGGGGGGGGGGGGGGGGGGGGGAGAGATAGAGAGGGGAGGGAGGGAGGGGGAGAGGGATAGAGAGGTGGGAGGGAGGGAGGGAGGGAGGGGGAGAGATAGAGATAGAGAGAGAGAGAGAGAGAGAGAGAAAAGCAAAACTCTTTTGCAACAACCTGCGACAACTTCGTGTGTTTGTGCCACTTCAGAGCATCGTCAGCAACAAGAGCATCCGGACTGCAGAGTTTACCCCCCACCCCCCCCCCCCCCCGACCACCTCCACCCTCCCTCCCTCCCTCTGCCCTCCCCACTCTCTCGCTCTCCTCCCCCCCCCCGTCCTCCTCCTCCTCCTCCTCCCCATCAAACTTTTATTTTATCATTTTTCTTGTTGTTGTTGCAGCGACTTCATTTGTGGTCCTCTCCTCTCTACTCTCTCTCTCTCTCTCTCTCTCTCTCCCACTTTCTCTCTCTCCCCCTTTTTTTGGTGTTGACCCCTTTTTTTCTACCCTTTCCCTCTCTCCCACACACACTCTCTCTCTCCCTCTCTCTCTCCTTCCCCCTTCCCCCCCGCATCAAACTTTATTATTCTTATTATTTTTTTTTCTGGTCGTTACGACTTCATTTCGTCCTCTCTCTTTATTTACCCCCTCTCCCGCTCTCTCTATTTACCCTCTCTCTCTCTATTTACCCTCTCTTTATTTACCCCCCTCTCCCTCTTTATTTACCCCTCTCTCCCTCTTTATTTACCCCTCCCTCCCTCCCTCTCTCTCTTTTATCTTGTTTTACCCCTTCTCCCTCTCCTTTCCTTTCACCTTCCTCCTTTCACCCACCTTCTTCCCCATCCCCATCCCCTCTCTCCCCCCACTTCCCCCCCTTCCCCCACACACCCCACCCCCCACCCCACCCCCACACCCACCCCACCCCACACCCCCTCTCCGGGTGCGCCAATGACCCACGAATGGTCCGAGATGAAGGAACTGGCGGCCGAGCGGTGTCTGCAGCACCAACAGTCCGGGCTGTCGGCTCACCTGGGCTACGGGGCGGGGGGTGTGGGGGTGTGGGGGCGGGGGCGGGGGGGGCTTGTCCCTGCTGGACACCGACCCCCGAGCCTGGTTGGCCCCGGTGTACCCCCCGGCACCTGCCCGGCACACGCCGAGTACCTGTCGCCCGGATCGTCGACGAGACGCTGTTGGGAGCCGACGGCGACTTGGAGGAGGAGGAGGAGGAGGAAGAGGAGGAAGAAGAGGAGGAGGAGGAAGAGGAGATGATGATGATGATGGGAGGAGGTGATGGAGGAGTTGGAGTTGGTGGAGAAGCCCCATGAAGGTGCGGGAGCTGTGTCGGCTGAAGGGCTTGGGGCTGGGGGTGGGGTCCCTGGGGCCCTGGGGTGGGGTCCCTGGGGGCCCTGGGGTGGGGGTGGGGTCCCTGGGGCCCGGGCTGGGGTGGGGTCTCTGGGGCCCGGGGGTCTCTGGGGGCCCGGGGGGCCCGGGGGGAGCTGGGCTGCCGGCAGCGGGCGCCCCCCAGTCGGCAGGTGAACGGAGTGCAGAAGCAGCGGAGGTTGGCGGCCAACGCCCGGGAGCGGCGGCGGATGCACGGCCTGAACCACGCCTTCGACCAACTGCGGAACGTCATCCCGTCCTTCAACAACGACAAGAAGCTCAGCAAGTACGAGACCTTACAGATGGCCCAGATCTACATCACAGCCCTGGCCGAGCTGCTGCAGGGGGGAGGGGGAGGGGGGGAGCGGGGGGGGGGGGAGCAGCCCCCAAAGGCGAGGTACCCACCACCACCAACACCAACACCAACACCAACCCAACACCACCACCACCAACTCTTCCATCTCCATCACCTCCTCCATCACCACCTCCACCACCTCCTCCTCCTCCATCATCTCCACCTCCTCCACCTCCTCCATCATCACCTCCTCCTCCTCCTCCATCACCTCCCCCTCCCCCAGTTGCAGGCGGTACCCCACCGCCGGCTACTCGGTGCAGCTGAACCCCCTGCAGTTCGGCTTCGACCGGGACCAGATGGACATGTCCCACCACCACACCACACCATCACCAACACCGCCACCATCACCATCACCGCGAGGAGGAGGAGGAGGATCTGTCATCGTCGTCTTCCCCGGCCCTGGTGGGGCAGAAGAAGGCTTCCCCTCGGTCCCACCGCAGCGATGGGGAGTTCTCCCCTCACTCGGGCTACAGCGACTCAGACGTGGCCCTGGATCTGCAGAGCGAGGAGGAGGAGGAGGAGGAGGAGGAAGATGAGGATGAGGATGGTGGTGTTGGTGTTGGTGATGAACTCTCTGAACTGGTGCAGAATTACTAACATCCCACCCACACCCCCCCCATCACACCCCTCACACACATACCCCCCCCCCCCCACACCCCCACACCCCCACACACATACCCTCACACACACACCCCCCCACACACACATACCCAGACACATACCCCCCCCCCACCACCACCATCACACACCTACACACATAAAAAGCAAAGGAAAGAAGAAAAAAAAGAGAAAGTGAAACGTTTTAGAATTGAACTTAGTCTTCCATCCATTTGTGTGGGGGTGGGGTGGGGGTGACTGGGTGGGGGTGGGGGTGACTGGGTGGGAGGGTGGGGGTGACGGTGGTGGTGGGGGGTGTTGGTTTTGCTGTTTTTGTATTTGCTATGAACGCTGAATGCTAATAGAACTATTTTTGGGTCGTCTTAATAATGATAATAATAAATAGTAATAATAGTAATAATGTATTCCCAAACGAAAAAAAAAATCGCTAATTTTTATACGGATTCCATATATGTGTGTGTGTGTGTGTGTGTGTGTGTCCTGATGTTGTTGTAATCCTTTTTTTTTGTTTGTAATGCGCGCACTTTAAACCCAACCCACGACCTATAGCGACGTTGAAACTGCCAATCCTTTGAGCTGACTATTTAAAGAGAGTTCACCTGCAATTGGGGGTGTTTTCAAATATATATATATGTGTTTATATATATATATGTGTGTGTATAAATAGAGAGAGAGAGAGAGAGTGTGTGTGTAGGTATTTTCCATTCGGTTGTGTCAAACCTTCTGTCTTCCAGTGGGAATTTATATGTCTTATTTTTCTTCCTCTTTTTGGCAAAGTGAAAAGGTAGAATTATTTATTTGCTGACACTGTGTGGTCCTTTTTTTTCTTCTCCTCCTCCTCCATCCTCCTCCATCCTCCTCTCTCTCTCTCTCTCCCTCTCCAGCCAATGTATGTGCTTTGGTTCGCTTTTGTACCTGTGTTTTTTTTTGTGTGTGAGCTGGAAATCTTTTTTTCCCTTTGTTTTTTTTAAAAAGAACACGAACGAAACGTTGTTTTTTTAATTATTATTATTGTTAGCAACTTTTTGCTATTGGTTTATGTACTGTTTCTCCTTTTTTTTTGGGGGGGGGGGGTTGGGGGTTGGGAGGAAGGCAGGAGATTTTTTTTGGACTAAATAAATACATCTTTTTTAAAAAAAAATGAAAGCCCGTGTGTGTCGTGACTTATTTCAAATAAAGGACCACTATTTCACCCAATCCATCGTCAGTGCTGTGGATGTGCGAACGAAACGTTTCGGGCGAAATTAAACCTCGAGGCGCATCGGCGAATAGTGGGTTAAAATCCGACTTTTTTTTGAGTGCGTATTTCCAAAGTCCCGACGCTATTACCTGAAGGAGAATCTCTCCACTTCACCCATCAGTGGGGCTGAGATAAACCCACAGCAAAAAAAAAAACCCAAGGAAATCGATTTGGAGACGAAAACTCATCGCCCACAAAAAAACACACACACAAAACACACACAGACACAGACACAGTCAATTCACTGCACAGTATATTCCTTAGAAGCGCTTTGAGACGCATCGATGGCGACAACGAGGGATGAGAACGATTTCCTTATCGAAACGAAAACTGTGATATTTAAAATAAGTTCATTTTTTTTTAACAAGGAGAAAAAATGGGCAAACGGTTCGTTCGTTCGTTCGTTCGTTCGAGGCAAAACATTTTTTTTCCCTTTCCTTTGTTTTTAAAAAAAGTGACCTATTTAATTAACTTTTGAGTGTGTGGACCATACTTTTCTGTGACACCAGGGACTGAAATTGTAGATTACTTTAGTGCAAGTGTCAAAAGAGGACTGAGTTGATTCACTGGGGGTGGGGTGGGGTGTGGGGACTGAGTTGATTCACTGGGGGTGGGGGTGGGGTGGGGGTGGCAACAAAAGGACCAAGTCGAGGACAAAAGGACTGCCTCTCGTTTGATCTGCGGTTCACGAAGCATTTCTCAATGGAGTGGAGAGAGTCATTACTTGCGATCGGAACTGTGCAAACGTGCATTGCTCGTGGCTTCTTCACCAGGGAGAGGGAACAAATTCTCCTTTACTACCTATTTTAAGTGTGTGTCAGCGCCACGCAGATGCACACAGGTTACTTCCGAGTAATGTGTTGGTAATAATAATAATAATAATCCTTGCATTTGATATAGCGCTTTTCACGTCGGGAGGACGTCCCAAAGCGCTTCACAGAACACACTGTAAAGTGAATTGACTGTATATTTGTGGGCGAACGCGGCAGCCAATTGCGCACAGCAATGTCCCACAAACAGTCGTGGATTGAAAATGACCAATTTATTATTGTTTTTGGTTTTGGAGGGATTATTATTAGGCTCTGTGTGGAGTAAGGAAACTTGCCCAAGGTTTCCCTCTGCCTGGAATTTAACTCAGGTCTCTCCTTCGCAAAGCGAGTGCTCTAACCACTGAGCTACAGGACTCGCTAATTGTGGTTTAGCACCTTTTCAG